TGTGGTATTCTTTCTCTCTGGAGAATGGGATCTGTCAGAATGCATCATGATTCTCACTGGGGAAAAGCAATGCCGTAGTCTTGAAGGAGTGAAAAAATGAGTCAAGCCTAAAAGGTCATGAGCGTTTAAAAAACAAACAACAACACAACTTTGAAGATTTTTAATATACCTGCATTTGTGAATTACTTTAAGGCATAGAGAACAGCGGAATTCTTGAGGCTAGGGTTTTAAACACACCATTTTCACTCTGTGCTGAATACTATCTTTGTATGTACTCAGTGTTACTCAGTGCACACAGTTGTGGGTGAGAAACTGGTGTAACAGAAGTACACAGAACAAAGATATCTGCTACTTCAAGATACTTGCTGTCTGAAAGAAGACAGATACACAGAAAAGTGCAGGTAAAAAAAAAAAGGTAGTCTGACTTTTTTCTAATGGTCTCTTCTGGAAAGGCTAAATCCTACTTCTACCACTGTACCTGTGAATGGCACAGTGTCACAGACACCTCTGTATGGATTTTTCTGAGACTTCAGTATTTAGTTTGACTCAGTAAGTCAGCAGAAAACGAACATAACGAAAAGAATGACAAGTATTTTCTGCAGAGTTAGAAGAATTATTTTAATGTGAAGTTGATGGGTGCTGGAACAGTGTAAAGGATAGGGTGTATCATATAGTGGGACAAGGTGGAGGGAAGGAAAGGAAGAGAAGGGGTTGTGCATCTTTTGGCAGAAGAAAATTGTAAGATCAGCTTAGTAATTTTGCACAACTCCACCCTCAGAAGCCCCATGGGAAAGAATGTGAAAATACTTGGTTGTTGCTATGGGCCAGCTCGAGATCATAAAATCATTTATGTTGGAGAAGACCCTTAAGATCGTCAAGTCCACCTGTAAACATAATATTACCAAGTCCCCCACTAAACCATGTCACTAAGTGCCACATCTACACATCTTTTAAATATCTCCAGGGATAGTGATTTAACCACTTCCCTGGGCAGCCTGTTTCAATGCTTGACAACCCTTTTGGTAAAGAAATTTTTCCTAATATGAGTCAACATCTCAGTAATAAATGAGGTAAGTCAGGAAAAAATAGACTTCTGAGGAGTCTTAAAACTATAACAAGTAGCTTCTCTTTTTTTTTTTTTTTCAGATAGAAATGCAAGAACTTGATAAGAGCTAGAGTAATGGTTAATCACAGCTAAGAAATGTCTGCAGCAGTGGTCTGAACTGGGGTCTTTTAAAAAACCACAAAAAACAGAAGTCATTGTCAATACCAACATAAGCTGTTAAGCTTGACAATGAAATGTTAAGGCTGTCTTTTTCTTCTGGGAGATCAGTCTCTGATTTTGTGCCGTGTTTTTTCTATTTCTGCATTAATCCATGTTCTTCAGAGCTGTTGCATGAGATTTTGTGACAGGAAGGTATGCAGTGCTAGATCTGATCTTTGATTACAGGAAAGCCGCATGGCTTAGTCAGTAGACTCCAGAATGTATTTAGTCTGTTTTTGAGCCCATTTTAATGTAAGGGACAGACTACCAAGAGACTATGTTTCTATTTGTGAAGTCATGTTACTTTGTTTAAATTCTTTTACATCTGCTGCATGTGAAGTTCTGTTAGGCCTGCCTACCTTCCCTACTGTCTGTAGTTGTAATGAAAATGATTCACGCTTGAGTAATTTTCTTACTACTTTCTAATATATGATGCATTTCCAGAAGAGGAAGAACAGGATATCCAGTCTTTGCTTTAAGTTAATATCTCACAATTATTTTTTTATTTTTTTTGGAAGTTATTTTTTTGCAAGAAGGTGGTTTTTGGAAGCTTAAAAGAAGACTTGAACTGATAAGGCTTCTGTAATCTTAGTTGCTTCTGAGGTAGTATGCTATTAGAAGATATTTAGTTCTTTACTATCTTGTTTTTTTCTACAACAGTAGTGTTGTTGATATAATCGAAGTGTGAGCCAGCTCACTTGCTGTATTCATATTATCAAGATGTTCTCAGTTTTCTTACGGTGTTGTAGGTCTTATACTGGAGTCCGTACTTTGCTTCAATTTACTTATCTGCTAGTGAAGCTTTTGGGAAATACATGGCTGCTCTGCTAGGCACTAGAAAGGTGTTTTTCCTCAAACTTTTCTGTCTTTATATAGAGTTTTTCTCAGTGGAAAAAAGACAATGTGAGGAAAAGTTGCTGGTTTTCATACACACACAGAGTAAGCTGAGTTTCATGCACAGTTTAATTAGGCAGTCTCATTACAAAGGCCTGCCATTGTTACAGAATTGTTAACATGGGAAGTTGTAGCATCATCATGTCCTCATTTCTTCACATCCAAATTGTTTGCCTTTCTGCACAGCACACCTAGCTCACTTCTGAGTTAGTGCCCACTCTGTCAAGTAACTGAATAGAAATGTTCATTGTCAGTGATGTACAAGAGTTTTCCTCGGCTAGTCTTGCGGTTTTTCCTGTCCATATGGTGAGCTTAGTTTTGATAGAGGTTTACCTTGAGTATGTAGCCATGTGCACTTTCAAAATTAAAACTTACAAGCATATTTCCAGTCATTTTGGAAAATTATTATTGCTGCTTGTTCTCCAGGGAATTAAAGTAGAACATTATGGAGAGCTGTAAGGCTGCTTTCCTGCGATCTTTCATGTGGCGTAATGGGGGTATGTTGCAGGTCTAAAAGTGGTGTGAGCCAGGGAAATTCCCACCCGTTACCCAGGGCAGGCCAAAGCACAGAAATTGGCCAAACTGTATTTTCAGAGAAGCCAAAATAAGGAAGTTATTTTCCGCTCGTATTATGTTCCCTTGAAATTAGGGGCTATGATGAAAACTATTTGTAGTGCCATAACTATCCCAACCTACTTGTTTTCAGTGTTTCTCTTGTTTCTAGGGCTTGTGCTGTTTCAAACCTCTCAAACTGAGTTAAGCCCTGGAAAAGTAAACTACAGAGAAATCCTAAACTTGAGATAGATCTAGTAAGATTTTCTGTGGTCGTATCAAAGACTATTTATCTTTTTTGTGGCTGGGTTGAAGGTGGGTTCAGAGATGAATGCACTACTTTGAATTTAAATTGGAACTTATTGGACCTTTGGTTTCACTATGCATACTGTTCTGCAAGGCAAGGTAACTGTACTTGTGGCTGCATATCCAACAGCTGACTTTGCTTATTGCTGCGACTTAGGTTTGTGGAAATGGATATTTCACATCAAGCTGGTGATGATTGAAATTGATGCCCACATTTAGGAGCCTGTCTTGTCTACCTAAAATCACACTGATCCTTTGTCTGTAAAAAATCACAATTAGGTGGTGTGGCATGTCTGTACACATGTTAAAGTTTCATTATAAGCACTGTAGACAGTACAGTTGATTCGCCTTACCGGTGAGTAGGCATTTTGCAGCTAGTCAGGTTAATTGTTTTTGACTTCATTACCAGATGGATGAGATCTCCATTGACAACAGTGGGCTTACAGGTTTACACACCTTAATTCAGGTGCCTACCTGTATGTGTCTTAATCTTTAAATACAGTCTTGTGTAGTCTTGGTAGTGCAGGTGCAGGGTCTTGTCTTTCCAGGTAAATTCTAGATATATCCTGATGAGATTGCTAGTTCTGCTTTTTCAAATTTGTTGCTTTAAGTTTTTAAACTACAGTTGGTGATAAAAAACTCAGTTTAGTATGTAGAGAGGTGCTGAAGAAGGTGCTTTCTTTGCATGTCTGACACTTTCAATTTCCTTTATATAACAAAATATACAAATATCCTTTCAGGCTGAACAGGGAAGTAAAAGTGTATATAGGCCCAAAATTCATCTGTAGATGTTAATATTGTGGCAGGAAGCAAGTTTCTTTTACTAAGTTAGTGTGGGGCACCACACATGAAACCCTTTTCTTTGCTGCCTTCCAGATGTCTGGTGTTTGGACTCCTCAGGCTTTTTCTGAAGGCTTCATTTTATGTAATGCAGTTTTTCCCTTTTTGGCAACGTAATACTTTCTAACAGTTGACATCTCCAGCATAGCCTCGGTATTTCATTTATTTCAAACTACAGTGCTGTTGATAGTATTGTTGTAGTGTCTATCACAGAGTGTCTAATCCAAGACAGCACAAGAATCCTGCAGTCAAACATCTCCCTTGGAAAACTGTCCTGCCGCAATACCACTATGTACAGAGCTTACTGCAGTTTCTGTTACAGTAGCTCTGCATGCAGAGCTGTGTCCAGCCCCACTCTGTGCTGCTTGTCCTACTCTGTCTCAGCTTCCAACCTTATTCCCAAAGGGAGGGCAGTATTGTCTCTTCTTACAGTGTTTGGTAGTTCTTTTCCATTTGCCAGCAGAATTCAGCGTCATCAGTGTCTGAATCCTGGTTTGTGGGGTTTTCAGGGTTTTTTGTTGGGATGGTAGGTATGTAGGAAGAAAGGAGATAAGGTTCCTAGTCCCTCTGTTTACCTTGTAGTTCACTTCCCATGTCACTGGAAGGTCCTCACCTTCTAGTAAGTTTAGGGTGATTTTGGACAGCAATTAATACAGAGGTAAGAAAAGATTCCTGTCTTCCCAAAATCCCACTGACCCTTTGTCTATAGGGGGAAAAAAGAAGTCATGTGTATGGCAGTAACATGGTGTCTTTTTACTTCAGTCTCCAAGTTTAATTCTTGTCTTTAAATTACGAGGGGATTAAGAATAAAGCTGTTCAATTATGCGATGTTAGGGTCGGAGTTTCAGACACTAAATGGATTTCTTTGGCAATTGTAAACCTAAGATAGTGATTAAAACCTGCTTTAAAATAGGAGTCTCTCTCCTCCCTGGGCTTTAGCATTTGTTCTAGATAACTTGGGTATGTCTGGTTTTGGTTCTAAGCATAAATCAGATTGATACTGCTTGAGGTAAAAATGATGTGCATCCTTAGTTAAGACCAGGAGAGTACCTGTTATGTTTAGGAAACTGCATGTTGAATGTATGTTTAGATTTTTGATTTTTTTTTTTAACTGTATCTGCTAATAACATGTTTTCTTTTGCAGAACCCTGTGATAATATGAGAGAGATTCTCCAAAATGTGGCCAAATTACAAGGTGTTTCAAATATGAGAAAACTAGGTCACTTGAATAATTTTACTAAGGTAAGAGCTCAAATGATGTCATAGAACAAGTGATCATACAGACGGAATATTTTGTATGTACTCTATCAGACATTACCTAGGAGATTCATGGAACAGTACTTGAAATCTACATGCTGTGGGAGAGGAAAGGAGCAAATATGGGTAAGCAAATATGTGAATGCAGAATTATGCTGAAGTTTGTCTACATGTTCTGCTGGCTGAATTTTTGTAGTATTTTAGTGCTTAGAAGCCTGAAATATCTCCCAATTAATGGGTTAAATTGCACAAATAGAGCTAAAGATTGCTTCCTGTATGTAAACTGTCATTCTATATGTCAGCTGACAAAGTGTGGGGAGGGGGAGGACTGTATCAGTGAGCATGATATGCAGTGGTTTGGACACTAATAGAATAGCAATGGTCAACTTTCACTGTAGTTTTCATAGTGAAAAGATATAAAGGGGTGTTTTCTAGAAATGGTCTGTATTGCTGGTTGTTGAGGTGCTTTTTCCAAATCTATGCTTTCAAATAATGGGAATGTTACAGTTTACTGCCTGAAAGTATGACTGATATGTTGGAAGCTATCACTGTGAGCTGACAGGAGTCAAGAAGCAAAAACTTACAGCAGAGTGAGAGTATAGGCTGAAGAAAGAGACCATGAAAGGCCTTCAGAAGGAGATCAGGTACGATTTTTGGCGTAGATGAGGACCGTATGGAGAGGAGCAGAGAGGACTAATGAGATGTGGGCAGGAAGTTAGGAAAAGGGTGTTATAGCATGCTGAATGCTTGTGGTTGGACTAGTGTTCCATTTGTCAAGGGAAGGGAAAAGTGCATTGCAGTCAGTGAGCTAGGAGACATTGGACCTTCAGTGTGAGTGTTACATGAATGGATGGACTGAGACTCAGAGGGAGCTGGTAAGTTGTACACCTTTCTGATAGAGTGCCACGGATAGGGCAGCATGCCTGAAGATGAAAACCAAGTTTCTGTGACAGAGGATGGATCCTGCAGTCAGCAGCAGCCAAGAGTCGAGGTGGTAGTGGAGAATTTTGTAGGTAAAGTTAAGTTTAAATTATTGTTCTTGCAGATGAGCTGATAACAAATCAGTGAGTAAGATAACCAGTAGGCTACTTGACAGTTTTGAGACAATGTCAAGTGAAAGAATGAATGCTCAAGGGCAGGTCTGGGGGACCAGTTGATATGAGGAGGACAAACATACATCATAGTCTTTGAAGTAATCAAGCATCTTGGCAGCTACAAGCACACCTTGTAGTATTGAACAGCGCTTCAGTGGTAGTGTATGAAATTCAGCTAGCAGAAGGGTGAGTGCTGGGAACAAAATCACAACAGCAAATAAATTTATCTTCTCGTGTATTAATAACAAATCTATAAATGCTTCATTTTCTCAATTGGTTCGGAGCACATCTAGAGATGTAGTATTCACTGAGGAAGTGAACTTAATTGTACTGAAATCTTTTCTTTGGGTCATTGCCTTATTGTGTCCGACAGGCATCCACCACTGAAAAAATGCTGCTGTTCTTACTGAAATTCCAAACTGTGTTGTAAGAAAGCCCTTTATTCTGATAGAAAAGGCCGATGTGTAGCTGTGTTTCCTTTTTGTGGTAATCTGAAAATTTTTAAATGTGAGTGCTTTCAAATTCTCTAGTTGCTTTAAGATTAAAGAACTGGATTAGGTTTACGGATGCCTGATTCCTAGTGAAAAGTCAATATTTGAAACTGTAGGTTTTAAACCAGTGTTGATTATGCTACTGAAAATCAGATGTTAAGCAACTCTAAATGTAGTTAATTAGTAACTATGCATACTGTATTTACAGGTTGAATAGAAAAATCTTTTTAAAAGATCGTTTTGAGAAATTGGATGATTGCATAATTGAACATTTGAAGAATTTGTTCTTTATACTTAACCTGGTGTTAAAAATGGGAAATACTTACAAAGACACAAGGAAGGATTTAATAAATTGGATTTAAGATTGGCAAGAAATTATGAATTTCTGAAAAGCAACTTCCTAAATATGCCTTTTGAAGACAGACTAGTTCATAACCTGGTTTTGATCTTGAGTCAGTGACGCTGTATAAGGGAATCATCCTACTGTATTTAATCCGTAGCACTTGGTCTTTTCATCTCCCTGGAATATCTACATTATAAATATATAACTTGTACATTTGGTTTTGAAAACTCTTCCTATTTTTGTGTGAACTTTAAGTGTAGTTATGGAAATCGAGTTAAAACTGCAAACTGTATTGAATTGTTTGCCTTGTAGTTGGAACAATTCTGTGTTTTTCTGTTCTAGTAGTTAAGAGTGAAAGCCTGGAGCCTGGGAGAGATGGTTTTCTTTCTTTTCTGCACTCTGGTCTTCTACCGTGAATTGATACAGTTTCAGTGTCCCCTTTGTGAGATAGGAACGTGGGGATATGCTGAGAGCTGAGGATGTTTGTATCCTGTTTTGGAATTATATTGAAGATGATTGTAAACTCTTGCATTTTATAGTCCATTTTTGAAAGGCTGCTACTTATTTAGGATATTTGCCCTATGAACAGGGAAAAGACTTTTGAAAATCTTTTTATAGCATATTTCTGATAAATTTTAAAGTTTTTCTGTATTATTTTAACTCCCCTGCTAGGAATGTTGTTATACTTAAAAGAAAATGTCAGCATCAGTCTAAGCAGTTGCTCCCCACTGCCCCAGATTTTTTTCATCAGACACTGCTCAAATCTCACACTTGGAAGAAACACTGTTCAATTTTTTTGTTCCGGGAAAGCTAAATGTTTGTGTTCATGTGGAAACAAGTGATTTTATATAGACTTTCCTGACAGAGGTCATGGTGGACATTGAGTTTTGTCTTAATTTAAGGATATCTGAGGTATGTTAGGTTCAGGTTTCTTTCCTTGAAAGAGGACTAGATTTTTAAAGTGGGGTTTGTTCCCCCCACGCCCTTTATTTCAGGAGAAGGAATCACCCTTTAAAAAGTAGTGAAATAGACTCCAGGATTTTATGCAGAAGTTAAATTTTATTTAAAGTATTTAAAATAATGATGGTCAGCAGTCAACACAATTTGTTACTTCATCTGCAAGAATGATACTGTAAGGCAGATATTTTGTATGAAGCTTACATGCCTGACAGAGGTAACTCCCTCTATAATTTCTCTCCCTTCAAGAGATGTGTTTACTTGTGATGTTCAAGCCCCTACAACATCCATACTTACTGTGCAAAGTATGCTGTATACACGATATTTTACAAAAACTTAGATTTCATTTATCAGGTTTTAGCTAGTACTTAGTAAAAACCTGCATGTTTATGTTCTTGGTTCTTTGGCTGCAGAACATGGATTGTTCTTGCCCAACAGGTGCTGTAAGTTTTCTACTCCAAGAAATCAGCATTCCCAGTCTAGTGATACTCAGGCTATGGAAAGGTATGTGCAGTTCTGAACTGCAGCAGTTCAGAAACTTTTCTCCTCATCAGCTACTCATCATCTAATAAGTGAAGCTGCAGTTTTGTGGGCAGAAGTGTTTATGAAGTACTGCCTAATCTGTATTAAACAAAAGGAATCTTGTTCCTTTCAAACCACCTGTATCACTACTTAAGATAGCTTGAAGTTGACTCCTGAAAACTGGTTTTGGATTTGGCCTCTAGTAAGTGGTCAGTGACACTTCCGGTTGTCACAGCCGGTTGTTCACAAGTTCCTTATGTGCCTTTGGCTTTAGTAAGCTGAGTAGTATTACCCATCTTTGATTTATATGGCCAAACACATAAGGCAAGCACCTTGAAGTTTCCTAACTTCTGCTGATTAATACCAAGACATTATGATTATTTCTTTGGGGTTTTCCCCACCCCTGCAAGAAGCAATAAGTGATAAATCACTGAAAACCAGAAGGAACTGTATGATTGCATTTACCTAGTGGAAAATATCTTCTGGCTTTGAAGTATTTATTTAGAATCCTTTCTTATAGAAGGTTTATCCCACCGTTAGCTTCTGAGAGATCTTTTATACTTTTTTTAAACCTAAAAGTGTTTTTAAATAGTGAGAAGAAAAAAGATCCACAGATGTTGTTATAGGGATTTCTATTTTTCATTCAGAATGAAAGGTGCTTCTTTAAGGACAGAATGAAAATTAATTTTAGCTTAAAATTAACAGTTAAATAGCATCAGTGATACAGAAAACTGTATTTTCAATCTTCTCAAAGTTAATTCTGTCATTATTTAATGAGGTTTTACTATTCTGCTCTATATATATCTGTTACCTTTTGACCATGCTGCTGAATTTCACTAGGATATTAATTGTGTTTGAGGCTACAGGGACTTTCACAGATTCCACCTCTGATTCATAGTCCATCATTTTAGAGTCTCAGCTGTCCTTGCAAAACCCAAGTATCTTAGAATATGAGTGTATTATTGACTGGCTGTAACATTCATCCAAGTAGTTAAACCACTGTCAGCAACACTTGAAATCTGATGATGAAGTGCATAGCAGACAGGAACAGAACATATACTTAGGGACATTCAGCTGTGGAACAAACCTGGAGAGCTAATGGGTCTAAATCCAGAGTTCACAATTTCAGTAGGGGCTTCTCTTAAGACTAGGATCTACGAAGTAGTCTCCTCGTAAATATTACCGGTGATGTTTCAAACTGTATTTCCAAAATTACAGTATAACAATTAAATTTTGGATGCCTACAATAATACCGTATTTTTACCTAGTAATTGCTGTGTCTGTTCTGTTCAATGTAAGTTTGAATGGTCTCAGTATGCATTCAGCTTGTGTATGCTGTTGACCTCCTGTGGTTTTGTTGTTTTGAGCTACTGTTTCCAAGACATGTTCATGTGTTACTCATATTTCTGTGACTCATCTAAGTAGCATGAAAAACTCATAGCTGACAGTAAACATGAAAAAACCCTTCACTTTAAGTTAGTCACTGTCTGGCCTACTCTAAGTGCCATTTTGTCCAAATATTAAGTCATACCCTCAGAGAGTCTATGCTATTCCCATTCTTTGACCATTATATAAAAAATTCAGGATTTTATAGTTGACTTGTCAGTCTTAACAAGCAAAGTGTACTCTGTGTTTGTATGTGTGTGTGTGTGTATATATAAAATAATAAAATTGTGTATATATAAACACATATACATTTTATATAGAAGATATATATAAGAATGAAAAATATAAAGTGTATTTGCATGATTCCAGGCATTTACATGACATGATAATCCATTGCCATTTTAGTGGAATATAGCGATGTATAACCAAAAGCAGATCTTAGGTTTTTGGTACTGCTTGCCTACAAACTTATACTAAATAATATACGTGTTAATTGTTAAATGTTACAGTCAAACATATGACAGTTACTTGGCTTTGTTAGGAATTTAGCCATCTACAAAAATCACTGCCTTTGGGCCAGAATCACTGACCTGCTCAATGTTGTTTGAAGGTGAAATGCTAAGGAAGTGACAGTTCTACCTATGGCGTATTTAAGACCAGACATTTATAACTGAGCAAATACCTAAAGCATTGAGACCAGCTGAACAGCATCATCTTTATAGCAGCTTCCATGACTTTTTTTTCTCTTTTGAAACATGTATCAGTCCAACCTTAATTTTGCCAGGTTTATTTTTCTTGGACTAAATAAACCTAATGTTTCAGCCTTCGTGTATGTATTTTCTAGCTGCTTTGTACATTTTTCTGCTACATTTTTTCCAGTTTGCTCTTAAAATGTGATGGCCAAAATTTTGCCCTTCGTGCAGTTTTTGAGCAGCCTATGAAGTGGAAAAAAAGGTCTCTTAATCTCAAACATAATGCAGTCCTATTAGTATTTCCAAAAGTAAAATTTCCTTTTTTTTTTTTTTTTTTTTCCTGAAATGACATCACATTAACTCATTTAGTTTGTATTTTGCTCTAAGGTACAGATCTTACTTTCCTTTCAAAATTTGTTTTTATATTTAACATTCTGGATGTTTTTTGGACATCCTGTATTTCTCTGCTGGACTCGTTCAGTTTTTGTCTCCAATGTGTGATATCCTGAAGGATATGATACGCTGTTCCTTTTATTTAATGTTCTTATTGAGTTTGGGCACTTCTTTCAAATCACTGAAACATTTTGAATTCCAGTCTTGCTGTCCATCTTTTAAATTCTTTTCTAGCTGAAAATCCTTGTAAGCACAGTACCATGTGTAAATTACAAAGAAAACAAATACATGAATAGTGATGGCCCACTAGAATGAGGGTAAACTAATAGCTAAAGTAGCTAGTTTTGTACTTTACTTTTCTTAGCCAATTTTATCTGTTCATTCTATGTGAGAAATATTTCACATACACACTGACACCATCAAACACTTCATTAATTATCATCTCGTTCAGAAATTTATATCCACACAGCAGTTTAAACTTTATGAAAGTTAGAACTATCGTCAGGTTACATGACTATGTTTGAGTTTCAGGATAAGGTCAGGTTTCTTTCTACATCAGTAAGAGTGTACGCAGTGGGGGCACATACACAGAGGGAAATGGTGTTGAGGAGCTAATAACCACAAAAGTATTTGGTAAGAGTGGTTACTGACAACTAGATCAGAGCTGGTCCAGTGAACTGAATGCTCTTTAGTAATTGCAGCAGGTTAGGTGGTGGAAGATGTTACCTGCTTTAGTTTCATCTTGGGACTGATGCAAACCAGTGGTATGTGCAATGATAGGAGTCTTGCTTCAGAAATGCACTGGTGCACACAATAGCAGTTTTCTCAAAAATGTTTTTTCCCCACATCAGTTATAATTCTGTGTTTTTTTAAGGTAGGAAAAAAAAACTGTTGAGGATAAGCTGGCATGTTAAATTAGGATTTCTCATTTGTGGCTGGGGTGGAATGATGGGCAGAGGTTTAGATACGTAAATGATTAGCCTAAACAACTATTGATGTACTGGTCTGAAACTGAACAGTGAGCTATTTTCACTCGCTATCTTCTCACACTGTTTTGCTTACACTCTGCCAGCCAATTTTTACAGTTCATAAGATGTCAATGGAAATGCTAAAGCAGCAGTGGAGGCCTTAGGCAGTTCAGCGACATGGCATAAAAATAGATTGATGCTAGGAAGTGACATACTGTCATAACCAGTTAACGCACCAATTGTCTAGTTTTATCGCTTAAATTGGAAAGGTGGGGGGGGAAAGGTTATATAATTTCCTTATGTTTTATAATTATATTTGGTTATAGCCACGTTTAAAAAAAATGCAAAATCCAACGTGGTGTTGAGCCAGGCCAATTTAATAATCTGTCTCATTAACAACATTAGATTTCAATATTACCACTATGCATATTTCTCACAATATGAAAAATAATTTCTTAAAATGTAATGTGATGTTTGGAAGAATATGTACTTGTTGAGCATAAATCTAAGTATTGTTTGAATTTAAACTGCTGTGTTAATAAAATGGATTTACTTCAAAGCCAAGTTTATGTGCAGTATGTTGGTTTTTCAGGTGGAGGTAAGCAGTAGAACTGGAGCATGGAACATGTTAAATATTTCAATTTACAGTGGTGTTAATTTAACTATTCATTTAGTTTATTATATACTTCTTGCTGTTAGCAGTAAATACATATAAAGAACATGGCACAGGGTTTGATATATTTCAATACTTTCAGAGTAGGGGTACTGACTAGTTAGCACAAACACTTCCTGAATTCCTCACTGAGAAGAAACTGTTAATACTGTGCTGGCTTAGAACTGAACACATGCCTGTTTTGAAAACAGAGGACAAAGTGCAAAGCTGTTGCAATCAGTATTAGTCACTTGAGTTTTTGGAAGTGCTTGGAGAAGCGCTTTGGGATTTGGACGTGATAAAAAAGTGTTTTATTTTAGCTAGGAGTAGTAAATGAGATTACTGGGAATTTCTTTGCTGCTCTTGTAAGAAGAACTTATCCTGTTCTCTGCAGAATTTTTCCTTTCCTCAGGTGGCTAAAACATTTGCACACACTAGACCGGTCCTTTTGAAGTTGTTTTTGGACATAAAAACTATATTTGTAAATCTTCAGTCTTGTGTTCAAAGTGGTTAGATATGGCTGAAATGTTCAGAATTTGCTACAGTTTATAGGTGTATTTTTGTGTGCATACATTCAACCCTTGCACTGATTTTTCAGAGGTACAAGTTCTATGGAATCAATGGCAGGCCAGGCCAAATGTCAGTGATGGGAGATGGACCACTGGCAATGCCTACTGATTTTATTATTTTTTTCCTACAGCTGTGCTGCTGTGGCAAAACGTGACAGTGGACCAAGTGTCAATCTGTGCTTCAAAACCCTCACCTGAGCCCTCTTTTTTGAATGCAGATGTGCTTCGACTTCAGTCTTTTTCATCTCTGCTTGGGCTACGAATTGCCCAACTAGCAATATGGAGTTTAAAAACTGACCAGTAGGCAGCTTACACAATTGTTCAAGCTTTCTGAGAGGCCACAGATTTGTGTGTGTCTGGCAGTATATAGGAACAGAATACTGACAGCAGAAATTCTCAGAGAAGTCTGAAGTTGGTACAGTTCTCCTTGCTGTGAATTAAATTCCTCAGGTTTCTTTGAAAGCATTTCCAGAAATCTAGTTTTACATAGTCATTTTAAAGAGTTATAAATAATAGATGTTTTCTTTTATTTTCAGCTTCTTTGTAATGCTGGTCATGCTGAAGAAAAGCTAGGATTTACATATGACAGCATCATAATATGGTAAGTAATAAGGAGCACTAGAGCAATACTAGGGTACTTTGTTCTAGGTGCAATTAAATAAACTTTATTTGTACTTTTGAAGTAGTATTTTGTATTTTTAATGTGTTTGAAATTTCATAATGCAAACATACACCTTACAAATACTTTAATGAATGAAATCAGAAAGACATTATTCACTCTCAGGCAAAGAGAAGGGGAAAAACCTTCAAGTTAGAAGTATGAATTTCCTTATTATTTTCCTCCTAGATGTAAAAATACCTTTAAATATCTCAGTACTTTCAGAAATCACTTTTAGTAAAAATGTGCACCTACAGAATTTAGAGCATACACTTGATGTAGAATCAGGGTTTACAGATAAACATTTTATGTCAATTTGGTGTGTGTATATCTTTGTAACATTGTTTTCCCTGCTACTAAAATGTCCTGTGTATATATTTTCTAGTGGAATTTTCCTGCATTTTGTTACCATTTCTCGGAGCCAAAAGTAACTACATTCTATTTCCAGAGCTTCTGTGGTTTTTTATACAGACATTGGTAAATTTGTCCTGAGGCTCAACATTGGTGGCAGAAACAACTAAGATCTAGTATTTAATATGATTTTGTGTTCTTTCAGTTTAGTTATCTGATGTAAGAAAACAGGCTTAGAAGAGCTAGTCACTCTTCAAGTAAAATGTTGGGAAAACTTTTGTAGTTTCTTGTGGAAATATTCTAAGTTGCTTTCTTAAATAGAACTGATTTTCCTTGCTAGAACTAAAAGAAAATAAAAAAAATCAGTGTATTTCTGTGAATGCCTATTTTTCTGTAAGCTTTAATAAGTTATCATCTTTTGATTTTATTTATGTAATCTATTATAGTTCTTCCTGATGGGACTAAGCATCAGAGTAGAATTTAAAAATTCAGAGTCCCTTACCAATTATTTTTAAATACAAGTCTTAAAACGTTACGCAGATACTAAGTTGTGGTTTTATAGGAAGAAGTTTGCAGAAGGATTTGCTAATCCAAACACAATTATGGATATGGATAAGGAAGAGAGAAAAATGGTGTTCTCAGCAGACATATGAAAAAAACCAGCCCCTTTGTTAGAAAAAATTCCAAAAATGACTTCTCAAAAAAATAAAAAGACATACATCAGGAATACTGTCTTGATTAGTGTTGTTACTTTCGTCAGTCCAGTGGTTCTTTTGTGTATGTACAGGAGAAGCAATTCTTTTTATGCATATATGTATGTTATTCTGATGTTATTCTGATAATTTTCAAACTCAGGGATACCACTCAAATACTCACATTTTAACAACCATAATCGTGCTGTTTGGTGGTTCCTCAAAAATATCTATAGGCTGGATTGTTTTCAGAAAATACAGATTTTTCAGGCAAACCTAAAAATTTTGCTCTACTGAATTATAGCCTTTCTGTGGTAGTATATATGTTTGCAGATTATTTTGCTAGACAGCATACATCTATTCTGAGTAATTTGCTAATACTGAACGCTTTAATTTTGGAAATAACCTTCATGTAGGCTAAGCACACATATTCCTTTGTAGAACTTGCATGTTATTTCCAATTTGCTCTGCTGATATTCCCAATGTTATTGTAGATTTCCATAGGGAAACCTTTTTGTTCTACAGAACAAGCTTGGTTAACTTCAAAAACATAAAAAGTTATTTGTATACAAGAAATACTTTGAGTTTTCTGCATTTGTGAAGCATGAATGGCTAACCTTAAAGCCTTAAACTAAGGGAATCAATGATTTCAAGAAAAACTACAGATTTCCTATAAAGATCTAGGTTGTAGGGTCAGTAACCTTGATAGAATATTCACCCAAAGCAAAGACAGTTCCAGTCTGCAATAATTGTAATTATTCTCAAGTTAGAGATCTGGTTATTTAGAACTCATTCACTTTTTAGAATTTTGTTATTCCAGGCGCCTGATCATAGTTTATTCCTGCCACCAGATGGAGGTAATAGTGACAGATTTTGTTGTCATTTCCAGTGTAGATGCATCTTTACATTTCCCAGGGCACCATACCATTGACAGATGAGAGGAAAGCTTGAGCCATGAAGAGGGAATGTTGGTGGGCCTCAAACTTTTGTGGTCTTTTAGTAATGTGCTCAGAGGCTTTGGCCGTAAAGTAAGATTCATAATAGTCATAATTTCCTGGCTGGATCAAACATATTTTGTCAAAACTATGGTTATCTTTCTGTAGTGAGTCAATGCGATGCTTTAGAAAAAGGTACGAGAATGATCCTGTGATAGATAATGAATATCCTTTCTTATTCCATCCTTTGTTAGTTCTTCCAGACTTTTTACCAGTCTTCATGTTTATCAGCCTTAGTATTGTACTGTCTTAGGAAGTTATTTTCATTTCTGCAATAAGACTTAAATCCTGGGTCAAGTAGTATTGCTCTTACTTTTTCTCTTACACAATCATGATGTCTTTTTGGCACTTTCAGCCACAGATGCACATGGAATGTGCATATCAAAATATTTTTCTTGATCTGATGGCTATTTTAGAATCATGTGGTATGGTCTTATTACACAGTTTTTGTCTTGATATGCATGAAGTCACATCTGATAATGTAGAATTTTCTTCACCATCTTTTTAACTATTCATATAGAGAATTCTTAAGTTCCCTTTAAGTTTCTCACAACCCCATCCTATTCTTATTAATATAAACTACATTGTCCTCTGTGCCCTTCCATCTCTTCCCTGCTTCCTCTAAATAAAGAATTGTATACTAAATACTGCCTACAAAAGGAGAAAGTGAACCCGAATATAAATCAGGACAAAAAATTGTCAGGATAAAAAGCTTCCATTCACCTGTGCTCTTTGAATTAATCTTTTCAGAGTTTAATTTGTGAAACTGCTTTTCATCACTATAATCTCTTCACATCCCTTAATACAATCTTCAGCAACGCTTTATGCTTTTTTGTACACTATTGTAATAACTCCTTTCAAGTCTTTCAAAAGGTAAGTCCAATATGGTTTGTGTAAACTCTACTGGATTCTTCACGTGGGTAACCTGGTTTATTTTAAGGTAATTTTCCTTTAAGATCATGAACACTCCTCTGGATGCTCTTTGGAACACTTTTTGTATAGACCTGTTTATCACCTTTTCTCCATCTTGCCCACTGCTGTTTTATACGGCCCTAGCAAGCATATGCAGGTGGTTCATGTTAAAGTTCTTTCCAAACATTTAGATGTGAAGCTTGGTGAGCCGCTGACAATACTTACAATAGGCTTCCTCCAGTTCTTCCGTCATTATAACATATTAGTCTAACTCATATTTTGTATAAGAAAGGCTTTAGGATAGGAATCTTCACACAAATCTTTAAAGCATTGACATAGTATGAAGAAAATGCTTGTTTCTGTCATACCTCTGTTGGTCTCTTATTTGCCTCATTCCTTCCCCTTTGGGGTTATCCAGTAGGTCCGATGTAATTTTTCAAGTTTTCTCCTTGTGGTACAGCTGAAGTCAAAGCATGTAGACACATACAGATGTACGCATGTAGGTTTTCCTACATTATTTTTTATCTGCTTGCTGTAGCATATCTTCAGTCATTGACTGTTGAGGGTTTTTTGGTGTTTTGTTTTTTTTTTTTTTTTTCAGTTTTTGTTCTTAATAGAGATATTTTTTCATTCAGCTTTGAACACTTCTATATGCCATTGCTTTCATGGGACCTTTATGGATTTTCATGGCCTTTATTTTAGGTCTGTATCTGTCTGGCTAGCTATATATTTTCATTACATTCTTGGCATATAAATGTGGTGACACATCCCTTTTTGGTACCTTCTGCTTTTGGATGTTGAATCTCATGATAATGTTGTCCTTTGTAGTGGTTTCACTGTTGCCAATTCTTAAATTAACTTCTGTCTGCAAATTAAGAATGTCCTCCTATTGCGAGTTGTACAACAAGCTTTCAAAGCACTGATCACTTTTGAGAAACTATTGTCTAAAGATTGTTTTGGTCTGCCATTCAAAAAACATTTTCCTCTCAAATATAAAGTTAATGTACCTTACTTGATGAGGGGAAAAAAAAAAAAGCCAAATACTGAATCTGGATGTCTTAGTAAGAAATGTCATAGGTAGTAACACTGTTTGCATGAGTAAACTTCTGCCCTAAAAGGAAACTTTGCTGATGAGTCTTAAACTGGCATATCCAAACCAATTGTAAATTGAGATAAAAGTCCAAACAGAAAAGTATGATTGAATAGAACTGAGTCTTGTGTGCTCATCCCTCAGTCTTCAAACTCTGAAAAGCTGCAAAACTAGAAACAAAACATGATTCATGATCTAAAGAACAGCTATTATCTACTCAGCACAATTGAAGAGTTACTTGTCTGCTTTTCTTGAATGACTTCAGAAATAAGTATCTCTTCTAATACAGATTTTTTTAGAAGATCTTTTTCTTAGCCTCACAGTATTGAGAATCTTTCTTATTTGCTTAAATCAGCTTAAATAAAGTCAATTAATGGCACTTGTTTTATGTGAAGAATGATATTTCATATTACAACAGAGATGATCTTCGTAAAGGAATTCCCTACTTGGTGCTGAAAGTAATAATCAGTTCATCTTTACTTGCATATACTATTGCAGCCTTTTTACTTTGTCTAGATATCATCTGGAAGTAGGCTTCTGTTATAGTGACTTTTACACAGGCCGATTAATCTCCAGAAAGATTCAGAAGATTTTTGGCCTTAGAGTAGCTAATTATCATGCATCATGACCCTAGAATATACGGAAAAAATAAGCCATTTGTATAGGTAGAAATTTAGTCTTGCTGGCTGAAGTATTTACGTTCTTAAGTGTCCACTGAAAGAATCCTTCTTAACTATGTCTGTGGAAGGTTGAGGGGTTTTCTCCCCCTGTGTAGTCAAGGAAAAGGGGCAAATCTTTTAAGGGCCTTCAGAAAGAAAGCGTGTCATTTAATACTTTAAAACTCCATCTCTGGAGGCCTTCAGTATCTTATTTATTTTTATGTAGATAGCAAATTTAGGTAATTACATTATGATGATGGTTGTGTTTAGGAAAGCTCACCTCGGTGTGAGCAGAATCCATTCAAACTGTATCTAAAGAGAAATAATGTTTGGTATATGTTAAAATTAAATCTGTAGTAGTCTGTCCTGTGGGGGGCTGCTTAAGTTATGACTCCATCATATTTCATGTAAACATACTGTAGTGCCATAAAAACTTTAGCGAGTGGTTCATGTAATTACTTAAGGCGTGAATTTGTCTGTTAGATGTTAAGACATTGTTTTGAGGACTTAATGCTTAAGGGTTGGCAGTCTAGCAGAGAAGGAAATGCTTTCTACCTGTTAATTTCCTTGGACTAATGTGGTGCTCAGTTGCTTTGTCAAATAACAAGTCATATCCAGGTCTTGGTTATGTATCATTTCACAGATGCACAAGTTCTTCTTGGGGGGGTGGAGGAAATTGGTTTGTGGCTTTTTCAGATTAATGTATTGTCTACATCTCTTGGCAGTGTTAAGGTTTGCCTTCTAGGCTGTACAGATGCCTGTCTCAAAGACAAAAAACTACTGCAGAACGTTTTAGAAATCAGACTTTGTAACTTTGTATTTTAAATAAGTAGGTCATGTCAGATGGTGAAGACTACCTGCTGCTAAATAATTGTTTGTCCTCCTTGTTTTCTTCACTGTAGTCTGAGGTTAGCTTTACTAAATGAAGCAAAAGAGGTGCGAGCAGCAGGATTGAGAGCCCTTCGCTATCTCATTCGAGACTCCGGTATTCTCCAGAAGGTGCTCAAGTTGAAAGTGGATTACTTAATAGCCAGGTAATTTTTCTCTTCCTTCTTGTTGTAAATTGTACAGTTTTAGATCACTTGCATTTTCATGGTTGAGGCAGGTGAGAAAAGGTATTTTCATACCTTCTTACATTCTTGATATGTAGTTTTACAAAAGCCATTTTCTTCAATATGAATAATGTCCTTTAAAAATAGAGGGATACTACACAACGCCAACTAATCCAACTAAAATGCTGTCCTAATATATGATTTACTATGAAAAATCTAAAAACCATCTGTGTTTCTTGGTTATAAATGCTGTTAATCATAAATTAATATGTGATGTTATTAGAAGGTTGAAGCATCAGTAATTTTCATGTCCGAAGATCTTTTATGGGAGTTGTTCTGATTCCTTGTATTTTCATAGTGCTTCAGAGCCTCTAGTACAACATCAGGACTAAAAAGTAGTTCATGCCCAAGGATTTGTAATCCAAGTATAACCCATGACACAACAAAAGGATACCAGAGGGCAAACTAACAATGAGATAATAAGATCAGCATGATGAGTTGATGTAAATATTAGCATTTATAGTGCTTCCTTTGTTGGAATCTTGTTGGATTTAATATACTAATATAGATGTGTGTGTTTCTGTTTATAAATATGGACACATAGTTTTAGTGTGCTGTTCAGCTTTGTTGGAACAAAAGGACTTTTCTGATCTAGAACACAAACAAAGCATGTTGATGTGAAACATTACAAATGCTGTGTTTAGTCTCATTCAAAATGACAGATTCATCTAGCTCAGAAAATACTTGTTGAATCTGTTATGCCTTGCCATTGTATATTTGAGAACATTCTAGCGATTTAACTGTAATGAAGATAACAGAAAAAATATAAACTGAAGCTAATCGGCCAATCATGAGTATGCTTGCTGAAAGGCAGAATTTTTAAACAATGTCATAATATTCTTCTGTTTATTCAGTTGCATAATTATTAACATGAGATGTTAACAGTTAAGCTGAAAGTGTTTTTATAAACAAAATATGTGTGAACTTTTTTAGGTGCATTGACATACAGCAGAGTAATGAAGTAGAAAGAACACAAGCACTTCGATTAGTCAGAAAGGTAAAAATCTAACTATATATGGTCTTCTCAGCTATGCCAGTCAGTTGTACTGACTCCTAGTTTTCTCCATCAGCATCTTTTTTCAGAGTCTCTAATACCTTACCTTGCTTTACCATGTGAGAAGAAATTATAGGTGATAAAATAAGTATTAGCACTATCCTGCCTTCTCTCTTTTGCATTGATTTTAATCTCTTATCATTGAAAATCTCAAGTGGGCTAGAAAAATCCTGCTAATTTTCCTTTGACAGAGATACTGGACAAGATTTGGGAAAATCTTAATCAAATGATGAGTGCAAGGGTGTAAGAACCATATTATTAAGTTTCATTTAATGATTTAACTTCATTGTATAGTGTGTTTAAGCATCTGCGAATCCAGGATGGGAGATTTTCTGCCATTTGAGAAATGAGGCAAATTGTCATGTCATGGCTGGAATAATCAGTTGAACGAATGCTTCTGGCCTTATTATTTTATCCATAGAGAGTGATGGTATCCATAGTTCTTTTCTCAGATACACAAAAAACATAGCTAGTCTGTGATGGTTACTGTACTGTATATCTATGGATATGAGATGTTTGAAGCTGTGGTAGCTGCATTTTCAAGTTCATCATAGAGAAATTGGCATATACAGCTACTGAAGATATTTTTTTTTCAGGCAACATAGTATTCTGCTTTTGTAATGGTCTTCAGTACTCTTTATTGTGCTTATATTCTTCTATTGAGCATCGTAGGAAGAACTACCAAAGATTCAAGTAGAGTTTGAAGTATTTGGAAGAATGATGATGTGGGAGCACTGTGTGTGTTTAATCTGTATCGTGTTAACATGTAATTTTATATATACATACATATTTAGGTTGAAAATAGGAAAGTTTGATAGGCAAGTTGTTTTCTTATAATGAGCTCACTTGGTTTCTGTCTTACAGAATAGACAATATGCTTGATTAACAATTGCATCAAAAAGAATTGTAAAGCTTCAACGCCATTACAACCCCCAAACCCAAACACACACAGAGAACAGTAAAGGAATGGTTCCTTGAGGAAGTTGCAATTTATAAAACTTCTTTGCTAACCTACTTTAAAAAAAAGGGCCTCAGTGTACAGGTGACCACCAGTGCTTTTTTTTCTTCCCATCATTCTACAAGGGTTCTGTGCATGGGATATACATGCGTGAAGTGTACACACTGTACAGGGGTACAGATGGTTCTTTGATGCTGAGAACTGTCTCGATGAAAAATGTTTCCTAACTTCTTTTGCTACCTATAACATCCTATTATTTTAAAAGACAATGTCAGACAAAAAGCCACCCAGCCTGGCTACCAGTAAAGTTAACACTTTTTTCACGTCCCCTCTGGGCTACATCAGTTAAGTGTGCATTGGCACAGAGCAGTCAGTACTTGAGAAACTCTCTTGCAAGGAATACTGACACAAATGTCCTGAATGGCACATTCTGTCTTTTCACACTATTTGTTACCCTGCTCTTGCCCTTTTCCCATCTCTTTTCATGTCCCTCAATATCTGACTCAGTGGTTTGATACCAAGATTCCTGAAAGATTCTGTAAAAGTCTAGAAGAGGAGAATGAATGTCAGATAAAACTGAGTTAATTCATTTGTGCAGGAGATATTTACTGTGAGCCATGCAAGAGCTGAACTAGGTTTCAACATCACAACAGAATTACTGTTTTCAGTTTCAAAGTCTGGATGCAGGTCTTTAACCTGATCTTTGATAGAAAAATGCCTATGTAAGCATAGCATAGATACATAACTTTAAAAACATTGTCTCGCTTTCCTGTCTTCCTTTTCATAGAGTAGAAGAATAAAACATAAAATATGAATCCTGTCTTACATGAATTTATAAAAAGCACTTAATGATAAACTTATTTTTAAAAATGTGCAGGCTAAAGTAGTATAGTAAGGGAAAAGAAAAACAACTTTAAAAAAAAAAACAGAAACCAAGTTTTAAAAGTTTAAAGGCTTTGTGTGCTTACTCTCTCTTTTGACCAGAATCAGCTCTACATTTCCTAGTAAGCTTTGCAATTTAGTAGTGTCTTCAGTCATGAAAAGGATGGCATAAAGTTTCTTCAGAAAGTGTTTTTCCATCTAATACAAATCAGTTAAGACCAGTTTTTTATAATGTAATAGGCAGAATGTTTTATTTGCAAAGCAGAAGTTGGGTTAGGTGCAACATGAACCACCTTCTTTCTTCCTCTTTTTTAAAGAACAAATTCAGAGTCTTTGGTACTTATTTCATCATAGCTGCCTATAAGTAGCCTTGCATTACCTGCCCTTGGTCTTTAGAACTGCATTTTAATACCTAGAGTAGAATGAAAGCAAATGCAAAAGTTTGTATTTATTCTACTAATGTACTTGGAATGTAATATTAAAAGGAAGAAACCTCTCCTTCTCATGTCTTGAAACCGAAGAAAACAATGAAACAAAACAGTTTTAGGAGCCTGTTTGTGTCTTCTCACTAAGTCCATGTCAATATTGGTAGGAAAAATGCTTACAATTTTGTAGAGTGGATTGGTACACCCATCCTATTGCTAATTCTTGTTACTTCATGACATTGTAAAAGTGAAAGACCATGTGGGTGGGGAAGAGTTTGTTTTTTCTTTAAGGTCCTATCTGAAAGCTTCCTGTTTTGTGGGTGACAACATTATATATGACAAGAAGTTTCTCAAAAACATGTCTTAAAAATAAACTTGTTAAAGTGTTCCAATATATTTATCATAATGGTTATTGTTTTCTCATATTAACATACTTTGGTAAAACAATTAATCCTTTTTGAACAAATATCTATAAGATGTCTAAGTGAGTTGTAAAATTAATATAGGACAAAACAGTTTTGGAAAAATAATGAAGATAAGCCTGCTTTTGTTGGAAACAAGAAGGATATTAAACAAAAGCTTGGAAAACTGGCCTTGACTTTTTAGGTGTTTCACTATTGAGTATTTTTAGATGTCACTTTTATTTATTAGCAGAAAAAAATGTGACATGGTTGAGTTGGCTGTAACATATTACATTGTTCCCTTTTAAGCAGACAGACAAAAAACCTACTTCCTCCTTAGTAATACATCTATTTAGTGATGTTCCATAGTACAGAGGATATATATAATTAATTTTCACAAAATACGAGAAAATGTGAACAAAAAGCTGCTTGGCCTTTGTAGTCCAAAGCCTCATTTGATGTAGGGCAAAGAGTCCTCGTAGTTGTTTTGCAGTGGGATTTTTTGCCTTTAATGTGTGCATAGGGTCTTGCTCCTTAATCTGGCGTAAATTCTGATTGTCCTAAACTAGCAGCAGAGGATTTCCATAGTACAGGACCTTTTCAGTAGTGTAAATAAACATTAGCTATTAAAATCTGTTCTAGTCTGTCTCAAATTTATTGCAAACTCTTTTCTTTTAATTGAAGAATGACTTGATTAATGGGCACAGGTCTTGTTTTCATCTTTACTTTTCAGTTTAATTTGTTTAAGGTGTGGGGGGTGGTTTTTGTTCCATAGCTATATAACTTCTGGTGAACTTGAATTACACTGCAGTTCTAGGAAAATTAAGTACAGTGCAAGAGGATATGGGGGTGTTACTGACAGTTGCCTTCCAAATACTATAGCAGCTTTGTCTGACTGTCCTTTCTTGTAGTCGGCAATCTCTCTACAAATCAGGAGATTTTAGTCTTGGCTAATTAAACAGTTGAATGGGTATTGAAGAATCTGCTGTAGTATGAATGAATCTTCTAGAAGAGTTTATAATCTACTCTGTCATTGGACAGCATTCTTTGTTGATAAAAAAATTATTTGAAAAATGTATGAAAAAGGTATCCATAGTTCTCTCTGCAACACTCATGGGGTTTTTTAACCTTTTTGTTGTTATAAAGTAATATAAAAATAAAAAAACTGAAGCAGGAAGAGAATGGCAACATAAATTAACAAATGAAGAATTTCAAGAACAAAAGAAATAGTTCTGAGGATTTGCCAGATACAACCAAGTAATAGATGGAGTGGTCTGTCTGGTTGGATCTAGGAAACAGAATACTGGTGAATCTGTGAATATATTTAGAGAAATAATATGAAGAAACCAGAGGCCTTTTTCTTTCATTTTTGGCAGATGATCACTGTGAATGCCTCATTGTTCCCCAGTTCTATTACTAATTCTTTGATAGCAGTTGGAAACGATGGTCTTCAAGAAAGAGACAGAATGGTTCGAGCGTGTATAGCCATTATCTGTGAACTAGGTAAGATAACTGAAATCTAATTAAGGAAACTTGACATTCTTGTCATCAGTTTTCTAAGAGATTCTCTTCTGTGGGTTTGTAGTAAATAGATTGTATTAAAATAATTAATGGTATTTGTTTAATAATGAATTAGATGTTCAATGTTCTTAATGTCAGTTTCATGGATTTTAGTCATGTGTTTCATATCAAACAAAATTACTTTAATTTCAAATCAAAATCTCTTAAATGAAGTACCTGAGCATTTCAGGTGCTATTCTTTCCCTTAAGACTTGCCAATTTTTGATTTACCTTAAAAACGTTTCCCTGCTGAAGTTGCTAAGACTAATGAATTGGGAGTAGGGAGGATTCGATACATGAGATGCTGATGAATGTACAGGAGTTCAGAGAACTACAAGACATATTCCTTTAAAAATTTCTACAGTGGGTACTGTGGTTAGCTGGTTTCCGAAAGTCAGTATTTGTGTCTGTGTGAAGGGTATCTGGAGAGTGGTTTATACTAACTCCCTATACTTATATGTGGGTGCTGATTTTTAAAGTTTTTTTCAAAATCAATGAGAAATAACTTAAGCAATGTTCTCAAGATCCAACCTTCTGGTTTAGAGTAATAAGTTATCTTTATATTGGAGTATAAATGCTTCATCCTTGTCAGTCCGGTGAAGCACAAAACATTTTTGTGGGGAAATCCAGAAACTACTAGATGAAAACTTGGTTGGAAATAAGTTGGGAAATTGCTGCACAATGGTGAATGACCAGTCATAATAAATTAATTCAAAATCTTAATCAATTGCTAATGTCAGTCAGTTCCATTAAAAGCTTTATGTGTACTTCGGCAGTGTTCAGAAAGAAGATATAAGTACTAAAGAGATCACAAGTTTGTCATATTGGAAGCTGTTAAATATTTCCTTTCCGATCACTGGCCAGAGTGACATGTTTTTTCTTTATTTAGCACTGCAGAATCCAGAGGTGGTGGCTCTTCGGGGTGGTTTAAGTACCATCTTGAAAAACGTGATTGATTGTCAGCTAAGCCGAATAAATGAGGCTCTGATAACTACAGTTTTGCACCTAATTAATCATCCAAAGACCCGACAGTATGTGCGAGCAGATGTAGAATTAGAGGTGGGTTCAGTTTTACTTGTTCAGTGATAGAAATCAAACATTGTATTACTAATGAAACTGTTTAATTTTCATCAAAAACAAAATGTTTAAAATACAAAAATTTAGGCCAAGAGCATAATGATTTGTAAAGCAGGAATAACATGACAGGTTGGAGTGGGACTGAGAAAAGGGCAAGACCCATTTAACTGTATTCTCATGTGAAAGTAATGCATGTCTTTCTTTTGTTTAGCGAATTTTAGCTCCTTACACAGATTTTCACTACAGGCATAATCCAGACACAGCAGAAGGACAACTCAAGTAAGTGTTAGTGCTGCTACTTGTGCTACCAGTTGTGTTCATGGTATTTCTCTTTCCAAAGTGAAAATAAAAGCAATGCTCTAGTACCAACTACTTGAATATAGTAGGTTTGAATGCAACTTCCTAGAATACTGTTAAGCGTTTAAGATTTTGAAAGGGCTTGTTTAGTTTGGAGAAGAGAAGGTTGGGAGACATCCTCCCCCAAATAGCAGCTTTTCTAATACCTATGAAGATGTTATCAAGAAGTTACTGTCAGGACCCGTCATGGTGGTGAAAGGTGGGAGGACAAGAAGCAACAGAGAAAAATTGAAACAAGAGAGGTTCCAACTTGATATAAGGGTGGGAGGGGGATGAAATTTCCTGTGATTCAAGTGTCAGTCAAATGTTGGAACAGGCTGTCTGAAGAGATCCTGCAGCCTTCATCCTTGAGAGTTTCTAAGACCCAACTGGATAAAGCTTTGAGTATAACTTGGGTCTGGTCTCATAGCTGACAACTGTTTTGTGCAGGAGTTTGGACTAGACACCTCCTGAGATTGCTTCCAACTTGAATTACTTGGGTTTTTCATTACCAAATGGCATGAGATACTTGGGTTTGGGTAACTGAATAAGGTCCAAGTCTTTAGGTTGCTGCTGTAGACTTACTGTCAGTTGAGGCGCAGAGTGATTCATCTGACCACATATAGGTGTTTACTTTGTGATATTATCTTCCTACCATGGAAATTCCCCTGAAAAAGGAAAAGTAACAATACTTAAAAATTCTGATCTTTGTGTGTGTTTACACATTGCATAAATACATGTATGCATACGTAAAAGATTTCTCTTGCTCTGGATTTTGTCCCCCCATCTAAAATCTCAGTTAACTACTTTTTACTTGCTATGTTAGTAACACTGCCCATCTTATAGTTATTAACTGTATTGTGACATTTGTTGTTTTAATGACAGAGAGGACAGAGAAGCACGTTTCCTAGCTAGTAAAATGGGAATAGTGGCAGCATTTCGATCATGGGCAGGTAAGATTTTTTTGTTTGTTTTTTTGAAGCTGGATGATTGGAAGGGGAAATTTACTTAATAGTGTAGGAGTGGTTTGTTTAAACACAGAATTGGTCTTGTTTGTGTCTAATTTCTATCAGTACTTCTTCCTACAGTGTTACTACGATGTGTTTTGATATCATAAAATTGGAGGATGCATACATAGATTTTTGACAAACTACTAACAAGACACACTGCTTCCCCTCCCCCCCCCAATAGAATACCATATAAGTTGTACCTTGATGGCACTTATTGACGTTTGATTGGTGAGAGGATATTGATAATAATATCAGATCATAAGAATTTGCCTTTGAGATGGTTCTGGCACTGTAAATAAGAAATGTTTTTGTCTATGTGAAGAGATACCAACAGAATAGTTTCACTAGCACTTAATTTCACCAGGTGCCATAGCTGAAGAGAAATTGCAGATGGACATAATTTGTGACTTTTCATGTAGAAGACACTTCTAAATCAAAAAGCAGGCTTTTTAAATTTTTATAAATCATTTCTCTGCAATATTATAAGATCTAACATGAAGATACTGCCTCAGGGACTGCTCATTCTTTCAGTCAAGACAGCGTCTTGCAAATAAACGAAATGAGGTGATATGACCATGTACCAAAATTCTGAGTAGGATTTTGACAGTCTGTATTGAAAGATTTAGACTATGTCGAAAGTCTTTTTCATTGTGACACTATCTGGTTTATTTTTAATGTTCTGAAAAAGATTGCTAAGCTTAATTTAATATCAAGGTATCCTTCAAAAGTTTCTCACGTGTTCTCACTTGTTAGGGGAGGAAGCTTGGGAAGTCTGTGACAACTTTGAAGCTTCTAGGAAGCAGTTTCTGATAAGAGTGTTGCTTCATCTTCCTTTACTCACTTAGAACTAATAGCATACGCCTAAAAGGTCAAGTGACTGAAGAAGCAGTTGTCTTGGAATATGTTACTGGCTATGGCACTATCACTGTTACACGTTCATCCTTTTTTATATTACTTGTTATGTTGGAGACTAACACACTAGATTTTTCTGTTACAAAAATGTCTTTACACTGTCAGTCTTTCCAAAGTACATGTAGCTGAACTAGGCTTGAGGGTGTTCCTGGCTTTTCTTTTGGCTTTTGGGGTGTTTTTTTTTTGTCTGTCTTGTACTATCTGCTGTGTTCTACTGTTCTGCTATCCTTATTTTCCAGACTGGGTTATTCTTCAGAGCTGATGGTTACTATGTCCTTTATTCTCATGTGTGATCATGTCATTAGAGATAAAATAGGGGCGTGCAGCAATGACTGTGTGCACCCAAATCTATTCCTGCATTGCAACTGGGATGTGGCCGCTATTGGAAAAGGCCTCTGAGGTGCACTGTGAAACATATTTAAATGCCTCTACTGTGGCTGTGACCACATGTGTGTCTTAAGTTTTGGTGACATGGAAGTTTTGAAATTGAAGACTTCCTTCAAGTTTGTATAAAGCACATGTCATTAAAGCTGAATTTGTATTAGTTAAAATAAATAGATATGTAGGTGATATTTCTCATTTGTTAGTAGTTTTTAAAGAATAACAGTTCGGGTTTATGATACGTAAGACAAAAAGGTATGCGAACCTGGATTCTTTTTGTAATTTAAAGTTGCATTTTGGAGAAACTTGTTGGTTTTCTGGATAGCATGTTTATGTAAGTTTTAATTTATTATGTGAACTATGAAGAGAAGAGGTCAAAGAAATAAGCAAGGTTACTGTCTTTGCAGCCACACTTTTAATGAATAGACTGTATACAAATTGAGGCTGAAAAATCAGTGTAAGCTTTAGGTGGTATTCTGTAACATGTAGGAACAATTTGAAGACTTTCCCTGTTAGTGTTGAAATATTAAACTGAGTAAAACCACAGTGTGAAAGGAACAAATTATAAGAGAGATTTTATGCAAAGTTAAATCTACTATGTTGAAACTTCTGGAGATGAACACTGGTTATTTGGGAAAAGGTGGTCTGAAGCAGTGCACAGAGAATGTTATTCCAAGTATGTTTAAACTTGCTGTTTAGAATTGATCTGAGATTAAAAGAAACTAAATAATGTGTTAAGATACAGCTTTTGATGGAGAAAATTCTCAGATATGCCAAGATGATGCAAATCTTTTGGGTTTAAGATTCGTTATTAATTGACAATTTTGTCTGTTCTTTCTGCCATTTCTTCCATGTAAATGTGGGTTTTGCAGATAATTGGAAAATACTGCTCACAGTAGAAGGGGCAAAAGTAACTATAGTTGTTAATGAGGAAACAATTTTGTATTTAGAAAATTTTGTTAAATATTATTGACTGGAAAGGAACTGACACTATAAAGATGAAAATGTTTATGGTTAGTAATTTTTGCCATCTGTGCTTGTACTCAAACTGGAAGTCAGGTTTAACAGTGTGTCTAATGCTTTTTTTTTTGGTTTGATGAAGGGATATTAATTTGTATTTAATGTTTTCTAGGTATTATCAGCCTGTGCAAACCTGGAAATTCTGGGATTCAGTCTCTTATTGGGGTACTCTGTATACCAAATATGGAAATACGGGTAGGTGGTAAATATTTAGTACTGATGTAGGAATAAGATTGAATATTTTAATTAACATATTCTTAACATTTTAACAATTTAGTGGCTTAAACAGACTCCAGTTATGAGACCACTACCCTCGAGTTTATTTGACTCCCATGTTCATGTCTGTAATTCCATTATAAAACTCCTGTGAGAATGAAGCACACCCTGTATGTCTGAGAGGAGGGAATAGAGGTGAGAAAAGTACATAAATTAATTTTTACTCTGGTCACAAGTCAAAGCAAGTTCACAGTAGCTGCAGTTACAATTTTAAAGCATAATAATCAGAGTTGAATCCAACATAAATAAAGATGTTTCTTCCCAATTACCTATTAAAACAAGAAGTTGATGGTGGCAGCAGAAACTATTCTAAAAAACTGTATTCCAAGTAGCCTGAGCTTCTGTAGAATTCAGTGACAGTAAGGCACAGTTCTAAACTAAACAAGTCCCTTCCCTTCTCTTCTCCAGATTATTTCAGTTTGTGAAAATAAGCATGGTATCAAAAAAAGAAACACTGAAACAAATACAACAATTTTAGCACTCTATACAAATCTTAAGTTCAATATTAATAGTGAACAAAAGGACAATTTTTGTAAATCTATAAAATTCCTGTTGTGTTTTCTTTTTTGGTAGCGAGGTCTGCTTGAAGTTCTATATGATATATTTCGCCTTCCTCTCCCTGTTACTGCAGAAGAATTTATTGAGGCACTTCTCAGTGTAGGTAAGTATTTAAAACCAGTTCACATAAGAATTCTGTCTGTTAAACTCTTTACAATTTGAACCCTTCACTGTCAAAATTATGTCAATATTAACTGTTTCATCACTGAATTCATTGAGTGCTTTGAAGTCCCATTTAAAATTCTCTATCAAGTGTTACATGTTGTAAGTTTGATGAGAGATAGCAGTGGAGCATAAAGGAGCATTTATACAAAAGACTCTGTAAGCACATTACTACAGATTAGACTTTGAAGTGTTAGAAGCAGTAGTAATGTAGAAGAATAAATGTTCCTTAGCTGCCTCCCAAGATGTGAACCGGAAGACCAACCACCTCTTGTGTATGTATACCGATGCATGCAGCCTTTGGAACAAACAGAAGGAACTGGAGCTCCATGCCTAATCAGAAAGTTATAATATCATAGCAATAACTGAAACACGCTGGGACAACTCACATGACTGGAGGCTGTTTCATAAAAACAGGTAGGGAAGAAGAGGTGGAGGAGTCATGCTATATGTTAAGGAGAGCCTTGAATATATGGAATTCAGCTCTGGCAATTGTGAAAGCCCTATCATATGCCTCTGGGTCAAGATCAGAGGGGTCGTATCCAAGGAGGGATCTTAGAGTAGGCATCTGCTAGTAACCTCCAAACCAAGACAGTAAGGCCAACGAAGCAATATTTGGGTGACAAGCAAGCTTCGGGTCAACAGAACCAGGTTCTTATGGGTGACTTCAACTACCCAGACATTTGTTGGAAGAACAAGACAGCAGCTTACATGTCATCCATCAGGTTCCTGGAATCTGTAGAGGGCTGCTTCCTCATAGAAACATTAGATGTGCCAACCAGGAATGAGGCACTGCTAGACTTGCTACTCACAAACCAAGAAAACCTGCTTTGTAATATCTTCGTTAGTGATAGTCTTGGCTGCAGTGATCACAGTATTCTGGAGTTTGCAATCCTGCTGAGAACACTGAAGGCTAGTACTAAGACAAAGGTTTTAGATTTTAGAAGAGCAAACTTCAGCTTGCTCAAAGGTCAGTTGGGAGACTCCATGGGAAGCTACCTTGGAGGATAAAGGAGGTAGCGAGTGCTGGGAGCTTTTCAAGAACACTCTCTTGGAAGCACAAAGATGTTCATTCCCTTTAAAGATAGGGTAAGTAGTCAGATCAAGAGACACCCCTCCCACCCCTTGTCTTAACTATAAACTTCTGAGTCTGCTCAAAACCAGAAGAGGAGCATACCAGAGATGGAAAAGTGGACAAATACCTGTTGACAACTACAAGGGCCTTGCCAGGGCACAGAGAGATGCAGTTTGAAAACCAAAAGCTCAGCTTGAATTGAGATTGACCAGAGATGTCAAAAACTATGCGAAAGGGTTTTTCAGGTACGTAAACAAGCAGAAACAGCAGGAAACTATTGGCCCACTGTTAAACAGGAGAGGTGAATCTGTCACCAACAGCGCTGAAAAGACAGAGGTTCTCAACACTTGCTTCACCTCAATCTTTACGAGCACTGTTGGACCCCAGGCCGTGGGAACAAAAATCCAGGTTGATGCAAACGCTGTCAATGAAGAAAAAATTGTTGTGCAAAGTATTACAGGAGCTTAACCCCTACAAATGAGCCTTGACATTATTCACCCAAGGGTGTTAAGAGCTGACCCCACTCTGAGGCCACTGTCCATAATCTTTGAGAAGTTGTGGAGGTCAGGGGACATCCCAGAAGACTAGAAGAGAAGGATGATGTCACCCCCATCTACAAGAGGGGCTTAAAGAAGGATCCAGGAAATTGTAGGTAAATCAGTCTTACTTCAATTCCTGGAAATGTTATGGAACCATTCCTCCTGGGAGCTGTGACAAATCAAATGAAGCAAATATTTGGAAAAAGCTAGCGCAGATTCACTAAGAGCAAATAGTTCTTGACAAAATTGATTGCCTTCTATGACAAAGTAACCTGCTAAGTTGATGTGGGATGAGTGGTGGACAATTTCTACCTGGATTTCTCCAGGGCATTTGATATGGTTGCCCGTAGCCTCCTCTTAGAGAAACTGATGCATTATGGTCTAGACAAGTGGTCTGTGCAGAGGGTGGGGAACTGGCTGACAGGCTGGAACCAGGGGGTGGTGGTAAATACCTCTTTTTAAAATTGGAAACCTGTCACTAGTGGTGTCCCCCAGGGATCGATATTGGGCCCAGTGCTGTTTAATCATGAGTGATCTGGATGATGGGATCAAGTGTATCCTGATGAAGTTTGATGATGATACCAGACTGAGTGGTCACTTTGGAAGGGAGAGCCACCCTGCAGGAAGACCTGGCTAGGCTAGAAGAGTGACTAACAAGAACCTTATGAGGTTTAACAAGGACGAGTATAAGGTCTTGCATCTGGGAAAACGTAATCCAGTAGTGCAGCACAGACTAGGATCTACCCAGCTGAAGAACAGCTCTGTGGAAAGGGCCCTGGAGGTCCTGATGAACAAACAGGTCAGTGGGAGTGACCAGCGTGCTGCTGCTGCAAAGGAGGCCAGCAGGATGCTAGGGTGCATCAATAAGAGCATTATCAGTAGAGATAAAGAAGTCATTATCCCACTCTACTCGGTGCTTGTCAGGCCACACCTGCAATACTGTGTTCAGGTTGGGTCCCTGATATGTAAAATGTTGTGGACAGGCTGGGGAGGGTCCAGAGGAGGGACACAAAAAGCTGATCAAGGGACTGGGAAGCCTGCCGTATGGGGAAAGGCTGAGAGTTGGATTTGTTCAGCCTTGAGAAGAGAAGGCTTCGGGATGGTCTTATCACCATGTTCCAGTATTTAAAGGGTCGCTACAAAAGATGAAGACTCTCCTTTTGACAAGGAGTCACATGGAAAAGGTAAGGAGTAGTGGGTACAAGTTACTCCTGGGAAGATTCCGACTGGACACAAGTGGAAAATTTTTCACAGTGAGAACAATCAGTAGCTGGAATAAAGCCCCCAGGGAAGTGGTGGATTTCCCAACATTGGACACATTTAGGATTCCACTGGACAGGGCGCTGGGCCATCTTGTCTAGACCATGCTTTTGCCAAGAAAGGTTGGACCAGATGGTCCTTGAAGTCCCTTCCAATCTGGTATTCTATGATTTTGTCAATGAAATAAGGAATGAAAATTCCTTAATGCCAGATTTAGCATTAATGAGCAGCATTACTTCATTCAACTGGGTACATGAGGGAGTCATTCCACCTAACATGTCCACTGTATATTAAAATAGCCAAAGCTTATATCACTCTTACGTATATGTGCATCAGATTTCCTGGAATGATTATACATATTAATTTGATTTCGTATAACTCATTATCATATTTACATAGTTATTACACATGCAGTTTGGGTCTCTGAGTGGCTTCCATAGGGCGTGATGGTGGTCTGTAGCAGTCTCTGGTGGTCTTTGGGAGAGGAATCTTTCTTGAACTTTGCACTTTGGAATCTTTCTTCTTTATATGGTAAGGACTTGGTCTGTCTTTGGTTTATGTCTGCACTTTCTTATCTCTTGCCTAGCTTCAGCTAGTTCATCATTTTCAGAGGGCCTTAATCTTCAGCGACAGGGGCTTCTGATTGGGAGTCTCTCAATTTGCACCTTCTCCAGGAGGTGGTTATCACACTTACCTAGCTCAAGGACCATTGTACAGTGGACATATTGCAGGCATTTAGCCAATTGCTTAAATTCTTTAAGATTGTCCTCAAATTTTATTACCCATTTTCCAACAATTCTAAGCATCTGTAAAGTGTTGGTGAATGTTACAGAAAAGTTGTTAAACGGAGTATTTTCTATATATTGTGTATCTGCTAGCTATTTCCACTGCTAAATTTCCCCATGACAATCGTATGCTTTTTCATGTTGTTACATTTAGCAGAGTTAGTCTTCTGTCTTCAGAATTATTCCTTTGTAAACTCAAGAGTATCCTCTGTTTTGTCTCACAGTGAAAAAGTATGATCCCAGAAGGAGCAAGTTTAAGCCTTTAATGTTCCAGCAATTCTCTTCTCTAAACTCTGATTATAAATGTTTTGTTATGCAGTTGATTATATAAGCTTAATCCTTGTTCCATGTTTATAAATAAATAATTATTTGTTGCATACTTGATACTTTGCAACATATGGATGTATATTTTAAAATTTTAGGTGTTACGATATTTTCTGTTAAACAAGTTTAATGTGTTTATGAGTTAGAAATGTCATTGTTTTTGTTGATACTTAGATAGAATCTTTGTCCTAGCTTTGAAGTTGGACATATGTTGTTCAGCAGTGTGGATTAGATGACTCGTTAGAATTTCCTTCTGACAAAATTTTCTGTAATTTGAAACCTGAAATAACATTTGTTGGCAAGAACTACTGTTTACCTACTGACAACTATTAAAATAACTCTATGAAATACAATATTAGTAATTACCACTGTCTATATTTTCTTGTTTTAGATCCAAGCAGGTTTCAGGACTGCTGGAGACTTTCTGATGGCTTTGTAGCTGCTGAAGCTAAAACTATATTACCCCATCGAGCCAGATCAAGGTGAACATTTAATGAACTTAGTTTAAACTTTTGGTTTTGTTTTGTGGTGATGTTGACAAAATATTTGTTGTTTTATTGCAGACACAGTAAGAAATTAACTTTCTAAACTGTTTCCATACTTTTTTCTCCTTAGGCCTGACCTCATGGATAATTATTTGGCTTTAGTGCTTTCAGCTTTTATTACCAATGGACTTCTAGAGGTAACAAATGATGTTACATTTGAATAGATGCTTAGTACTGTTTTTCTTCTAAATATTAAAATGTTATACATTAAATGTTTTAATATTTCAATTTTTTGAAGGGTCTGGTTGAAGTGATCACAAGTAGTGATGACCATGTGTCAGTTAGAGCAACTATCCTTTTAGGAGAACTTTTGCACATGGTAAGTAAAACTTCTTGCTGAGTATAAGTAGTATTAGTAGCTAGCTGCAAATAGGTATTTCCTATTACAGCTTTGAATTTGTGTTACGAGCTTGGCACATGTAACTTTTCATCTGAATAATGGGTTAATTTACATCTTTTGGCACTTCATATATTAAAAACAGTATGAATTAATAGCAAGGCCATTTGGAAATCACTGAAAGTGCTAGGGACACTGCTTCAAAGATAATCCTCAGCTCTCAAACTCTCACCAGTACACTTCTTTGCCTCAGTAACCAGTTGTATTTTTAAGCTGGAGTCTTGCAAACTCACCCATCAATTACTGTGTTTGGGAAGAGGACTGTTGCTGAAACTTTTTTTATGTTCAGCTTGGTGTGGCTGGAGCACCTGGTGTTACTCATTCAGGCAACTCCAACTTGGTGGAGTGTTCTTTCAGCACTGCTGTGCGTGGCCCCTGCTACAGAGAAGCTGAAGGGACCTAACTTTATTCTGCTTGCCTCACCTAACATAACTTTTATGAGAGCTTCTCTATCTTAACTTAAACTATTTTATTACAGATATATTACTGTTTTCATATACACTCCAGTGTTAACTTTCAGCCTCCTGAGGAGCTGTTAGTCATATATGAAGTGATATGATTTACCTTCCTTGCAAAGAAGTTCTTTATATTTTTCACAACCTCTCCAGATTACGAGAATAGCATATGCAGCAGAGCACTTTTTGACCATTTTTCTTGGTTTTTTTTTTTTTTTTTTTTTTTTTTAGTCTTTTTCCAAATAAACTATAAGAGATTGTAAGATTGGGAAGTACAACTTGGTTTTACAAAATTTGAATGTGAGTTGTCGGACATAGTCTGCATCTTCAACTATCAACTCATTTCAGTGGTGCTTAACGCTCCAAAAAACAAGATCACAGTCTTCAGATACAGGATTTCTTATTACTACAGCGATTTACAGCTTCTCAGATCATCAGCATGGGTCACAACCACAACAAATCTGTTCTTTAGTCTCTTCAGTGATTTTTCTTTAAATAATTGGTAGAACTTCTTGGGTGTTCAATCAACTATGTAGTTTAAAAAGAGGAATCTGTAGTAACATATGCTATTTTTCTGGTTTCTGGAATAATTTTGAATGGGAGTGACTGTTACTGACATGAGTATGCTGCAAAGCATAGGTATTTTCTGTTTTTCTAAAGAGATGACTCATTAGTCTAAGGTGACTGTTTATCAAAGCACTGAACAAATACTTGTATTTTTACTTAGTTTTAAGAGATTGCAGCAGTTTATCTTCATTATTCTTTAGTTTCCAAAAATATTTGCAGAACTCCTTACATTGCCCAAAATAAAAGCAATGAAATGTCTAGTAACTTAGGAAGTTATGTTAATTAATGAGATTTTTTATGTGTGCAGAAAGTTTTTAATAGAAATCATCAGCTTAATTTGTATTTCTGATTCTAGATATTTATACACATGACATAAGGATATCTGATGCTTTGATGTTTTTTCATATTACCACTTTAGAAATCACCAGTCCAAACAACAAATATTAGAAGGCTCTACAATCTAAAATTAAGTTATTTTCAGTTGTATTTCAGATTGATTGGTTAGATCAAATATTTAGAATGATAGGTGTAATTATTACTCTGACATTATGCAAAAAGTAGTTTTGTTTTCATGCATTTGTGAAAGTCTTGTGAAAAGTGATAGATTCTTCAAATGTTGATCCTAAAGAGATGGCTGAAAATGTTGTAATAAGTTACTCCAACTGGTCTTTTGTTTTTTTTTAGGCAAACACAATTCTTCCTCATTCTCACAGCCATCACCTGCACTGCTTACCAACGCTAATGAATATGGCAGCATCTTTTGACATCATGAAAGAGAAAAGACTGTAAGAATTCTAAATTACACTTAGAGGCAAAAGTATTTACATCTCCTTTTCCCCCTACATTCGAGTGAAACCCTACATTGCAAGTTTTCTGGTGGCTGAAACCACTGCTGTCTTTATTTGAAAGCAAACATACACATGCATATAGAAATGTCTGTCACACTTACTAGGGAAATAGTTTCCCATGAATCATTCCAAAAGTGTTTACAGTAACAGTTCAGAAATTTTGAAATTTGGAAAGAAAGGTTTGATAGTAGATCTCAGAACACTTTTGCATATATTGCAGTACTGTTGAACAGAATTTTTCGTAAATCATCTCTAAGGCGTTCTTTGAACAAGCAACATCTGAGATGTGTTCTTTGTGTTTGACCTCTCCATTATTTAACACTTTTTTGGCATTTTGATACAACTAAGCTTTCAAAACTAAAAAAGACTGTACCAATTTTTTCTTCTATTGTTGTTTATGTATAGGTCATTACAGTAATATACCGAATCAGTGAATCATTAGTATGAGCAAGAGCCAGAAATGTAATATTGGCATGGGGCTGTTTTTTTGGTTTTTAGTTTTTTTGGTTTGCTTCTTTTTAAACCATTTTCTTCTTCAGAAGAAAATAGTGGTTGTAACATTAGTGATTATGTTAAAACTTTCTGATGCTTTTGTTCAAAGCTTGCACTGATAATTTTTTCTCTTCCTTTTAGTTCCATTTGAGTATAAAAATGTATGAACAGAAACTTTAAATTTAGTGCAGCATTCTGCAGTGGCATGTAATTAAGCAGTACTACGGAATTGTTTGGCAGTCATAGTGCCAATCTGATGAAGTATATTTGGGCATCTGACTCAGAAAATGTTTATAGAGCCTCTTAATTTCTCTTTGAACTAGATATACGTGAATTTTGAGATTTTAAAAACATAGGCTTTTTAATTTTATTATTTTTTTTTAAATTTCTCTGTACATCTACTAATCTACTACTCTGAAGTGCTCTTTCATAAAATACCATGCCCTGGGTACTTTACACAACTTAAACCTCCAAGGGAAGAAGTCGAATAATTTGATAGATTGATTTGTCTTTAAATTATGTTCCAGTAAATGAGTGTTCTTACATGTGTTTCTTTGTAGAAGATCATTTAAATTGAGTGTGTTGGGGTTTTTTTCTAGTAGTAAATTATAGGAAATGTTTTTGTTAATTACTCTGCCCATTCGTCATCTGCTTTGTCAGATCAGTATTCTGATAATTATAACTTTCTATTTTGTCTTTCATTTTGTTGTCAGTGATAAATTACAGAATCTGTCCAGACTGCTACTGTGAAATGATAAATGCTGTTAGTAGAGTGTTTCCAAGTAACGTAGTGCTCTTCTGCTTTTTAGTTTTGAAGGTTTCTTACATGTCAATAGAAGATTCTGCTATTTGAAAAGTTATTTTTCAAAAAAAGGCATATCTGAAACGCTATTACAGGATATTTAACTTGGTCAAAGCTGTGGATTGAGAGGAAAGATGAAGAGCAGAAGGGATACATTTGTGGATTATCTGCAGTTTTTTTGCTTTTTGGCATTTGTGGGCATAACTGATAGAGTAGTAAGAACTCCCATTTTTGTTGAAATAAAGTAATTTTGTGGAAGTAGTATTTTTATAATTGGGGATCTTTGTTTTGGTCAACACTCTGCATTGTTTTATACTCTGAAAAACTGTAGGCCCTATTACAGATTAAATTTGCATAATTTAGATGAAGTGGCCAAATTCAAAGGTATTTGTTTGTTTGAAGATAATACAAAATGAAGACACTTCTCTACCCTGTGAGAATTTTTGTTAATGGGAAAGAAAGGAGGACTTACCTCCTCATTTTTAGATTTCCTTGTTTTATTTGCTCAGGAGATAGTTGTGGTTTTTTTGTTTTTTTTTTTTTTTTTTTTGTTTTTTTTTTTTTCTGCTACCACTATTTTGTAATTAACTTTTTCTACCCTTGTCAACTGTCATTTCTATTACTTTGTATCTTTTCCTGGAAAATTTCTTACATGCTTTTGCTGAGCTGTTTAGAAATAAAGATCAGGAAACATGCTACCGATATTCCTGCCACTGTCTGGGGGAAGTAAATAAGTAAATACAAAATATACAAGAAATACTTTGTTGGCCAAAGGTGAGGCTAGCCCTCTCAACTTCACCGCAGAATGTTGATTTACTGTGACATCTCACAACACTTTTATCAACTTTACAGTATCTTCTGTGAGCTACGATAGACACCACCAATTACAGAGAAGAAGAAAAGATACCAATAAGGCTCATTCTTCAGTACTAGAAATTCTGAAAGATTAATTTGCTGTATAATGTCAATACAAGCCTGAGGCCTATGGATGTATGAAAAATTGTATCAAGAAAATTATTTTCTTTTTATCTGCTTTGTAATTGTTGGTCAGCTCTCTCTTGAGCTATGTTTATTTACTCAAGATACAGCAGTGGCACTCTTCAGTTGCCAAATGTTATCCAAATACTGATTAGAGGGTTTTTTTCTACTAGACGAGCAAGTGCTGCACTCAACTGCTTAAAACGTTTTCATGAGATGAAGAAAAGAGGACCTAAACCTTACAGCCTCCATTTAGATCATATTATTCAAAAAGCAATCTCAACGCACCAAAGAAGGGATCAGTACCGTGTGCAGAAAGACATCTTTATTTTAAAGGTATTAACCATTACTGATTTTTCAAAACCAAATTGGAGACTTAGATCCTGCCCCCCAAGCTTCACTCTCTCATCTAATTCAGAAACATTTATGTAATTTCTTCGTAGTATTTTTTTAAATTTAATTTGCCTTGGAGGTACTTGTGGATACTATATTGCATTCCTAGAAATTGAGGAGTGAAATGACAATAATTTTTAATGCTTTTTAGGACCAGCTGTGATCTCTTACTACTGGATTCTTAATGCAGTACTATAATCATGCAATTTAATTTCAAATGCAGATTACTGTGGAGCATAGCCCTTTTAATGATTGTTATATGAACAGTAAGTATATTGTGACAAGACTGAAAAAAAAGATGTGAGGAAACTTACTGTAGTTTTTCATGTCTGTGTTCCAGGATACAGAAGAAGCACTTGTAATGAATCTTCGAGACAGTCAAGTTCTCAATCATAAAGAGAACCTTGACTGGAATTGGAATCTAATAGGGACCATACTGAAGGTGAGCTTAAAAAGGGCATGATATTCTTTCTATTAAATCGTTTGGGAGGAAGTCTCTATTTCACATGTGAGCTTTTGACTAATATTAATTAATTCTATAGTACATCCCATAATCTGTTTTATTTCAGACAATGAGGATTTTATGGGTTTAATCAATGCTGCTGTAGTCTTTTTGTATACAACCCTTAAACTATATTTAGAAGTACACTACAGTTAAATTCAGAAATTTTTCAGGAAGCATTTATTAAATTTTATACAACTTTATTTGTATAGAAATGGACTTTACAGAATTAGTTATAATGACTTTAAAGCTGCTAATATTTTAGACTTCAGTCCAAACAATACAGGGTTACTGCCTCATTCAGTTTCATAGCAAATTTCTTTTTATATAACGTGACCTGAAGGTTAAGGCTGGAGGTAGGTTATAGATCAAACTTCACATGCTTAGAGTGAGCTACACATGAGGACTTCAGTAGTATGCAGTCTCACTGTATGTTTTGAACTAATACAAACACTCCTCTAGCATGAAAACTATTAAAAAAATTATTTTTACAAAACGAAGGAAATCTCTCTGACAGGGAGGGCATTATCTTAAATATATTTAATGCACTGCTTTTAAGAGACTATCTGTTTTTTAAAGCAGAAAACTTACTTTGAGTAAAAAAACTTGCTGAGTACTCAGTATAGTCTTTGAACCAAAATGGCTCCCTTCATTCTGTACAAAAAGGCCATCCTTCTGTTACCCCCAAGTAACATTTTCTTACTGTCTTCTTTAGTGTGTTGTTACAAAGATGATGAAAGTAAAAAAAACTATTAATGGTGACAGTCATAATCAAGATCATATTTTAAAAAAAAAGAAACTAAATATTTCTGTGCATTTTTTCAGGGACTAATAAACTTGAGACAGCAAGAATCTGTCTGGTTTAAAGACCTAGATAAATATCTGACAGTAGCTTTGCTCCACCACACTTCCCTGTTTACAGGCTTTTTACTGCAATGTACTAAATTTACTAAACATGCTGGATTAATAGAAAACGATGATTGTTAATCATAGATATTTTTACCTTTGATTTAATATTAAAGATATTAGCAAGAAACTGTATTTCATAATCTTACTGTTAAGTAGTCTGTGTAGTACTTTGACAATGGAAGTTTTATGCAGTTAACTGCCAAGGTGTATGGTGGTTTTAACCTGAAATTTAGGTCAAACCGAACAGTTTTCCTGCTACTTCAGACCTCCCCAGCAGTATACTTTCTAGTGTCCTGTCAAACAGTTGCTGATGTCTCAAAATCAGGGACTTATGTCTTTCAGAATTAGAAGTTTGTGTGTTTTCTGGTTTAATTCTAACCACTTCCATTCCTGTTAAACTGCACAACACAAGCATGAACTAAGATAATGTTATCAGTGGTCCATCTTCAGTTCTGGAATGAACGGGATCCAGATTCCAGTGTTTGAGCTTTGCTATCTCATGTGGCTACTCACATCCCTCTTGTCTCTGTTACACCCTTACGGCTGTGGAACATCAGCTTTCTAACTACCTCACTATTTGCCTCTCATGTGGTCCTTTACTGCCTTTTTCACTTGCTGAGCTGCTAAAAGAGCAGCAAAAGTGGCAGTGGTTAGGATGGAGGAATTGTCACTTTGTCATTGACAGTAGAACTTAATACTTTATCTGGTGCTGTTACTAGTGTAGTCAGTTTTACTAATCATTAACTAGTGTACGATATATCTTAATACTAGTATACCGATTGGAAATGTAGAATTGTATTGCTTAGGTAAAAAAGAAGAATGATATGCTTTTTTCCATCCATGCCAAGAACATACTAGTAGCAACAAAAATAAATTTCAAACCACAGAGGCCACAGATGGCTGTAAGAGCAGAGGAAGATATAATAGGAAGAAAGGATAGGTCCAGAAGAAAGTATTACGACTTCATGCGATCCTTCTTAAAACATCTTATAAAGTATCAACAGAAGAGTTTAAATACCGTTTTAATAAGCAGTATTTGTGAGCTATAACAGAATAATTATTATTTTTAAAGGAAATCTGATTAATAGTGAAAACAACAAAAAAAATATTTCCCTATTTATGCATATCAACATTTTTTGTTATTTTCAGAGAAGAAACTGAGCAAAATTGTTTATTTTTCATTAGCTTTTCATAGTTCGCTATTTTCATTAGAATTATGGCCTTGTACACACAGCATCTGACTGACATTCCCGGTCCTGCTCTAGAAAAAAATCGAACAGTTCTTGGAGCAAGAAGTGTGGGCTTTTCAATAAAATAAGGTGGTTTTATAGGTAACATTAGATGCAAGAACACTTCTAATTATTAGGTAAATATAACTATAATAGAAATGAGTAAATTTTAGTGACTAATCAAGGACTGATGTACAAGTTTCATATAATGCTATATTTGCTGTTTTTCTAGTGGCCAAATGTAAATCTAAGGAACTATAAAGATGAACAGTTGCACAGGTATGTAAAAATTATGTAGACTTCCTTTGAAGAAAGAAATTTGGAAAAACTGGTTTTTAATATCGCAATAAACTATTCCTTGGATATGTAACATTTCTAAAACTTAATCTATAGATAAGCAGCAAAAATGAAAATTTAGATAATTAGGTTGCAATATTTGCTTTAAATAAACAGGTCTTTAAGCTTTAGTGGTTTCTTTCCTATACGCAGATACTATATGTATTTATTCCCTTAACAAGACCCATACCAGCTTTGTAAACACCCTATTTTGTTTTAAACCTTAACGTATTACCTCTTTGATATTTCATACATTAGTATTTGTTGTCAGTACTTACAAATTTTGACTACAGTTGTACAGTTCAGTAGTTACAGAGTAGTTTTGTATTTGGAGGCATGGAAAGCTACTTCTACATGAGTTTGAGCAAAAACCTAAAGCTAAAACATATGCTGAAAGGCTCACGCTGCTCCCTTTTAAGTTTTTATTAAAAAGCAGTCAGGCTACTTTTACATAGTGTTCCCAGCATAAGAGGTAGTCCCATTGCAATCATGCCCATAATTTAATTTTGCATTTGTATTTTTCTGTTTGTTTTTCTTACCCTAATCATTAATTGCCAATCTGTATTTTGTGGTAAAGGATTATTTTCCAAATCTGGTGATTTATAACATTTTTTTTCTAAAAGCAACTGCTTTTCTGCAGTCCTGCTCTGACACCCATCCCCACCCCTCTACCTACCTATCTGGGACAATGTTCCTGTTTCCTGGTTTTGTGCTGCACTCAGGCATTGTTCAGTGCCTATATAATCCAGTTCCAAATAAACTGAGAAAATCTAGGGTTGACTTAGTATAAAACTTCTACAGTTTGATCCTTTCTGTAGGATTGCAGGTTAGATGCTTTAATGCCTTTAAAATGCTGTTACTCTTGTTTAATTATAACTAATTAAGCCTCAAATCTCTCTAGTTTTACTGCTGATCACAAAAAATTTTCAGCCACTTTGGTTTTTAATTGTAAAATACATTTATTTGTCCTTCCATCAGTTGAATTTTTTTACTGTTAGTGTTCTTGTGATAATCTTACAACTGCTAAAGTGAAATTCCAGATATTTTTGACAGATTCCTTCATTTCATAGAGATACAGTTAATGCAATGTATGTATATACTTGTATGTGTGTATACACATATATACACAAACATAAATGTGTGTGTTAATACCTGTAATACATTTATTGCTAATAACCCAGAATAAAATACATTTTATATGACAAAATTTAAAGAAGCCCTCAGATTTCCTTTATAATTGGTCCTCTGTTTGGAGTTGGGGGTAGTGGCTTACTCTCACTTGTTTACCTAAATGCACAGTGCTTTAGTGAAGTTTTCTTAATGTTTGACATACCTACCTTCAGACAGAACATTCTGTATTATTTTAAAGCACAAGTATGTTTTTATTTTTTGACTAAGAATTGGCAAGGGGAAGCTCTTTGAAGATTTTTTCCTGCAATGCAAAAGTCAAGCTATATTGCTCACCGTATTTTGAAAAGTCTGAGTGAGAGTCTGTGTTTGCAATCACTATTATGCTTCAGAAGTGGTTGAGTGAGGTGAATGAAAATATTGTTGCTGAATAAATATGGCCTTTTCCTGGCACAACACAAAAATGTATTTTTCACAGTAATGTTAACTATTATAGCTGAAGAGAACTTATGTGACAGGTTCTTTTTTAACTCTTTGTAAGTCTAGGTAGTATAGTCTTTGAAACTTGCCACAAGATAAATTACAGCAGAATAAAACAAGAATGAGAAGGAAGCTATGGCTTTTAAGAACACAGAGATTTTTAAGTTCCTTGGCTTATTTTAGGTTACGGCATAGAAAACCTTTTATAACACAAAGTACAGCTGCATCTCTGAAATCGTGTTTGGATAGACTCATTACTGCTACCTGCTACTCCTTTAATTACCTCTGAAAAGGTATTGCCAATAGGCTAATTTAGTGATAACACATCTTTCCTACCAGCATCATTTTGTTCTGTGAGACTACCATTCTCATACTGAAAAATACCAAATTCTCTTTTACCTTCCATAGATTTGTAAGGAGATTACTGTATTTTTACAAGCCTAGCAGTAAGCTATATGCCAACCTGGATCTGGATTATGCCAAGGCTAAGCAGCTCACTGTGGTGGGCTGTCAGTTTACTGAGTTTCTTCTTGAATCAGAAGAGGTAAGAAATTTGCAACTAAAGGACTGGAAGTAGAATGAGTAGTGCTTCTGTATGCCACTTAGAGGAAAAACCTTCATTTTAAGCAAAGACTTGTGTAGACTTTGGGTGTTAAATCTAAAATGATCACTGTAATTCAGAAATACAACTTAAAATCTTGAATTGTCCAGATGAGACACTGAGGAGAAGATGACTGTTTAAGTAGAAGTTTTATTAAATACATCTTTATTAAATGCAACTTACAGTTTGGAAGTTTTTAATTTTTTGCTATGTGTATCTTTCCTTTCTCTACCTCCTTTCTTCTTGTGTGCTAAAGACTTCTAGGCCTTAGGCCAGAGGAAAATGTCATTGCACAATCATTTTCCTGGAAAGGATAGTATTGGTCCCAAGATGTCTAAAAGCTAAATTCCTTTTTATTTGCCTTGAAGAACCTTTCTTTAGTCTGAATTGTGCTTGCCAGCCAGCATTTCTATTTTGTATCTATATTGTGTTTGTACATTTTAAGAAATTAAAATGACGGGTTTCAGTAAAGAGGAGAGACCCAGTTCTCCTGGTAAATGCTATTACTCTTTGTTTTATTAGGATGGACAAGGTTACCTGGAGGAATTGGTTAAAGATATTGTACATTGGCTCAACTGTTCATCAGGAATGAAACCTGAACGTAGTCTTCAAAATAATGGATTACTAAATACCCTTAGCCAGCACTACTTTCTGTTTTTTGGTACTCTCTCTTGTCACCCTCATGGAGTGAAAATGCTTGAAAAATGTAATGTGTTTCAGTGGTGAGTATTTTTATTCTGTTTGAATTGCACTTACGGATATAATAGTTACGGAAATTGTTAACTGTTCATGAGGACCACCGTCTGTAAAGCTGAAAACTTTAAAGTTCTTTTGATTTACTTGCAAGTAAAAATCCCTATTTGTGGGGATTTTCAGTATTTTTTTTTAAGAAGGAGTCTTTTAGTCTGTTATTGTTGAACAGATATGGGTGATTGTGTCACAAAGTAGCTTACTTTTTCCTTCCCACACCTATCTGACAGAAGTCAGTATCAGGGAGGATGACACTGTACTGAAAACATGGGAGGAGTGGGGGGGAAGAAGAGAAAAAGAAAATAAAATCCAAACAAAAACAAAAAAAAAAGTTCAAAATTTTGTTCATGTACAAGTAATTCCCTCTGGGAGTAAATTGGCTAGTGGCTAATAGCAGTTTATTTAAAATGTAGTAAACTTGAAGTTAAATTTCAGGTGTTTTGATGTATTCTGGATTTAAGTTGTTTTAATTGATTGTTGGAATGCAGCTTTTTTTGCTAGCCTCAGAGAACTTCATTTACAATAAAATCTAGACAGTTAGTAGGACTAACCTTATGGCAAGCTTTATATACTGAATGTTTTACAATGAGGAATTGTGCACAGAGCTTCATGAACATCAGTTTTTGTACTCATAATCACTAATTAATGTATACTGACAAAAATATTACAGAGCAATTATAAACAATGATAGTTCGGGGTTTTTTCCCCGTGCAGTTTAGTGCATTATTTGGTCCACATTTAACTCTTTAACAGTTCTAACAGTTTAAAGTTACTTCATTTCATATGAGAATTTACTTTGTAATCTGCATTTATAGAAGTGAAAGTCTAATTCAGAGTACTTGTTTAAATTATTCATTGAATAAATAAATGGGTTTGGGTTCAAATACTGATTTTTACTTTCTTTTCCCTCCCCTTGTCCCCCCAGTCTTCTTAATCTTTGTTCTCTAAAGAACCAGGATCACTTGTTAAAATTGACTGTTTCTAGTTTGGATTACAGCAGAGATGGGTTAGCAAGAGTCATACTTTCTAAAATCCTGACAGCAGCTACTGATGTAAGTTTGATTTAATTTACCTTCCATTGTTTTGTGCTGGTAGGCATTTATTTTGTTATTTAAGATGTATGACTTTATTTTTAAGCTATTCTATATCCAGAAAGATTTTTATTTTTGTATTCAGAGAAATTAAACTCCTACTCATGTAGCTTTTGAATATGCTGCAAACTTCATGCTCTCTGATGCATTTGTCAAGAAATTAAGTCATTCAATGAGGTTTCTTTCATGTATGAAGGGGGTTTAAAGTCTGTAAATGCATAAACCAAGTGTAATGTTATTGTCTAGGTCAGTGGACATGCTAAATCAATCATGAGGGCATTGTTTTCACAAACAGAAATGTGTATTTCTAACAGTAATAAACAGGTTAACCTTGCAGCGGTAGATACTGTTTTGATACTTAATGAGGTTACTGTGGTAGAACTGTGTAGAAGCTGTAGCTCTTGGAACAAGGGTCTGGTTCAGAAATGGGCATTGGGATTTGTACTTCTGAATCACAGAAGGTGAGTGGAAATAAAACACAGGCTTACACAGACTTGAGAGAGGAAGCTGTTTTTCTTAAATCAATCAGATGTAACAATCATTAATGTCAGAAAAATGACAGTTAGTAAGCTGAAATTTAACCAAACAAGAACTTTCATTACTTCAAGGAGAGCTATTCCTCTGTCACCTGGACAAGGCAGAATATATTCTAATAGTGGATACAAGAGGGAATAAGGTAGATGCTGGCTTTGGATGTCTCATTGCATTTTGGAAGAGGAGAGGGAAAGAAATTAATTGAGGATATTTCTCTGAGACCGTCAAAGATATCATGAGTTTTAGGGTAAAGAGTAGAATCTGAAAGTAATTAAGATAGTTGATGTTGAAGGAATGACTCATTGAAGGAAGACAGTGAAGCTCCTTACTGAATAATTTTTAAGTAAACTTTCAATGAAATAATGACTTCGAGACCCTTTTTCCAAAGTTGGTGTATGCCTAGTCTGAGAAAGAAAACAAATGAATATGCTGTGAGAACACATGCCTGTGTCTTTATTAGACTTCTAAGCTCCTGTTAGATAACTGACATTTAAGAGCAATTTAGACTGTGGAACTGACAGGTATTTTGCATGGACAGTTTCACTGACTGAGGAGTAATTTGGGAGTACCTTTGTTTAGACGTTAGGGGAAGGTATCTGCCATTTTCTGTTTTACACTCTGGAATTCTGAAACAGCAGCATTGTCAACAGCAAAAGAGAATTTACTCCTTTGTATTTAGCAAGCATGGTAGGAAAAAAAATGAAACCTGACACAGTTTATACCAGTCACTCTTCTGTCCAATAAGGAGAATGTACTTTTAAATATTACCAGAAATGACATTCTGTTATCTTGGACAAGTGAATCCTAAGGTTAGAAATGAACATGCAGTTCAATTCAAGTGAGGCACTTAAAAGCCCTTCCACCTTCCCTTTTCAAGGACTTCTCATGAGGACCTTGTAGGATGAGTGGAGCCTGTATATTAAGTCTCTGGAAGGGTTTGTATTAATTCATAATCCAGAAAACAAAATGTGGTTTTGGGTCTGTATGCTGCCTCTGGCTTCTAAGTTCTGCTTAAAAGCAATAAAAATGTATGAAACCGGACATAATTTCTGAAAAGCTGTGTTTTGTAAGGGAGAAAAAACATCTCCAATAAGGCTTCTTCCTTTCAGAATTTTTAATTCCTTGAGACATTTGTTAATGAAATGCTTTTTCTGTTTATTTCAAAAGCGGAAGATGCTCTTTTCCTTGGTTTAACTGATGTTGTAGCCTCATATGCCCTTTAAAGCTACCCAGAGCTGTGAAGCAGATTTTTCTGCCATTTGCTAATGAGCGTCTCTGAATAAAGAAAAGTAATTTCTGTAGCCAGCTTAGCATTAGAACGGGAAAGTAGCATTTTGGGGTGACCGTATACAATAAAAACATTTACAGAGCAATATCCTTGCAGGTCAGTGAAGCAAAAGCACATCTCACCCTACTTCCATCTGTGCTTTGGTCATTCATGCTAAAGCAAATTAATACTGCCTCAGCTGCCTTTCTGACAGTTCATGGAGGAACCAGCAGAGTAGCCAGTGTGTCCTCAAGTTCTGCAGTTTATAACCTAAAGTTTTAACTTCATAGGTGGCTAAGGATTAGATTTACCGTATACCTCCTGGCATCTGTGCTGAACTGTATGTAATCAGCTGAGCATGCTGACCTCTGACTTGCTTCCTCACTTCAAAGGGTCTCAAAGCCCCTTAATGACAAATTTAGTGCAGGGCTTTATCTGTGTTTTAGATGTAGTTCATGTCTGTGGGAAAGAGGGGAATGTCTGTTTCCTCTGATATCCTCTACACCGGCCTTCCAATTGGTTCTCATCAAAAGTAAAAAGATTCCAGGATTTTGCTTCATCTGCAAAGGGAATGCTAGGATTTGCCCTCTGATCTGGGAAATGCATACAGGTGACCTTGCTGCACAAAGGTTATCGTCCTGCCTGAAGACGTTAGGACTGTTGGAAATGCATGCAATGATATTGCAGCCCCAGGTCTGAGGTTTCAACATCTTAGTCTGTTGAATCATTCCTTGTTGTAAAGACCCTTTTCTATGCTTTCAGATACTTAAAACTCTGTTCTGCTGTCTTTACACCTTTTTAATTGTTTTTTTTCCTTCTGATGATGGTAAGGAAACCAGAACTGTACAGTGTCCAAGATGTCAACACCCAGTGGACTTACCTAGTAACAACGCTGACGCATTTTGTTCTGTTGACTTCCAGTGCTTTTGGTCACCACTGAACTTCTGTCTAGTGCTTCCACAGAACTAATTAGTATTAGCCCCCAAGATCTTTCCCTGGGTGGAAAGAGCTGCCTCAGAACCTGTTGGTGTGTGTAAAGCTGGGATTATTTTTTCACTTTAGCTTATTGATTCAAATTTATGAACAGTGAAATTTATTTGCCATTTTATTGTCCTATGAGAGTCATGAGCTCCTTGTTATCTTTTCCTTCTCCAAACAGAAAATAAAACTTGTTCTAATTCTGTATTAGCTATCTTGATAGATTAATTCATGTTCAGGAAGTATTTCAGGAAGCAAACATTGTTATCTTTTGTTCCCTCTATCACACTCAGTGTAGTTACAGCAGTGACAATGATTGTTTATAGACAGATTTTGACACTTGAACTACATGACACGGAATTCTGGTTTCATATTATTGTGTTATTCTGTAGGTTTAACATCTAGATCAAGTGATCATTTTGGCATAATAGCTCTTGTTCTCATCTTTAATAGGCAACTTTTTAATTTTTTACTTGTTTATGACGCATACAAGACATACCATTAACAGGATGCAAGCCATTTCAAAATGGTTGTGCAGCCTACGCCAGAGTTGTGAATCACTGTTCCACAGTCTTTCTTGGTACGTGTGTTATGTCATTCCTGCTTCACCTTCAAAAAATAAGCCTCTGTATATTGAATAAGTAGAAATGTGCACATAATGAGTTGAAAAAATGAGACAACGTTTTTGAAGTGAACTGTGCACATTCACATTTCCTACTCTCATTTTCTTTCACATCCTGCTCACCAAGTATTTCAGGAGGAAAAAAAAAAAATCCAAAAGATATTCTTAACCTAGTTAGCGCTGTCCAGCCTGGACTAGTTCACCTATCTCTTCGAGTGCAGATATTCACATGCATCCCAACATAGATCACTTACATTTTGACATGTAGACAACATATTTGGTTACAGCGATCACAGCCTTGAAGGTGTAGGGACTGAAGACCTGAAGAAAGATTTGGACACCTGATTTTGTCTTTTCCAGTTATGCTTGTTGAAATATAGATAATACCTTCCCTACTAAGCATACATTGTCAGGGTTGTTCTGTGCTAACTCCAGAACACTGCTAATTCTTATAGAATAAACCTATGCTTCTAGTTGATGTGTACTTTTTCTAATAGAAAATGGTGTTAATCAGTTTATGCTGTTTATTCAGGAAGTTTTGAACAGCAGTACAGAAACTGATGGGGTACTTATTTCATTTTGTTGTCACTTGGAGAAATCCGTAGTAGTAAACTAAGTGTTGGGAAACTGTCTTATTACAGGAAATAACATTTTTCTATTTAGAAGCTTTACTGAGAAGCTTTGAAGATCAGTTACTTTTGGGAAACACTTTAAGAGTTATTAAAATTTCCTCAGAGGTTCTAATATTTGCTTGTTAAGGGTTTTTTTGCAAAATATTGCATACGTGAAAGTATATGAAATTGCACTGGCCATTTACAAGGTATTTTTCCTCCTAATCCCAATGACTTTGTGTGGTGCTGTTGCAGTGAATTGATGAGGGCTTTCCGAGGGGACTTGCAGTGACCAGATCACTTGTGAACTCAGACTCAAATTTCCCATTTGATAAGATAGAAATAGCTCTCTAATAGTCTGTAGTTTTAATACAGTGTGCATCACAGCTAGTTGCTGTAAAATATGGTAGTTGAAATGTATTTTTAGAAGTGATAAATCATTAACTATACAGATGTTTTTCATTGATTCTAAAAAGCATTTTCCTTTTGCAGAGCTGCAGGTTGTATGCAACAAAACACTTACGAGTATTATTGAGAGCGAATGTAGAGTTCTTCAGCAACTGGGGGATTGAGTTACTGGTGACCCAGTTACATGATAAAAATAAAACTATTTCTTCAGAGGCACTTGATATTCTGGATGAGGCATGTGAAGACAAGGTGAGCATCCTTTCCATTTTCAACCTCTTTTTGGTATGTTACTCTGAAACCTGTTCCTCACCCTCTCCTCCAGTAGCAAAGTAAAAGTATGCAGGAAACTACTGGTGGTTTCGTTCCTTGATTCTCACTGATGGACTTCATAATAGTTTATGGACCCGCTTGCTGAAAACACTGCAGTATCAATGCTAAGAAAATGTAGGCTTCTGGATTATGCCTACTTTTAAATATTAATTCAGACTAATTCAGCTATTTTGAACATTATGCTTTTTTGTGAAATAAAAGATATTTGATGACAGAAGGTACCTAAAACAGATAATACTAGGATGAGGTTATTGTTGTTTGATACTTCCTTTTGTGAAAAACTTGTTGCTTCAGTACTGGAGGACTGTTGTGCTTGTTGTAGTTTTCAGAATTATACAGTGCTCAGATACTCCTTTATACATTTTCAATTATTTTAGGCCAATCTTCATGCCCTTATACAAATGAAACCAGCTCTTTCTCATCTTGGAGACAAGGGTTTACTTCTGCTTCTAAGGTAACTGTTGAGTATGCTGTTTGCCCTTACTCTGTGGGAAAAAATAAGTGTTTGTTTTTATTCAAATTATATGATTTAAGTGGAGTACTAACTGTCTGATGTTACTTTACAGATTTCTGTCCATCCCAAAAGGGTTTTCATACCTAAATGAAAGAGGCTATGTAACAAAACAAATGGAAAAGTGGCAAAAGGTAATGCAAAGAATAAAAAGTGTGCTAGATATTAGGATGAAGAAGGGTGTGAATATGCAGGTTTAGAAGGTTTAAGATTCTTAAAAGTATTGCATATTCATATACATGTGTTCCTAATGCAAATAAATTTATTGCCTCAGTGACTTAATGATTTTGCCGAAAAAAGTTGACAGGGACTTAGGAGTTCCATAGCTCCTCTGTATGTGCATGCTTTTGATTTACCCAGGCCTTTTATATAATTCTGATCTTTCAGCAAATATTTCAGGAGTGTAGTGGCTTTCTAAAATAGGTTGTTGTGTAAGGTCTTAGCTAGAGAAGCGTATAAGGAATACTACTTTTCAAGATACCTGTTATGTCTGGGTGTTGCTAATTCAGGTTAAATCTAGAGCTCATGAAGATAGAAGTAGTTTATGCTATTAGAAAGGAAATGGGAACATAAGACCATTAAGAAAAATTCATCGTTGTCATGACTAGAATGAAATTCTTCATACATTACTTTGTTTTCATTATTGTTACATGCTTGGTCTCATTCCTATTGTCATTTTTTTTTTTACTAACTCATAAGCTGTCACTTCCCTAGAAATACAGAAATGCATGGTGATCTCATGTTTGGGTTAAAGTCAGATGTGAAACATTTGTGTTTTCCTTTTTTTAATAAATTTACTGAAATAATTATGGAATGAATCATTGACTCTGCAGACTCATTGTATGCATGAAGTACAGTAATTTTGCTGAGCCCCACCGTCAGATCATAAAGAAATTCAGTCTCCCTTAAGGAGCATTTCAATTACACCTTCTTTATAAACTACCGTACTATAAAAATAAATAACTAAATATATTGTCTCAACCTTTGTCTGTCTTCTTTTAGGAATACAACTTAAAGTATGTTGAATTGATTGAAGAACAACTTAATGAAGCACTTACAACATACCGCAAACCTGTTGATGGTGATAACTATGTTCGTCGGAGCAACCAAAGGTAAATTTGGGAAAATGTGTCTTTGGGAGTAAGCTGATGAGACTGATCGAGAGCACTTTAAACTAAGCCAAGGAGAGTATGGCATCACCTCAGGATGGCAATGCTAATAGGAACATTTACAGTGCTCCTGGGAGCATAGAGAGCTCAGGAGTATATCTACACCGCTTGTATACCAACACATGCAATATGAAAAACAAACAGGTTGAACTGGAAGCGTTGGTCAGTTCCCAGAGCTATGTCTTTGGTATTGGCAAGACCTGGTGGAATGAGTCCCACAATCAGACTGTTGGCATGGAGGGCTACAGGCAGTTGGGGAGGAATAGTCAGGGCAGGCGAGGTAGAGATGTCACCCTGTATGTAAAGGAGAGGTTTGATTGTACAGCCTTTACAGTTAATGGTGGTGTGTTTGAGAGCCTCTGGGTGAGGACTAGGGATGGGAAACAAAGGAGATGTTGTAGTCAGCATCTACTACTGATGGCTCAGCCAGAATGTTAGCACTGATGAGTTATTCTGTGGACAATTAGGATAAATTTCTGGATCAGTATCCTTTGTCCTTACGGGAGACTTCAACTTCCTGGACATCAACTGCCAATACTATATTGCTCTGACAAGCAGGTCTTGGAAATTGTTGAAGTTTGTAGGAGGTAACTTCTTGTCACAATTACTCAGTGAGTCAGCTAGGGCAGATGCCCTCCTAGACTTGCTATTTGTGAATAGAGAAGGACTCATGAGAGGTGTGATTGTAGGTGCCTATCTCAGCCACAGTGACCATGAAAAGGTTGAGTTTAAATTTTCAGAGTAATGAGAAAAAAGATGGGGGAGTTGCTACCCTGGACTTCAGGGAGCTGTTTAGCAGAGTGGCCTGGGAATCTGCTTTTGAGGGCTTAGGAGACCATGAGTGCTGATCAGTTTTTAAGAATCACCTTTTAAAAGCACAGGAGGAGTCAATCCCATTGTGTCATAAGTCAAGCAAGTGGGGCAGAAGACCAGCTTGGCTGAACAGGGAACTCCTTGTGGAGCTCAAGAGGAAAAAGAAATTGTGTGATCTCTGGAAGCAAGATCAGGCTTCACAGGAAGACTACAGACCTGTGGTCCATATATGCAGGGAGAAGACACGAAAAGCCAGAACTCAATTAGATTTGAAACTGGCCAGTGTTGTGTCAGATAACAAGAAGGGCTTTAGGTGTGTTAATAGCAGGAAGAGGTTAAACAAAGCATTGGACCAATACTTGTTGCAGATAATCACCTGACTAAGGGGGATGAAGAAAAAGCAGAGGCATTCAGTGCTTTTTTTGCCTCAGTCTTTAATAATACTGATAGACTTTGGGCTGCTCAGTGCCCTGAGTCAGAGGACCACAAGTGTGGGAACAGTGACTTTCCATCTGTGGATACTGAAATTGTAAGGGACCAGCTGTATCAGCTGAATGTTCACAAATCCTTGGGGCCTGATGGGATTCATTCCAGAGTACTGAAGGAGCTATTGGATGTTATGGGAGGACCCCTCTCAATCATCTACCAAAGGTCCTGGGAGTCTGCGAAGGTGCCTGCTGACTGGAAGATAGCCAGTGTTATTCCCATCTACAAGAAGGGCACAAGGGAAGACCCAGGAAACTACAGACCTGTTAGTCTAACCTCAGTTTCTGGAAAAATTACAAAGCTCATACTGTGTACTTTTGAAAGGCATTTAAAGAACAATGCAATCATCAGGCTGAGTCAACAGGGGTTCACAAATTGAAAGTCCCATTTAACTAATTTGCTATCCTTATATGATAAGGTCACCTACCTAGTGGCTGAAGGAAGATGGTGAATGTAGTTCTTCTGAATTTTAGTAGGGCTTTTGATACTGTCTCTCACAGCATCCTTCTGGACAAGTTGTCCAGCTGTGGGATGAGCAGGTTCACGGTGTGCTGGGTGAAAAACTGGCTGAAGAGCAGAGCTCAAAGGGTTGTGGTGAATGGGGCTACATCTGGCTGGGGACCAGTCACTAGAGGTGTTCCTCAGGGCTCCATTCTAGGGGCAGTTCTGTTCACTAAATTTATCAACGATCTAGATGCAGGAGTTGAATTCACCATTAGCAAGTTTGCTGATGATGCCAAACTAGGAGGTGCTGTTGACTCTCTTGAGGGACAGGAGGCCTTGCAGAGGGATCTAGATAGATTAGAGCACTGGACAGTGATTAATGGGATGAAATTTAAGAAGTCCAAATGCTGGATTCTGCACCTGGGATGGAGTAACACAGGGTGCCAGTATAAATTGGGAGAGGAGTGTCTGGAGAGCAGCCCTGCAGAAAGGGGCCCCGGGGGTGCTGGTGGGCAGCAGGCTCAGTGTGAGCCAGCCACGTGCCCTGGCAGCCCAGGGGGCAAAGCCCACCCCGGGGTGCATCAGACACCTGGTGCATCACCAGCTGTTTGGAGAAAAGGAGGCTGGGGGGTGACCTCATTGCTCCCCACAGCTTCCTGGGGGGAGGGGTTGTAGAGAGGGAGGTGCTGAGCTCTTCTCCCTGGTACCCAGTTGTAGGACATGTGGGAATTGTTCAAAGCTGCAGGAGGTTCAGACTGGACATCAAGAAGCATTTCTTTACCGAGAGGGTGGTCAAACACTGGCACAGGCTTCCTAGAGAGGCGGTGGTTGACCCAGGCCTGTAATGTGTTTGGATTTGGACAGTGCCCTTAATAACAGTGTTTTAACTTTTGTTCAGCCCTGAGTTGGTGAGGCAGTTGGACTACATGATTGTTGTAGGTTCCTTCTGACTGAACTATTCTATTCTTTTCTAAATTCTCCCGAAGAACCCTTTGTCTGCAAAAACTCAAGAGTTACTCATTGCATTTTACTGTAGTGTAAGTTATTTTAAAAGAAAATGTCAGAATTTCTGAGAAAGCATACGATTTCTCTTTCTGCCAGATTACAGCGACCACATGTCTACCTGCCCGTTCATCTTTATGGCCAACTGGTGCACCATAAAACAGGCTGCCATTTATTGGAGTCTCAGGTGAGGATAATAACTGTTTATAGCTTGAAAGATTTTAGAATACTGTAAGCCTTTTTAAACACATTTTAAAAGAGATGGCTTTTAAATTGTCATTGCTAAATAATTTGATTATGAACGTCTTAAGTTGTATGGGGCCAAAAAGTTAATATTGTCTTTGCCATTTAGTCTCATAAAATTTCTTCTCAACGTTGAAATGTGAGAGAAATACCTTGCAACATTTTTCTTAAAATGACTAACAAAATCTCACAATGGAAAACAACTCACCAATAGAAATAATTTTTCAGTCTGTATATAAGTGAATTGTATATTGATAAATAAAACTGTGCCTATCCTTTTAAGCATACAAAAATGTGGAGATGAGGGAATAAAATCTTTTAATATCTTGAAAAGCTAATAACACAAACCCTAAGCCAGTTCATAGTTGCTTGAATGAATTCACTTTTAACGTGGGTTTGCAAGATGATATAATGAATTGAATAAAATAGTTGAAAAGTTCAAGGGAAAGTTGATATATTGTAGTGTGTTGGTCTAATTAATTTGTTATCTTTACAAAATGTGAATCAACTTGATGTAATCAGTGTTTACATTAAAATTTTCTGCTTGCATTACCATTGCTGTTAATTTATGCTTATTATTCTAGAACCATCACTGTTCATTTTAGGGTGCGCACTTTAGTGCTTTACCTTTTCTTAATAACGCAAGACAACCTGTTTGACTGAGGTCTCTTTAATTTTCAACTGAGGGTTTGTTTTTTTTTCTTCTTCTTCTCCTTCAGAGTATTGTTACAGATCTAAGTTACACAGTTCGCTCCCCAATGCTGGATAAGTGGGAAGGAATTAAGCAGCTGAAAGCAGCCCTTTGGGCCTTGGTTAGTAATAGATTTACAAACTTTCTGCAATTGTTTGAGTTCTGTTATGACTCTTGATTCTTAAATAACTGAGCAAAATTCTATAAGATCATTAATTAGAGGTTTTGTTATAGAAAGTGTATGTTTTTTCCAGTTTGGTATTCTGTACCTTAACTAGACTTCCAGTTGAAAATGGTTGACTGCACCCAAACCTCTGCTTTGAGATGTGGCTTGAAAATGTTGAAAGCTTTATACTGACAGTGCTGCAGATCACATCAAAATCAAAACTTACTTGACAAACTTTTATTCCAGGGCAATATTGGATCGTCAAATTGGGGTCTTAACTTGCTGCAAGAGGAGAATGTAATTCCTGATATAATGGCACTTGCCCAACATTGTGAGGTTCTCTCTGTTAGAGGGTATGTGTAACTGATTTATACGTAGAATTTACAGATGGTAGTTGCCAGAGGTTTTCAAATAGCCTTACCTAATTTACATGAATATAGTTTTGCACTTACTTGGAAGTCAGTTATTAAAGATCATCGGTGACTGTCACTAAGTGGTGACAATCACAGAATTGTGTAGGAATTCTGAAAGAACATGCAGTAAGCAAATGAAACCTATGAAAAAAGACGTACTAATTTTCTCCTTTAAAAAAAAAAACAAAACAAAACAAACCAAAACAAAAACAGTTAAAATATTTGCTACTTATCTCTGTTGGAATCAAATTATTATTCCATCATTTTCATTCAGTATCTTTTTTGAATCTGGAAAAGCATAAATAGATGGTCTTTTTGCCTAATACTGCTACTGCATTAATGTTTGTCGTTTTATTATTTTTTTAAAAAGGGTAACTTTCTATTTTATGTAATTAGGCACTTTTAGTAGTTAGGTTTTATTTTTGCATAGTGTATTGTTCTTATTACTTAAGCGTTCATTGATTGACAAATAAAAATGAACAAAAAGCTACTTGGCAGTTTTGTGAAGTTTCTGTTGAATTGTTTTGAAACTGTTTCCTTTTAAAAGGTAAATAAATTTAGTTAAATTAGATGCTATTGTTGCTTTTTTTTTCCATTTATATATTAAATACAGAACCTGTGTCTACGTGCTTGGTCTAATAGCCAAAACTAAACAAGGGTGTGACATTTTGAAGCATCACAACTGGGATGCAGTGAGACACAGTCGTAGACAGCCTTGGCCAGTGGTCCCTGATGACATGGAGCAGCTCTGCAATGAACTTTCTTCCATACCCAGCACTCTTAGCTTGAACTCTGAGTCTACCAGTTCTAGGCATAACAGTGAAAGTGAATCTGCTCCTTCAAGTAAGTAACAACAAACAAACAAAAAGCAACAACAGGAAAAAGAAAAAAAAAAAAAAGAAAAAGAAAAAATAAAAGGAAAGAAAAATACCACAAAACAGCATTTTGTTTTTCTTGCCAACCTTTTGGCAGGATGAGGTTCAGGCAAATGTTGTAAAGGTGTTATTGCAAGAAAGAGCGCAAGCAAGGGGACAATTACATGCATTCAGAGAAATGTAGACAAGTGAGAAGGAAGAGAACAGTGTCTTATGTTTGCATTTGGTGTAGAAGTAAGAAGTTTTAACATCAGGGTAAGTTACTAGTTTTTATGTCAAGTCATGGCAGCTTGCTGCAATACCCTGCAGAAATCTTCATGCTTTGGCTATAAAGATACATGTACTTGGTTGTCCTCAAAGGAATATTCTAGAATATAAATACATACATTCTGTGTGTATACACACACACACAGAATATTGCTGTACTTACATTCTTGTATGTTTTGAGAATCCGGTAAATTTTAATTTTGCTATGGATATTTGGAATTTAAATTCAGAAATACATGATATTTAGATCTCATGAAAGAAGTTGTAATCCTTACAGCTGGATATTTGCACTGAAATAAGATAGTGTGGCTTTTCTGTTGAAGCAATGAAACCTTCAGCTCAGATTCTTAATTTACACTAAGTTCTGCAGAGAAAACCTTGAATTAAAATTGCAGTAAATCACATGGTGTCCTACTTTGACTTGTATAGAATTGTTTACTTTTTTGCAACATAGTTTATACACTTCGAAGCAATGTCCATTTCCAGTGACAAAGTCTCATATAATTTCAGGTATGTTCATCATGGAGGATGACCGTTTTGGTAGTACTTCCACTAGTGCATTCTTCTTAAATATCACTGAAGAAGCAGAACAAATATTTTATGACAGACCTGGGCCTTCAAAGGACAAAGACCGTAGTCCCTTTCCTTTCTTTTCCTCTAGCAGACTTGTGAAAAATCGCATTCTAAACTCTCTTACTCTGCCTAATAAAAAACACAGAAGTAGCAGTGATCCAAAAGGAGGAAAGCTGACATCATCTGACAGTAAATCAGGACTGAGGCGAAATCGTACAGTAACAGAACCTTCCAGTAGCATAGACTTTCCTGCTGTGGAAGAATACAACCCTGTTTTCAGAGTTCCTAAAATCCAGACTTTACGATTAGAAACTTCTTTTGTTGGAAGTAAGCACATGGAAGATACAGATAGTACCCCAAGTATTGGAGAAAATGATCTGAAGCTGCCAAAATGTCTTGGAAACGAAATTCACCGGGAAAACACAAGCAGAGAAAAGCTGATAGGAGATGGTACTACACAAACACATTTCAAGAGTCGTAGCTTAAGTTTCAATACAGATACCACAACAAGCGGCATAAGCTCAATGAGCTCTAGCCCTTCAAGGGACACTGTAGGTGTGGATGCTACAAATGTAGATACTGACTGCGGAAGTTTGAGTACTGTGGTAAGCACAAAAACTGTTAAACCAAGTCACTGTTCAACACCACAGTCTAACCACCTGCCTCTCTCAAAATCTAACTCTGTATCCCTGGTACCGCCAGGGTCTTCTCATACACTTCCCCGAAGAGCCCAGTCTCTTAAAGCTCCTTCTCTTGCTATGATAAAAAGTCTTGCTGACTATAATTTTAGCTACACAAGTTCTCGGGATGCCTTTGGCTATGCTACACTAAAACGCTTACAACAGCAGAGGATGCATCCTTCACTGTCTCACTCAGAAGCCCTAGCATCACCGGCAAAGGACGTGCTGTTTACTGACACTATCACCATGAAGTCTGGCAGCCTGGATTCTCGGCTAACCCCAAGCCGGTAAGAGATTATTGTGTGCTTATTTCTTACTTCAAAGCTGTAAGGGCAATTAAATAAGAAAAGTGTATTTCTAATTTTTATTTTCCAACTTCACCTAAAAGTGATGGTTGTTGCATGATGATTCATAACTTCACTGAAAGCAGTATCAATATTGGGAGAATATAATAATAGAATTCTCAACTTTGTAAGTGCTGTCAGGGAAGTCCAGCTTCCATAGTTGTGCTTAGTGCCTTTAGTGTTGCTGGTGTCAAAGGAGAATGTTTCCTTTCCTGTTCAACTTTTTTAATATTTAAATGCAATTACACTGCTAACATTACTAAAGTTGCAGTGACACCCAACTGCCCATGTAGTCAGAACTATATTTCAGAAGATTTTCTTGATGTCACTTGGTGAGGTTTTAGGACAGGGACTCCTGCCAGTATGCTATATTCGTGTTCACTGTGGTATTAAGGCCAGTGATGAGATACTGGTACCACTGATAGGAATGTCATTTTGGCTTCTTCACTACAACAGAGCAAAGATTTTACTCATAGCATTTATTTTTAGATGGCAGAGTCACCTCTTTATTTTTGAATAATATTAGATGTTCTGAAGACTAATTGGATAGTTACATAAGATATCTAGCTCATGACATTGACACTGTTTCCAGCATCTACAGTCAGTGCTTAACAACTCTCTCTTATAAGATCTTCTACCAAACTTTTCTTTTCAGATCATCTTTTAGCTAGTGCATTGTATTTTCCCATTACTATTGCAAGAGAAAAGACACTTTCTATTGCTGTTCTTACATAAATATCCTCTCTCAGATGAGAAAAAGGGGAGAAGCTACCAGTACATTAGTCATCTGCTTACTGCGCAGAACAGTAATAAATGCCCAGTCCCTGAATTGTACTCCTCATACCCAGTTGAGTGTATATATGGTTCCTGTTTATTACTGTGCATTTTTGTCCATGCATTTGTTGATACTTTCACATGATTCTGCAAAGATGCCATAAAAAAAGTTTTGTTCCTTTTGTTCAATTAAGTTAGAACTAGACTGAGTGAAATCGTTAAATTAAAAATGATTCAGTAGTTAAAGTGCAGTCCTGGAAATCAGAAGTGCTCTTCCTTGCTCTGTCACTGACTTCCTGTGCTAATGCAGGAAAAAATCAGTGTCATTTCAATGGCAGTACAGGTTCTGTTGTGGCTGTACTAACACACTGTTCCGTGCAGTCATGTTCTTGATGTGCAAAGCATCATTGCTGCAGTGGACTTTCCTCCTGAGACTTTGTATGCGGTGTAGTACTAACTATTGCTGTTTTTAAGCTGTTTGTGATCTCTTATATTACTGGTTAGGCTTAGTGATTTGAGCTGACCTGTTTAACATTGAACTGAAATGACTGGAGTGCTTGTATCTCTGAGAAAGTTAAAAAGTTGCGGATGTACATATTAAAAGAGATTGTCAGATTGTGGTCATTACTAATATAATTGATTGGAAAGACTATGATGTAACTAGAATGTCTTTCTCTTTCTGATTACAGCTGAGTTGTCTGCACTGAATAATTGCGGTCCTTTAAATTTCAGAGTATGTTGCTACTTCCAGCTAAATATTGTCCTTAACTGCTAAGTAATAAATTGGAAATAAATATTCTGTCCTTTTTTTCTGTGAAGTCTATTTTTCTGTCAGTCTTCAGAAAAATTTGACTCATGCTTCATTGTTAAATACATGTGTTCATAGTTACTATCAGTTTTCAACTGATCTTTGTGATGTTTCTAGTTGCTTTCGTTCAAAAGGCTGAAAAGCTTATTTCCTTGCATAAATTACTTTGCGAGGCTAAATTTCCCACCCTTATCTTTAAAGACCAAAAATGTTAACGTGTGTGTCTCAAATCCTGATTGTGGCTCTCGCGTTATCACTTGCAGACACACTTTCATGAAAACTTACTGTTTTTCATTACTACTAATGATATATCTGTTAGCTTTTCCAGGAAAAGCAGGGACAAATGTTTTGGATTAATACTTCTATCTTTAATTTTACGTTGAGAGTAATTGTAGAATGCTTCATTTTGAAATAACTAATGCAAATGGATGGTTTAGAATCATAGAATCATTTAAGTTAGAAGAGAACTTCAAGATAGAGTCCAACCATTAACCCAACACTGCCAAGTCCACCACTAAATCATGTCCCGAAGCACCACGTCTACACATCTTCTAAATACCTCCAGGGATGGTGACTCAGCCACTTCCCTGGGCAGCCTGTTCCAGTGCTTGACAACCCTTTCAGTGAAGAACTTTGTCCTAATACCCAATCTAAACCTCCCCTGGTCCAACTTGAGGCCATTTCCTTTCATCCTTTTTGAAGTATGGCTTGACTTCTCTTTTACATCCACTGCTACTGTCATTAGCATTGGCCAGAATTAGTAGCAAGAAAACTACTGATGTCATATAACTTGTTCTGCATGTTCCCTCTCATAATGTCTTGAACCTTACATGGTCAAGCCTTGATAATTTAATTTTATCTCAGTATAAATCTGTTAACTGTTATGGATAAGAAGACATTTTAATTGCCCACCTAAAACAAACAAACAAAAAGATATAAAATTATTTCTAAGGCAGAAAGTCAAGAAAACAAATGTTTACCCCCCAGTGTATAATAATTTGCAGTAATAGAATTAAAATTTACTGCTCCTGAGTTATGTCTCTTCTTTTTACTAGAAAGCAGACCACCTACGTAAGTTGATTAGCAGAAAACATTTATAGGTTTTTATCTTCAATGATAAGTAAAATGACAGATGGCCAAATATGAAATTTCCATCATCAGGACTCTGATTAGCACTGAGAACTTGTCCTACAGCCTCCTCTCTCTTGACTCATTGTCCCAACCTATTCCTTTGTTCCTTGCACTGCTTGTCACAGCTCTGCTCATTGCCCAGGTTCAGGTTTGTTCTTTGTGTATTCATGTTGAATAAATTCTTCCTCCATGCTTGGGTGACCAAATAAATGGCTCCTTCACAGTACAGGAAAAAAATGCTCCTTGCTTGCATTGCTGGTACCTAGTAGCCTCAAGCTTTGCATTTGCAGGGATGTGCCTGGTCAGTTCAAAGTTTGTGAATATCCAGTGAAGCTATATTCAGTTTATAGGTACATTTCAAAACAAGCAGTTAGCAGTTCAAAAGCCTAAATCTTTACTGACCACATCTGTGCTGTATGTCTTAGAAGCCTGGTAAACTGGATAAAATTTGTGGGTTTGCAGGGTTGGCAGACCCTCCAGCAGAAGTTCCATCCTGCTGTCTTTCAAGTCCCTGTCCCAGGACTTTCAAAGAAAAAATTTTTACCTGAGGAGCAGCCAAACCACCCGATCCAATATGAGACAGAAAAAAGCAACGAGTCTATAGCTGTAATTTGACAGACTAACAAGCTCTTGGTTCTACAGTGGGAAGATGAGGATAGTCTTTGTGTCAGCAGTCCTTCTTTTAATGTGCCAGAATGAGACATTTACCAAGATTGTGATTTATTATTCCAATGTTCCAGGTTCATGAAAGCTTTAAGTTATGCTTCATTAGATAAAGAAGATTTATTAAGTCCTATTAACCAAAACACACTTCAGCGTTCATCTTCAGTCCGCTCCATGGTTTCTAATGCTACATATGGTAGCTCTGACGATTACATTGGCCTTGCTCTCCCAGTGGATATCAATGAAATATTTCAGGTATGTATGTAGTAACTTAGTGCATTCATTTGCATTTTTATGCTGAAAGGTAGTCAACTGTTGCATTTTCATCAGAATAGATTTAGAGAAGTGAGGAAAAACTTATGTGGTACTTTCAAACAAGGAATTTTGGAGAACGAGTTTCTTTTCTAACCCTGTTTACAGAAAATAACTGGTCTGTTTCATATTATTAGGCAAATAATGACACAGACTGGATTAGAAGAGTGTTAAGCAATGGTAGAATAAATATGCTGTCATAAGATTTTTAGCTGACAGCTAACTTTTATACTAAAACTAGCATAGTCTGTTGACACTTGTTAGTACCTCTTTAGCCAACTAATTGATGTGTTCATTGGTCAACTGTAAATGATGTGTATAACACAGTTAACTTCCTGCTACCGTGATCTTGATTAACTATTAGTTTATTTGTATATATATCGTCATAGAATTAAATTAAATTGTCTTTCTTAACCTCACAAAAAATACATATTTAAGTTAAAACAAGCTATTTTAAGTGCTCAATTGCCTTGCTCTTTCTACTTGGTTAAAACACATTCCTATCCAACAAACTGATGCATCACAAGGTTTAATATTCTGTTACTTAATTATCAAAAACAGGACATGGTCTATGTCAAAGGTAAATCAGTGGGCTTCCTTATCTTTTGTTTAGTCTTTACCTTTCAAACCTAAATTACTTTTTTACTAATCTCAAAAAATTACTAAAGCAAGAGCAAAGGCATTATTTTCCATCATAACTACCTACCTCTGTTCCTCCTTATCAAATAACTGCTTTTTATTTCTCCTTTGCAGTCTTTGTGGCATATTTATGTTGTCTCATTTCTTCTCTCTCAACTCTTCTTGTAGAGTTGAGACATGTCTCGACTCCACAGAATCTTACAGGCAACTCTTCAGATGTCCTGGGTGGTTTTGCACTGCCTTCCCAAGATCTCCAGTGGTGTAGAGTGATCATGGACAGCTCATTAATAGCCACCTCTGAGTCCCTGGTTTCCTTGCAGCCTGTCACCCCTGTTTTAACATCTAGTCTCTGTTCATAAGCCTTGCTTAATAAGTGTTCATTCACAATTGTATGCTTTCCTCATTGGCTTTGCTTTAGTACTCAGGACCCCATTCCTAATTTCCCCTTCTAGTTAGATCTTTTCCTGAAGAAAAAATGGACAACATTTTGTTTCCTCATGAATCTTTTTTTCCCTTGTATATTATTAGCAGCTGTGCTGATTTTAATTTTCACTTGAATGTTTCAGGTAAAGGAAACTCCATATTTCCAGAAGAAAACCACACCTCCATTTGATGACCGTGGAGCTAGGGTCTTTGCACCTGATGCAGGCGGTACTGTGTTTGTTCCTCTCCTATACCTTCCTGTTGTTTAGTTGTACATTGAGTGGCGTGAGGTTTATTTGTTGATTTTTTTTCTTTACAGAAAAGGTTATTTTAAGGCTGTTAAGTTTTGAGCTGTGTTCTGGATTCAGGATAGCAGGCCATTAATTCACTGTTTTTACTTAGTTTGAGTGAATGTGGTATTTCTTCAAAGCAACATAAGCTTGATTCTGGTGTAATAAATGACGGAGGAAAGTCTCTGTATCTTTGATTCTGATTTGAGATAATGCTAATTGAAGACAGGTAATGAGATTTCATTAAAGAAAGTAACAAAATCTAAGCTAACATAAAACATATATGCCACATATTGAGCTGTTACATTTTGACTTTAATTACATGTGAATTTATAGGAACCAGTTAAGGTTGTTAGGTGTGTATTTTAGAAAGTAAATTTTGTCTTTCTGTAATGTTTCCATGACAGCCGATCAGTGGAGGTGATGGGACATGGTACAAGAGACTTACAGGTGGTCTGTAACGCCTGGCTTGTTTTGGAATGTAGTTTCTTCTTACTCCAGAGTAGTCAGGAATCTGTAGGTGTTGATATGTCTCTCCAGTAGGACAACTGAAAAAGAACCATTGAAACTGGTCAATGGATAGCTATTGTCTTGCCTTCTAGTTAACTGGAACTTTATTACAGGCACTTGGAACATCCAAAGAGATACCACACCTTACTGATTTTTTTTTTTTTCTTTTGTGTTGTTAATGTAATACATAAAGCTGATTTTCCTGGACGTTTCTTTAGTTTACTAAGTTACAATTTTGAACAAAAGTTACTTTACATTGAATTTGTTGGTATTTTCCACCCAGGATAGAGCATGTCACTAAAGTGTCTTCAGCTTGTTTCTGCACTGTTGAGTCTAGTTTTTTCCTATTGCAGGCACTGAGTTACAGTTTTTTAAAATGTGTTTCTGTGTTCATTGATGCATGTGTTATTCAGACATATACTATGGTATACGAATCTTGTTAGTGTGAAAATCGGTAACATACTAATATTACATGGGTATCGTTGTTACTAGTGTTGATATGTGCTAAATCCTGACATTATATCTTCTTACAGTATGTGTGTAAAGTATGTGTGTTTAGAGCTTGAATTCTGTCCTTTGCAATGTTTTGTTATGTATAATAAATCAGGACTAAAATATGATGTCTGTTTCCCAAATACTAACAATATTGGGAGCTTAACCACTTAAAAAAAAGTTTCTACATCTTTATGCACACATCTTCCCCAGCCTTAAAATGCTTAAAAGGGGAAATTTAATTGAAATAATATTGGTTCCTTGGTTTTGCTTTTTCTGATGTCTAATTGCTCTATCTACAGGTCTCCCATCAGGTCCAAGTGATGTTGTCAAAAGCCCTTTTCAGATGCTTCGACAGCAGATCAGTCTCACAGAAATAATGAATACTAGCCGTTCAGATGCTTCTCAGTTTTTAGAAAATACAGAGGATACAGGATTACAGGAGCACACAGATGAGAACTGCCTTTACTGTGTCTGCATTCAAATACTGGGTTACCAGCCTAACAACAAAGTAAACTCTTCATATAGTCGTACAGGTTAGTGTTCCTTGTGGGGAAGTATGATAAAACAGGATGAAGATGCTGGATTATGTTCACCTTTAAAAATGATTAATCTGTAAGGTCTTTTTTTCTTACTATCGACCTTGAAATTAATTCTCTGCAATAAGCTCACTGTGCAACCAATGGTATTTTTGTGGTCATTTCCAGCTTTTTTGATTTCTAGTGGTGTTATTATGACTGGGTACCTGCGTGTTTTTTCAAATATTTCTAAGAGCTTATCAAAATTCAAAATTTGAAATCTTTAGTACTTAAAATTCATGTCCTGAAAACTGACGCTTGCTGTCAAATGAATGAAGACTCTGACTTCAAAGCAAGTCTGTACCATAAAACAAGACAAAGAAATCAGAGGATCCAGTTGAAGTTGAACTGTAATTTCTGGGGTTTAGTAATTTTCCTTCATATTTTGAGATTCAGGTGAGATGCATAATTATTTTTACCTAACCTGCTCGGCAGAGCTTGCAGTTGCATGCCTTTTTGCAATGTCTGCAATAAAAAGATAATCCAGTAATGGATGCTGCTTAGGAATCCTCACTGTTTTACAACAGTGTTACACATTCAGCTAGTAGCACATACCGTACTGTTAGCAGAGGAGATGATCTACAAAATGGGTGGAATGGCCCAGAGCACTGAGTTTAAGCTCGAGTTCAGTATTGAGAAGGGATAGCAACTAAAATACCAACTGTAGACTTCAAATAGGATAACAGGATTATAGGTATGGCAGAGCCAGGCTCTTGTCAGAGACACACAGCCAAACGATGGACGGCCACGAGCATGTGCTGTAGGAATAGAAATTCCAGTTGTACGTTAGTTACTCTTTGCAGTGTTAACTAATCACATTTTGAGGTGTACCCTTCTTTGAGCAAGGGGTTGAACCAAAGTGATCTCCAGGAGTCCTTTCAGACCTGTTTTTCTGTGGTTCTGTTAACTATGCGACAATTAAAAGCTTGGGTTTTATATTCATCTCTTTCAATCCAAAATGGCAAAGGCTGTGGATAGTGAAACCTCCCAGAAGAATCCTACTTGCCACATCATTCTGCAGATGAAGTGAGAGCCCTTTCTGCAACACCTGTGATATTTGTATGAACCAAAAAAAAAAACTATGCATCTGCAAAAGCATCTTTATTATGTTACATAAAATAGAGTGTGGATATATCAATAAGAGCTCCATGTGATATGACAGTTTTTAGGTTTTAATCAGTGTTTAAGAGTTGGTTATTTTCACCCGAGTATTTTAAGATTCAAAAAAAAAGTGGTTTTTCTAGACATTTTGAGTATTATTTGTCCAAAATCCAACATTAGTTTCTAGCTGGTTTATATGCACAATATGTAGTGTATCAGTGCTTGCATGCTTACCATTGTTGAGAAATAAGCATCTGAGGTGAGGAAAAGTGTGAATAACAAAGATGCGACATCTTGTTTATGTCAGATTTTTCAGACATTCCTTATACTGACTGGTGTGGGCAGACCATACACAATCACTTAGATGTGCATTCCTCCAAATTTTCTGGAATTTCAGGCTGTAGTGATGCAGTGTCCCATGGTTCAGCTAGCAGCACCAAGAGTACAGAGCTTGTACTAGGTAAGTTTGAAAACCTTATGATTATTAGAGACTATAACTGTTAAAGTATTTCTTCGGTATTGTGGAAAAACAGTACTTCATTTATACATACTGCAACAAAGTAGTGGTTATTATTTAAAAAAAACAGAGACCAAGAGAGAAAACAGCAGCTATGTTCGGATGGGAGAACATTTTTAAACTCTTCTCCTTTTGCTATACAGCATTTGTGCAGGTTATTAAATAGCTCTGTATCTGACATTACAGGCAAATTGATTGCCTTTTTTTCCACACTGGTGTTAGTTTTTAAAAAAATATATATAAAAATTAATGAATTTCTGTACATAGAAAGACGGGGTTTTTTAGGCTTGAGTTTTACATTTTGAGTTATAATTTCTTATGAAGTAGCTGGTTGATAACTTCTCCAGCACCTTATAGAAACAGAGCAAGTAATCACTCGCCCCGTTTGAAACATGATTTAGTGGTCAAGACAGCACAAGTTTTTCCACTTATGAAATGATGGTTTACCTTTTTAAAATATTTCTATGTTAATTCTTGAAAACAGTATCTTTTTTTTAAAGTTCTAATTTCAATGGAAATATCTGTTGATAGTTCAGAATGGATATATATGAATGTGTGTGTGTGTGTGTGTGTGTTTGTTCATGAAATGGTAAAACAAGATTTACATAGCATAAGATTAGCACAGTCAAAGACTATTCTGTTTATACTGTTCTAATTTGTTCTTCCAGGAGTAAAATCAATCCCAGATGATACACCAGTGTGCAGAATACTTCTGCGTAAAGAAGTCTTACGCTTAGTAATCAATTTGAGTAGTTCAGTAGGAACTAAGGGCCATGAGACTGGACTCCTGACGTAAGTTCAATTCATTTCAGATGTTTTAGCAATGTCTGGTTGTATGTACTCTCTAAGATCTCTGGGATAGTGATTAACCTTATTTTTGACTTAAAGCATAGTCAGATACGATTGACTGTAACACAAAAGTTAAGCAAAGAATTTTTCTTTCAATATTTTTGCTGACTTTAATTTTTTACTCTTCCCCAGTCTTTCTAAAATCAGTAGTTCAACTGCAGTGATACTTCATTACATACCCAGTATGTCATGTGTCTTTAGAAAATAAATTGTAATTCTTTTTTGCTATTTACGCCAAATAATATATAGCAGATAAGCGGAATAATAAAATGACAGTAGCCTTTTGACAAACAAATCTGCTCTGAGCAAGAGTACAACTACTGGAATTGATTTATAGAAAAAATCATGTTAGGGACCATGTTATAATAAAACCTGTAGGTTTCTGGGCTGCTGATACTGGAAACTGACATAAAACTGCTAATAGAAAATGCAGAAATACTCATTTAGTTTCAGAAATGCTTACAGGTAATTAAGTTTGCTTCTCCATATTTTTTTATTACTGTAGTACATGTGGATGCCAATTATCTGATACGCTGTTCTTTTTCTACAGTTATTATTTTAAGACTAGGTTGTGTCTGCAATTCTGTACAACTTTCAATTTCTGTATATTCTCCGTGTGTGTGTGTGTGTATATGTAATATATTCTGTTTCATCTCGTTATACAGATTTCTTCTAGTTTGGTAAAAAATAATGCTGTCTGTTCTGATTTTCTTGCTTCATCAGATCCAGAATTTATAATGTCTCTTACTGAAGAGTCGTACTTTGTTAATGATGACAATCAAAATCTAATTGAACAGTTTTTTAAAAATATGAGGGAAATCTGTTCAAGACACAAAATTTCTTTTTCCTGTTATTCAGAATTAAGGAGAAGTATCCCCAAGCGTTTGATGACATATGCCTTTACTCTGAGGTATCCTACTTGTTAGCACATTGTACATTTCGACTTCCATCTCGAAGGTTCATTCAGGAGCTATTTCAAGACGTACAGTTCTTACAAGTAAGTGGAGCGTTCAGAGGCGATGAGTGCACCAAAATGTGCCAGCTGGGTGCAAGTTGCATGTTCTGAATAAAAGGTGCTTTCAGATACGTCTTAAAGGAAACCATTTTATTTCGCTAGTAAAATCTCTAACAACATTAATGCTTCATCTGTCTTCTAGATGCATGAAGAAGCAGAGGCTATTTTAGCAACACCATCAAAACAGCCAGTAATCAATACATCAGCAGAATCCTGACCTCTGTCTCACACAGTGCATTGCATATAGACTTCCTGAAGTGTTCAGACAACCTCTGACTGGATAAAAAGCTTGGAGCATCATCTTCTAGACTGTTCCAGAAGCTATTGGTACCTGAAGACTGAACTGAAACCTTTTTCTTCCTCAACAAATTACTGCCCCAGTCTTTTGAGCCCTTTGGGGAGTTATTAAACATTACCATAGTTTTAATAATAGTAATTACCAGTATATGCAAGAGCCGAGCACTGAACACCTCCACAAGTTTTCATTTCATTTTCTACCATAAATTAAAAAAGAGGACAACATGCAGAGACATCTTTTTTGATTGACTTCTGAGTCTGTTCCAGAGAAGCAGAACAATGCCTTGCTTTTTAAAACCTGGATACCAGGAATCAGAGATGAGGGTGCATTCCATTGCCAGCAATGGGGAGCCATGCTGTAATCATGGACACCAGGGGATTAATGTTAGCCTTTCTGTGTTGGTTTTTGTACTGTTTATAACACTACTTTGGGGGTTTGTAACTTCAGACAGAAAGAAAAGCCTCTGTGAATCTGAGGTTTCCTTTAAGTTATTTTAATATTGCTGTAGTTGTAAGTCATGTTAGTAGCAGTCTCTCCAATTTCATTACATTTACGCACATGTTCCTTTTCTGAACCAGTTTAAGGGTTTTCACTACAGTTTGATTTTAAGAATAATAAATCATTTAAACTTAAGATGCTGAAATTAGATTGTTTTCCCTGAATGATATGCATGTGTTTGCAGTTTCTAAACTCATGCTCATGTAGTATGAATGCTGGTCTTACTCTTAACTAAAACTCTTCAAAGAGCATGATTTGTATCAGGTAAACTAATATTGCGTAAAGTAAACTTGAAGTCATTTAGTCATTGCTGCTTTTGTGAGAAGACATAATAGGAGTTTTTTCCAAGTTCCATGGAAACACCCTTTTATAAAAACAAAGGTTTTTTTGAATTTTCCATGGATGAATGATCAAGCATCAGATAGTACTCATAACTGTAGTGAAAAGCCTTAAGTACCAAATTTTGGAGCAGCAGTACTTATAATTTTATACTGGTGTTTAAGACTTGTTGCAAATGTTAAATGATACAGTGACTGTTAATGACTGAAATAGTTGCCTCAATCACATTACTAGTGAGGTTTCTAAATTAGTGAGTGCAAGCTTAAAGTAAGAAACCCTGTCACTTTTGTCGTGAATCTAAAGATTCAGAAGCCTTTTTACAAAGGTAATATAAATATATGCAAATGTGTATATACAGTAGCATGGTCACCTTTGTTAGAATGCCTATAATAGAAGGGATTACACTTTGATTTTGATATAGGTAATTCAGCTGGACTGTACTAAGTAGAACATATTTTTATCCATTCACTTTTGCCATTTTTTATAATTGTCAGATTAATACTTAAGTGAAGATAAATGACATTTATCCTCATGCTCATAACTCTGTTCTTGCTAGCTATGCTACTGGAGATTTCAGTAAGTAGTCCTGTGAACAGTAAAACACAATTCCTAGTGAAATGCAGAATTTGTTTGTTCTTACTGGAAATTTCATCTTGCCACATAAGCACTGCTTTGCAGCTGTCACTTCACTGAGTTATGTGCACTGCATACCATCAGGTTCTGGTGAAGCAGATTATAAATTGCTGCTCATAGTCAAATTTAGTTCCTAAGATTATATTTTCATGAGTTCCCATTGAAAGAAAGAGCAAAAAGAATCTGATTCAGCTATGGTCAGTGACACAAGTAATATATCTATATGTCAAGACATGTTTGAAATGCTCTGAAAACATACCACACCAGTAACTATTGGACTTCTCTGGTCATAAGAAATGTTTCTGTAAAACCAAAATGTCAATCACAGTAGTCCAAACAGCAGTATAAACTCCAAAGGAAATAATGTAGTTTTCCCAAAAATGGGGCTAACATATGTTATACAGTAGTTTCAAACACTACCTCAGTTAGGCTAGAGTATAAGAGATTTGTTTTAATAACTAGATGGGGTTACATCAAACAACTCCGTATTATTTTTCTGCAGTTAAAGTAAGTTTTATCACCTGTATTTAAAAAACCACCTTTGTTCATTTGTTACCAGCTTAACCCATAGCACTTAATGTAGAAAGCGCCATAGGAAGGCCTCTAGTTATAAAAAGGTAAGCAAAAGCAATGTCAATATACTTTTGAAAAAATCTCCATCCTGAAATGCTTTTGTGTTCTGAAGTACTCGCTTGTGTGGGGATCCGTAACAACAGAAACTTGATGTACAAATTATGGCTGCAAATTCAGTTGTACAAAGTAATTTTTTTTTTCCTAAAGTGTATGAGTGTCAGAGATTTAAAGATGTAAAGTCTGTACTGTACATAACATACAACATTTCTAGAATTAATTTACGTATTTACATGATGCTCACATTAATGTTTCATTTTAATTGGCAAATGAAGGGATACTGTTACTGAAGGAATTTTGTATTGGCCTAGTTATAAACTGTGAATTTCTAATTCTGTAGATCTCTTTTTTTAAAAAAAAAATATCCCTTTCAAAGTTCTTATTTTGGGGTTTTATTTGCTTCATGATAAAACTTCAGAAGAAAACAGTAGGAAATAATTGTGCTTATATTACCCTTAATAAATAATCCTTCCACTTCCCCTGGAAGGGTTTACAAGGGAAGCTGACAGACCACCCATTTTGCATTTTTCCAATCTAAATGATTGGCAGTTCTGTCGAATGAATGGTAAAACGTATAGTGTTTACTTACACTGTATGCGAATAGAGTTTGGTTGCTGTGGCAAAGAAAACTCCTGAATGATTCAACATGCTAACACAAAATACTCAGCTCTGGGGTGAAAGCCTTTGTGGGAAGGAGAGGCTGGCTGTGAAACCCATTGCATTTAGTCTACTACCTTAGCTGGCTAATTTTGTCTCCTTTTACAAGTCAGTGGAAAGGGGATAGTCCTTTCCAGAGGGCAAAGACCTAACTAAAGGTCTCCCAGTTACTTTCCTGAAGGCCTGTTTCTCTCCACTGAGTGAGAAGGATAACAAAGCTAGGTGCTGTGAGTGTCCTTTTGGAGAGGGACCTTTTCAGCTGTCTGAAATTCAGAGATGCTGAATGCTTCCAGTTGTCATGGACATCACTTGGAGCTAGAGATGGTCAGGCTTTGAGGTGCCTAACTTCTGTGTTGGACCTCTGGCACACTGTGCTTGAAACAGTCACTTTTCCTCATCTGACAGTTCTTATTTGACCTGACACGTACCTTAAATGTGCTTTCACTGGGTTTTGTTTTTTCCTAAGACAGAATGAAGTGCTAAAGTATTCAGTAGTTTAGAGCACAGTGGCTTGGCCCAGTGAGGTTAGCTGCCCTTATAAACATTTAAAAAGACAGGAGTGAGAATTCTGCTCATCTTTTTGTCATTTTATTTTGAAATTTACGTAGTGGTCTTGAATGAGAGTTGTAATTTGCAGTGAGAGACTGAAAAAAACTATAGCACCTTTACTGGCCAGAGAAAGGTCACTGTTGGAGAAATGGGAATAATCAAAGGGTAGTCAGAGATGAAAGAGTTGTTGCTGCTTCTTAGTCTGTGTTGTGGTCTTGGTATTAGTCTGTTTGGACTGCAGGAAGCTGGTGTTGCCTTGTAAGTGAACGCGAGCTCAAGCTGAGAAGTCACGGTGGAAGAATTCTTGCCAGGCTCCGGCACATCTCTGAGGTTCCTGCTCACTTCCTGGCAGGGCTGTGCAGAAGTCCTGTTACCTCAGAGCTTCACCGGAGCCACTTGAAAGAAGGCCGTGTAATTTTTTTTTTTTTAAGTTACACTTCTATTATCATGTGCTTACTAAAGGTATAATAGAGGAGAGTAAAATATGAGAACTGTAGAAGACGTGCTAGGAACATGCTAGAAACCCTCAACTCCTTGGTTTTTAACTCCTGATTTTGGTTTCTTGGATAGTTTTATTTTCAACAGATGTGTATGTTCAGAAAAGAATGTCAGTTTTCTTTGGACTATTTTTGTAACGTAGGTGGACATCAATGCCACAGCATGCAGAAATTGCACATTTTGCTTGAGTTGCTTTGTAAAATACACTATTTTATTTGAGAAATGTAATTTATGCCAAAAAGTGTAACATGCTATTTTGCCACTGAATAGGGTGTTTTAGCACAAGGTGCAATGTCTGAGGGGAGAAAGGGTAGACACTTTGTAGATTTATTTGAAAAATTTTTCCAATACTGGGCTGTCAGCACCCCTGAAACTGCATTACAAGAGATTATCTAAATTAATCATTCTGAGGAGGGAGGGGATCAAGGAAAATTTCAAGATTTATTCTTCCTGTCCTGTGTGGTCTTTTTTTTAGTAATACGCTGCTACATATTTGGAGGTTCTAGTGTTTGTAGGTCACTGAACAGACATTGAAATCTGATTTATATTGTATACCTGTAACATAGAAAGAAAAAGTATTTATATATTTTCCGTAAGAATATTGCATTGAGCTGTGTATAATTTAAACAGAGGCTTGTCTCAAAATGGTATTGCCCACCTTGATTTTTTTGTGTTTTTTCCTGTTTTTTTGTATAGTGTGTACAGTTCATGTCAATGGGCATTAAAAGCCTCCTGAAGCATAATCTTATCAAAGGGATGCATTGTTAATAAACTGTACTTAAAGTTCTTATAGTTGTTCTGGTCTCATATGTATCTCTCAGCACTAGAAATGGGTTGGAATTTTATTTATATTTGTAAGTTACTAATTAACTGTATCAACCTGAAGCTTTCCAAATAAGCACTTGTCAAAAATATATTTTACGTTACAGCTTTGTAAGATGTCTTATGAACATAGAAGGGGACTCTTTGATAGGTTGTACACTATTTTTATTTTTAAAATTTAGCATACTGATAGAATTAATAATTTTCCATTATGAGATGCTTTAAGTATTAGCATTTCAACAGCAGCTGTGAAAGTTGAATTATCAACAAGAAAAATGACAGAAGTTTACAGTTTTGAATGCATTCAACTACTGATGCAAGACAGATGTCTTAAAAATATATATATAAAAACTATACATGCCTTTCCATCTATGCAAAAATACCTTTCTAATCTTCAGTTCTAGTGCCCAGACTGTACCCTTCAACTGGCACAAAGGCATTATCCTCCTTGGAATCCTCTGTTTGCGTGCTTTTAAACACAGGTGATATGATAAAACATCACCCATTAGGGCTAGCAAGCAGAAGGGTCTATAGATAGAGGTAGCTTCTCATCACCTTGCCAAGCAATCAGATACCTGGTGAAGTGTTTCCTTGCTTCTAGATAATGAAGTTTCATCAGTGGAGGATCTCCCCAGGGAAGACCAAGGTAGCTGAAGTAGGAACTCTCAACAGACCCATGTGTCTCCCCCCACCATCGGGAAGGCACAACTGGTTACACTGCCCCCACACCACCCCTCTTTGCTCCCTGGGCTGAATTACTGCAGCCAAGCCCCAGTGACAGCACCTTTCTCAAAAGCAGGAGTTGGCACTTCCGTTACAGCTGTCCTGCAGCATAAGGAACTGCAGCACATTGAAATGTAAAATGCTTCATAGAGTAGCCTGACGCTTTCCACTGACCTCTGTATTGGAATTTGTTAGACATGTAACTCCATTTAGGACACCTTTCAAACCCTTTTAAATAAATAGACAAGCTTTTGAAATGCACAACTAGGGGGTTTTATTTCAGTAGTGGCAGAAGACCTCCCTTCTGTTTGTTGGCCTTTTTACCAACAGTAAAATGTTTAAACTACTCAAGTACATACAATGTGATGAAACACTTGGAGAAGGACATGTTCTAATTTGTACAGATGCTATGTATGGTGTCAAACTTTCAAATTTATTGTAACTCGAAGGAGAATAATGTAAAGGGAGAAGGAGTTTTTCTGGGATGTCTCCATCAAATCAGCCTCCTGTTCTCTGTCAAACTGCAGTTCAACTAAATGTGACCAGCCACGCTTTCTTACTCCACTCTCTGATGGCTGAAACGAAGGACTATACTGCATTAGTTTTTCTATGTCTCAAGTAAATCTGTGTGCAGCCTACACATGGACACCACGGTGTATGTTGACCAGATACCTCTAACCACCATTAGGCACCTGTGTGGTTGTACCTCACCTTGGGCCTGCCTGAAGACTTCTCCCTCTGCAGTCAGTGCTTGTCACAGCTAAGGTCTTACTGCTTTTCCTGTTGCAACACAGCTCATGGACATTACAACACTGTCTACAAGCAACACTGCAAAACCTAGATGTGGTCCAGTTTCAAAACTCATTCTATCTGCAGCTGTCTAGTTTTTAGGAAGTGTGATTACCTAGTTAAACAGAGGGAAGACAAGTAACTGCATTTTAACAAATTAGCTGAAGATGAAATTGTAAAAAACACTTCATTTTTTTCCCCTTTTGAGAACTTCCTGTTCTGTGCTCTTATGTAGAGTTCTTTTATTTGTGAAAGATTCCTGACAGCTTCATCATTTGGCAAAACCAAAGGGTTCCTTGTAGACTAAGGAGGCTAATCTGGTGAGACTTTCAGATACAATTCCACCTATTCTGCTTCATGACAAATATACGATTTTTTTAAGTCGAAATGGAAGACCAAATTTGCTGCTGCCTACTGTAATTTACTTTTTTTAAAATACATGCAAAAGCAGTGTTGGAAAGTCTAGCTAAATATGCAGCCTGAATGTAATGTTCTTCACAAACAGGATTCTTACACCTATACATCTGACTACTGTCTCTGCTTACCTGGTTGTTCGGGGCTTGTTACATAAGTGTAGGGGTTAATGCCAAAATGAGCCAAGTTCATGTGCACAAGTGGAGAGACAGTGCTGTGATGACACCTCTGCAAACACTTGTCCTCCTGGGATAACTGTTACTTTCCACTCAACTCTCCCGGTTTCATTGTTTAGTTACAAGGATTTTGTTTAGGATTTTAAAGGGTCACTCTTCTAGGCAGAGAAGGCAGAAGTGTGAGGACCCCCAGCTACCAGATACGGGAGCATCAGCCCACTAACAGGGGCCTGTACTATAAAAATCTATTTTCCATGCTCTTTCACCCACCAAGTGTAGTTAGAAGGCAGGTGAAGTAAAAGCAGGACAATTACTGGATTTTGGTGCAGAGGATAGCATTCCTAGAGAAGCCAAAGTTACCCTAATCTTTCAGTAATGCACCACACTGAATGCAGGTAACCCTTCCATTCTGATTCCTTACATCCTTTGAGAGAGAGAAAATACAACCTTCCTGCCACACCACCCCACCCCTCCCCAGTGTTACTGGGCTGAGGCGGACACCAAAGCTGGTCCATGCACAATGCACACTGGCTAGGGATGGCCAGAGGACATAGTAAGCACACACAGAATACTTCAAGTGCATTAATACACTTCTTGAGCACAATAGCCTACCTGCTTGTTTAACTTGCTCCTCTACTTTCTGAATAAATTTTCAATCTCTGCAAAATATAGTAGTTCTTTACATCAGGCTATGAGAAACTGCTGTGATCTAACCTACTACATAATACAGGCCACAAAACAGCCTGTAAATCTTACATAATGCCTGTAACTTGTGATGAAACCATAGCATGCATCATTCCTCTGCACAAGTCAGTATTTTTAAACTAGTCCTGAAGCAAGAGCTTTGTAATGTTAACAGAAGTTGGGCGGTTGAGCTTGTGAAAGCCCTCATCAAAAAAAGTTGTTAGGGTTTCAGAAATTCTTATTTATATTGTGTAACCAAACACTGGATGGACTTACAGAGAGTACATCAAGGTCTCCTCCCTTGGCAGTGCACATCTGTTTGTGAAACATATCTCGGACTGGTCTTTCTGCCAGCTGTTTCTTTGGGTGTTGAGGCAGCAACTTCATTAAAAATATCAAAGTAGTAGTGTGGCTGATACAGCACTACTGACAGTTCTGGCTTGCTTGCTACTAGTGTCTCCGGTATTTGATAAGGGTCAGATTCAACTGCAAGATGAGAAGAATAAGCAAAATTTTCAAACCAAGTATGAGTCTGAGGTGTAGGTGTGAGTGTAAAGCCTCTCTCTTCATTTCCATTAGGGTAAATCCAGGAAGAGTTGTGACCATCAGTCCTATCTTCTGTTGGTGCTGAAGACAGCTGGCTCCATGGACATAATTTCTGGTCTTCAACATTACTGTCCACTGCTAGCATGTCGGGAATGCAGTCACTTATTTTCAATACTTTCTCAGAATTGATCTACAAGAGCCATAAAGCAAAAAAATTACTCAATGGAAGAAGCCCAGCGTAAAGGAAATGGAGTGATTACTTCAAGGACCTCTAATATTGTCTTAATTTATTTGAAAAATCCAAACAAAAAAAATGTAACAGAATTTGAAAGAAAATATATGTACAGAATGTTCAGCAGAAGCTGTATTTTATGTGGAATTTATCAGAGTATTTATTTAGAGATTTGTTTTTTAAGTAAGTTCAGTATGACTACATTTGAAGATGGAACCATGTCCCTCTACTTCAGAGACTTTGCCAGGCTTTTGATGCATGCAGTTTTTAGTCTGAACAACCAGCAGCTGGAAGGCAGCAGCATGAGCTGTTCAGTTCCACAGACTCCTCGCTCTGGCATTAGTGTTCAGTGAACACCAGCAGCAAAAACAGCAGCAGCCCCACATGTGCCAGGGGAAAGACATGCTTGTGGTGTTGCAACGATCTTGCACGCTGCATGGAAGCAGCAGCTCCCTGTTTGAAGGGCCTACAGAAGAAGTTGAAGGCCTTTTGCCAATCCTTCGCTCCCAGTCAGACTTAGCAGTGCCTGGAAGAGAGCCCTGCATCCTCCCAAGGGTCAGCAGGTGCATCTCTTCTGTGCCCTACTGCAGAGGGATGTGTGGGGCAGGAGGAGAGGGCAGACACAGTCCACAGACTGCAGCAAAGTCCGGGCAGTGATGGGCTTTGAACACTAATACTGGAAGAATCACCTACTGATTCTAAAGATTTCCTTTATTCTCCAATTACACTTTCGCTTTTTGCAATAACAGACTGCAGAATATAAACTGATCACTGCAGAGTCACGTTAAAATCAAAAGGAGAATCTTCCACTAAATTATGGTATTAAATTATGTTAATTTCTTTACAATGGGTGTCACTCATTTTTAAATGCAGTCTATACAAGAAAAATGCTTTTCTAAAACTTTACTAATCAAGGAATGGAAAAATCAAAAATACTGGATTTCCAGAGATCTTACCTTAAACTCTCCAAATGACAGCACTTTGCTCTTGTTAGGACTAGGTATTACAGGACAGCAGCACTCCTTCACCCTAGAAATAAGACAGCAAAACAAATGATGTTTTTGTTCTCTCATCAAAGCATATTCTACCAGCAGAACCCACAGCAGCAGATGATGGGTGTCTCAGAAATGCCACAAGCCAAATATTTACAACATTCACACAGTTGGACAGCCAAAGGAAAAAACGAATGAAGTTGGAAGCATCAAGCTGCAGCTGTGGTTTGTGAATTACACTAGTTACGTTCTCTGTCTACAACAGAAAAATGCATTATAACTTACCACTTCATCTTCCAGAGGCATATAGCAGCTACTAGTGATGGAATTATCACTAGCAGGATTAGAAGGTACAGCGTGTTTGCTATGAAAGAAAAATACATTAAAAATCTGTTTTTCATCTTCTCACCTGTTAAGTCAATATAGCCTGAGTTCCTTTTCAGGAACAAAAAATAACATCAAGACCACATGGGATACCTGCCACTCAGTAGTAAAACTGTGTGGCCTGTAGTTGCAAGATAGTTTGGCTGGAAGTTCTGGGATACAGCTTTGAACTTTGATTTCCTTTACCAAAACTGAATTACTACTGGATTGCTTTTAATTTGTCCACATGTTGGCATCTTAACTATCAAGGTAAATTTCCAAAAGCTGAGACAACAATAACCTCACTTAATTGTTTGTTTGGTTGGGTTTTTTTAGGTTTTCTCTCAAATCCCTAAAGACAACAGATTTTTACCACAAGACATTGTCAGAACATCTGTACCTCCAGTGTGGATGGACTGTAGCAAGACAGACATCACACAAGTGTTCATGTTCTCCTAGAATTTATGCTGACACATGAATCTCAGGATTTCCTTCTAGTCAGAATACGCAGCCTTGGGCTATGTTTTTCACAAACAGTTGAGGCTATAATAAGCACGATGGGGGGGAGCACTAGTTAGTGCTTGCTCTCCCTCTGCCCTGGCCAGTGCGCTCTTGCCCTGTGCCAGCGAGTTTGTGTGTCCCTACCACACACCACAGCAGGAAATCGACCTGTGTTACATTCTCCTTTTATCAATTCTGGGTTAATTAAGCCCCCATTTTGACTCTCTGCGTGGCTGTACAAATGTCTGTGCTTGCAGAAGATAAGGCTGGCTACAGGAGGCTGGAACATGGGTGTAAGAGGCAGAACTGCCTCTGTGAGGGTACCGTGGGGGGTTAGACACTGTTCTGCTAGTTAGCCTAAAGCATGCAGTCTCCTTGCATAAGCCAATGCTCCACCCTTTCCTAGCCCTCCCCCTTCACCTCCACCCCCAACAAGTTTTTCAAAACCAGGCATCTCTGATTTGGATCATAAGTTTCACAACCACGACTGCTGAGTGGTATTTTCAAGGGAACAGAACTACAGGCAAGTGATTTCCTGTTCTGTTTTGATGATCAAATCTGCCCAGTTAGCAAACTACAATGCTCAAGTCAACAAACATTTATTGAATTATGAAGGAGTTAACATGGCAATGGATTTAAAGACTGATGAGAATAAGAATCAACATTAGAAGTTCAAGAATCCATACCAAAATTACCCGTTTGCACACAAGTCTGTAGCTTTTTCTGTATTAGAAAACTAGTACAATTCAAATGCAATTCTTCAATGCATTCTAGCAAACAGGGCTCACTAGTCATGTAAATGTGTATATATCAAGCTATTCCCCAGAAAGATATCAGACTTAAATAAGGATGTAAAATTATTTTAATTCTAAAGTAAAAAATCATAGCTACTTAAAAGTATCAAAACACCTTGTCAGTATGTGCATTTTGTTTCTCAGTTGGATTCTTTCTCAAGTGCATGTTATGTTGAATTAAATGTTTTCCATTGAGAAAGGAAGATTACCCAACCTTTTAAATCATCCATCCCTCTGCTAGAAGACAAATTTCCCACAGCAAATACTCACAGTTAAATGGTGTATCTATGTATCTAAAGTTAACAATGGGAGTTTCTCCTCCACCTGTATATGCTTTAACCACCAGTCTGTATTTTGTGTTTGACAATAGGTGTTTCACAGTGTATCTCTTTTCTTCTGGGTTTTCAATTGTGTATTTACATAGCACTGAATCATCTAAAATGAAACAGATAAAATAGAATCACAGAATCATGGAATCACAGAATCACAGAACAGTCTGGGTTGGAAGGGACCTGAGAGATCATCCAGTTCCACCCCCCCTGCCACGGGCAGGGACACCTTCCCCCAGCCCAGGTCACTCAAAGCCCCGTCCAACCTGGCCTGGAACCCTTCCAGGGAGGGGGCAGCCACAGCTGCTCTGGGCACCCTGGGCCAGGGCCTCACCACCCTCACAGTGGAGAATTTCTTCCTTTAATCTAAATCTCCCCTCTTTCAGTTTAAAACCACTACCTCCCTCATCCTATCACTACACTCCCTGATAGTCTCTCCATCATTCTTATGAAACCCCTTTAAGTATTGAAAGGCTGCAATAAGGTCTCCACAAAATGTTACAAATCAGCTTAACTGAGACTGCTAGACCACTGAAATAACAGAATATGGGCAGCTCGCCTGCTTTGTAATTTGCACACTTTCTGCTGAGAAGGATGATGCATCCTGACTCATTGCCACTGGGCTGAACTCACATCCTTTCTAACTGGACTGTCCACAGCATTGACCATCTTCTGGCAGACCACCTAAAAACTTGCTGTCAAAAGCTGCAGCTGTTTATTTTAATTTCATTTTACTAAAGTTTTTTAACAGAATTATTTGGGTTTTGCCATTTCCTTTTCACCAGAATTCTGTAGCCCTTAAGCTTAGGTCAAGTTCTCTGAAGATAATCCAAAGCAAGGAATCTCTGCCTTCAAAAAACTCCTTTGCCTCTCTATTGTGCAACTCCCAGACCCACTGTTCCTAGTCATACCCTTTGTCTGCTAGCTCAGACAGGGAAGCAGGAAATCATCAATTTAAACATTTAAAAGTCTACTTGAGATTACTTGCAGAATTATGGTACTTCTACGGTTAGTTTAGTTTTAGGTTTAGTTATGATAGGAACTTCTACATATACACCCTTCAGTTCAAACTGAGCTTTTCAGCCTGGTACTAGTCTAATCAGCAGAAAGATCTCATACAGGACATGACCCAGCTGAAAGAAGAGGCAAGCTAAAAAAAAAAAAAAAAAAAAAAAATCCTTGAACATGTTGGGAACATCTGAAAATTATATTGGAGCAAAGTCATCTGGAGCAGTTTTGAGTGCAGAGTAGGAAGATCAGATATAAAAGTTTAAACGTGGCTTTGTGCCGCCCCACAGCTCAGTTCTGCTGAAGAAACTCCACTGTAGAGCACAACCACAAATATTTTCACTATAAAAGAATTTAAATGGGGAATTTACACAGTGCTCCATTTCTGAAGGAAATAAATTATATCCCATCTATTTCTAAAATACCTCAAATCCTAGTAAAACTAACATGCTTCCTATGATTCTCATCCAAGTAGACCACAAACAGATGTTTTTGAAATTCAACCAGAACTCAGATCACAAGAGGCAGAAACTTGACTTCTCCTATAGTACTGCAAAAATCTTTTCTGAAGCTCACACTGGAGTTAAAAGGAGCTACAGACAACAGGATGGGTGCCATAAATCTGTATAAAACCAGGACACGCTTCCACCCATTAGCATCTCAAGCATTAGAGAAGAATAAAAAGTAGCTGGTGTTGAAATCCATATGTTGCCTAATGAACCAATCTGCCTGCCTAATCTGAACTTTCTTCGAGACTGCAATATCAGCAAAAGCCATGAAGTCTTTCACCCATATTAACAACACAGCTTCCTAAATCCCAGAGCTTAGATACCTGGAAGAACATGTTTTTTGGATCCTTTCAAACTGCAGTCCTCTTGTATAGGTGAAATATAAACATGGTAGCCTCTTACAAAACCAGGCTGTAACTCATTTGTGGAATAAGAATCCCAAGATATTGTTACTGCATTGAAAGTCAGTTCAACTTTTTCCACAATAGGGTCAAGCAGAGGAGCTGTAAGAAAGAAAATTTACATTAAGCTTGCCATTATTCCTCAACAACTTTTATCTTGTCACTTGAAAAATATCTAAATCCCCATGTACTGTTTCTGTTTGTATCTTGTATTTAAAAGCTGAACAAAGGCAAAGTACTCCACAAAATCTGTCAACTTCACAAAGCCTTCATGCAGTCCATGTTATACACAAAGCAGTGACTGCTAATCACAGCTTTGTTTAGCTATTCTTATTAACATGGACTCTACCTGGTCACTGCACTAGTCAAATATCCTCAATGTAGGGCCATGTACATTGTTGTACAACTTTTAAATGCTTCACTACTAATGCAGAAACAACACAGTAAATAAATTTTTAGCTGGTTGCAGGAGGAAGGCTGTGGAATTCTTCTGTTCATGACAGCTGAATTTAACAAATACACAAACCCTTAACATGTTGCCAACTTACGTAGCTCCCTGAGATAACCAGTCTTCTTCTCCAGTAAGAAGGCTCTATTAACAACAGATCCATAGATGTGGAATTTGTACCTCACCCCCGGAACAAAAGCAGCTAGAAAACAGTGAAACTGATTACAAAAATAGGTTATGATTTGTCTTTTGGTTTTGCTTTTATTTAACTGCTTTCTACAGAGATCTATAATCCACTAGAAATCTTCTTTGTGTGCTGCTGTGATATTAAAGCAACTGAAACAGACACGGGGTAAACCAATTCTTAGTGTGCATACTGTGAATTTAACACATTTATTCGTCTGAAAGAAGAATTTGGGGTGGGGGGGTGGTAATATATTTTTGTTGCCCAAGAGTATTCAAGATGAGTGTACAATAGACTCTGAACGCATCAAAGAGCAACATAATTTTAGTATCTGATTCTGACACAGGCAAAGGTCATGCTTTGGACTGTTTAATGTGGACACATACCCATGCATCAGGATTCCATGTTATCCTCACTAACATCCACTCCCATTCGGATTAACCAAGTACCACCCACTGAAGAACATGACAACATTTTTTCCATGTGTTACCACACTCTCCTTCAGTAAGGACACTGGCTCCCATGTGTTTGTATGAATTGAAGTGCAGTTCCTTTACTGCATACTGAAAGGCGTTCAGTCAAACTTTGTTCAAACATATTTCATTCCAAACTAAACTCCCAGCTCAAGAGACTCCAGGAAGGCTATATTCTTGCAGCTGTGGAAGTATATCAGAGCAACTTTCACACAGCCAGAAAGGGTTTAGGTCTAATAGCCACCACTGGGATAAAAAGCATACAACTGGTCCTAAGCAAGGACTGGTGCTGAGATACATTATTTGTGGCACACTTACAGCACTAAACCTCTCACTGCCCAGTGGGTGTTAAATTGCCCATGTCTAAATTTCTGACCCATGTTACAGATAAGGAAAAGCTCCATTTTGCATCTTTCCTGCTAAAAGATTTTTAACTCCTTCATTAACCTCACCATCCTCCTTCAAGATGTTACTACAAGCTACTCAGAAGAGTTTTTTTCTAAAAAACTGTGCTGAGTTTTCTAAAATGCTATGCTGACTTCCAAGGCTTAATGGTGATGGCACATTTGTGGTGTCTAATTCATTTGCTAGGCAAAACACGATGCCATGTGAGTTTGAAGAATTACACTTGCACTACACAGACTTCAATATTCCACAGGATTTGTTTTCTAAATTCAAATAATGCCCACAGCATGAATGATTGCTGCACAGACATCAGAAAGAAAAATTGTTCGGCTTTCACCTGAGTTGATCAAAGCACTGGAAGTGTTGGGCCCAAATCTCTTCCACTGCAAATCACAAGGCTGCAGTTTCGGAAAGTTACACCAGTCGATAATATAACTGTCATATATATGTCTGGGCTCCCAGGAAATAAATATGCCATCATCTGTGCCATTAACCTGTTCTTCTTTAAGCTCTTTGGTGCCTAGGAACAAACAAAACAGAGTCTCTATTATTTTCCTGCATGAGACCTCAGATTCATAAATGAAGATCAATATAGTTTCTGTGTTAAGCTGTTAAAACTGTAATACAATAGTTGTGTTTCTTCGCTAACAGGCAAATGGGATCTTTCACATCCCGAAAGCTGATCTCTTTGTATGCTGAAAGTTGACATCTCAAAAAACATCCAGTAATTATTACTATATATTCATAAAAAGATCTCAACTGCAGAAACCTGGAGTCATAAACAGAAAGTCACAAGAGGCTAAATCACACACAAGAATTCCCTGCAAGGCAGTGGCAGCACCTTCATGGCACCTGCCACGAGTCTGAGGCCCTAGCTTAAGGCTAAATGTGTTTTGCTCTGAGGAGACTCTCTGTGTAAGACAGACTTTCTGTTGTAAGGGATGGATCAAGGCACTTAAGCTTAGTATATATACAGTTACCACCCTGTAGGCAAAAACCCAGTAATTTCCAGATATTATCACACAGTCATGTGAGTTAACAGGACAGGTTAATTTGTTCCTCCAAGATGATAAATTATCACTTCACTTTAAATAGATAAAAACAAAACTCTCTTAATGGAAATCTAACTGAAAATACTCTTATTGTTACCTGTAGCTCTAGGGATGATCAATACTGAAGGAAGTGAATAATTAACATTGTTCTTTGCCATGATACTGATTCTGTAGGAATGGTTATCAATTGAAATCCTTGTGCTATTGTAGGCTGATGAAAAGGAGATGCTTTCAGGCTTAGAGCCACCTTCTACTTTTTCCCAAGTTACTTCATATGAAATACTTCTTCCATTTGCTTGAAAACCTGGTGCTTGCTGGGGAAAAAGTTATGGGGGTAGACACCAATTACTTAGTAAATGTTGCCAAAAAAATATGAGAGGAGCATTTAGAACTTTAACTAACTAATTGAATATATTATTTCTGTAAGAATATAAACACTTGTTTCCATACATGCATACATACATTGGTTGAAATGGAAATGTGGAAATCTCAGTAATGGGAATTATCTTGTTATAATACTTAGAAAAACAGAAAAATATGCCTGAAATGCCAGGACAGCACACCATCATACAGCTACATATGATCTGAAATATGTTATGTACAGTATATGTCTTAGATTCTTAAAAGACATATTCATACCAAATTGTTATTAAGTGCATACAAACTTGTTAAAGTTCATGGGAGAAGTTTCTAAGTCCATTATGAAGGGTTTTGTTTCATTTTTTGTACTGATGTCTTACCTTCCAGAACAAGGTTACATTCCGCCCTCCCAGAACAGGTGTAATTTCTCTCCAGATGTCCAGTTTCCCTGATGGAGCTGCATTAAATACAGCAAAACAAAGATGCTCTCGGTGCAGAAAGGGTAAACTGTTTACTTGCTTCCTCCCATTTGAAGAAATTCCACCCTCAAACTCTCTTTTTCCCTATCGCTCCCAGATCTTGCCAAAACACCATCCTTTAATTTCTTCCTCCCTTCATTCTTTTTTCTGAATGAATGTCTGGTTCATTTCTCTAGAAAATTTTTCTCTCCTTACATTTCCCAGGTGCTTGTTCCCCCCTCTGCACTGTTCCTCCAGTCCCCACTGAACACTGTAACTAAGTCTGTCTGTCCTCCCACTGGATTTCCCACTGCCTGCACTGGTTGAAATGGCAGAGACTGGCAGGTCGGATAAGAGTTGTTTAAGAAGCCACCTTCTTAAGGTTCACTTAGTGTGCTTGTACTTTTATGCATGCAACAGGCCTGCTTTAGCTACACAGCAGAAGAATAGCAACAAATAGCAAACAGAGGTGGCAAGTGAAGAACATCCTTCAATCTTCCTTTCTCAATAGTCTGGACATACTTGCTTCCTTTGTTCTGATGGTTCGGGCTTCGCTCCACTCACTCCACCTCCAGAAATGCTTAGCTGCCCCGCAGTGTACTCTAGCTGTGTATGCAGTGTATGGCTGCAGTCCACCCAGGGTGATGCTGCCATAATGGTGATGCGTGTGTGAGCCATTATGCTGCAAGACAGAAAAACAGAACAGTCAGAGCTTAGTTCAGCTTCATTAGCAAGAGATTTTTTTCTGAAAGAGTAGTTCTTCCTCTAGATCCTACAGTAGCCAGTTAAGCTTGACTTGGAAAAGATAATCACGGAACAATAGTAACAAGTAAAAAAAAAAAGAAAAAAAAGAAAAAAAAATATATGCACAAGAGCAAAAGATCAAAAAAGAGGTCTGAAAGCCATCTCTGTGTAACTGTCTGAGTAGGAGTCACTCACAATCTGTCAAATGACTACTCTCTACATCCAGAAGGGAATCTACTGAGATCTTATCCAGAGTCTGAGTCTCTCACTCAGTTCATGTAAGTAGGATGCTGTTCCAGATCTATGCACAGCATCTACAGCTACATTTTCTTTCAATTTTTTCCCCAACCTTTTCTCCCACTCCCTCCTAAGAGACAGGGTGAAGTTCTGGTAGGAGTCAAAAAGTGAGCATGCTTTTAAGCTTCTCCTCTAAATTGTCTCCTGAAATGGTCAGCTGGGGCAGCCATTTGATCCAACAGCTCTTGAGCAATATTTAAGGCAGAATGCAGCTTGATCCTGATCTTCATAATGCCTTTTTAATATGGTAAAGGCAAGCTCCCTTCCTAAGAAAAGGGCTTCAGAGAAACCACAGTACACATTCAAAGAGTCAGTTAGCTGCACTGCTTGTGAAAGAGGTGGAACAAGACAAGGAGTCTACTCCAATAATCTTCAAAGTGATGGAAGAGGATGAGAAGAAAAACTGTTCTGGGGCTCCATCACTAGAAACCAGACACATTATCACCAAGTACAGACAATATTACACAGAAAGCTCTTGGACTAATACAAAAAAAGTCTTCAACACACCTCTCCACCATTTGTGTGTAAGATGATAAGGCCCACAAGTATTTTCACGTAATTCAACAAATCTCAGAACCCACCCAGCAGAGGACAGAGCCACATATGCAGACCATTCACACCGTACACTTCGACCAGCAGTATAGGAAGTGTTGAGAGTATCAATTAGTGCCAGCAATGGCTGCTCACATGAACCACATCAGTGTAGAGCTTGGGAGCAAACAAATCCAGCAAACAGACATACCAGCATGCTCATGGTTTTAGAGTGTATTCATGTTGCTGGGGAATTATTTTTTAATCTTACATCAGAGAGATACTTGCTATGTTTTTGAGTATGAAATTTGGGTTTCGTACCAGTTCTACTTTCCCATCAGGCTGGTGCACTTCAGTCTGACAAAAGAGTTCAATTCCTTTGTTTCGATGTTTCCAATGTAATGTGATTTCTGTATCTGTGCATTCTTCCCACAGCTGGAAAGGTGCAGCAGGATAAACTGCCAATGGAAAACTTGAGTTAGGTCTTGTAAAACAGAAAATATATACAAAAGTATTTTAAAGTATTTTAGCTGAGCAATAAAAGCAAAGAAGAGATACAGATTTTTCAGCCAGTCTAGAAGTAAAGATACAAATTAGTAAAAATTAATTTCAGAATGTAAATGCTACACAGGATTTAAAAAAAAAAAAACCTTGTCCTGACTTGGAAATATTTTGGAACACCATGAACAAAAGAAAAAGTCAGAGACTTTTACTGCAAATGCAGTAAAAATCTTTAATCTGGGGCCTGGTGGAGGCTCCTGATACAGCATGGTGAGTAACATTTGCTACATTTCTACACTCCAGAATCTAGTGTCTTCACCAGAAATTTTATTCACAACTCTTACATTGAATCCTGACAGTAGTTACTCTCTGGTTAACAGTGCCTATGCTACTTCTTTCAAAAGATTTCTGAATATCCTTTACTGATATGCAAGAAGTATTCAGCGAGAGCAGCAGGTATCAAACTCTCTCATATCAGTCCAGTTGTAAGGAATAAGACACAGCAATGCGAGTGGTATGTTTACAGCTTTGGCCATTGTCCTAGAACTTCATGAATCAAGCATTACAATTTGAGGACTTCCAGACTCAAAGGAGCTTGTGTTTGATACAGAAAGTCTCAGCTACCACATGCAGAATTGGAAACAATGGACTTCAGTTTTCCTCTACTTGCTGGCATCCTTTAATTAAGGAAAATTCTACTGAAAATATATCCAGGATCAGAGAAAATATGAAGGTCTTTACAGCAATCACTATTTAAAAGGTTAACTCATCATAAATATTTTATGCCATTTCTTTAACTTGTAACAATCATTAGAACTAGAAAAAGAAATCTGTCATAAAATTTTAATGTACTTAGCACACTGAATGTAAGTTATTTCAGCCTGATTTCCTATGAAAACTTAGTTTGTAATACTGTGTTGTTTCACTACAACCTGTCAGCTTCCTCCTCCACTTTCTTTCTGCTCTATTTCTACTACCCCCAAACAATCAAATAATCAACTTTTAGAACTCTCATGCTTCCCTGAGACAAATTTAACAGACAAGCATTTAACATATATTCCTACATGTCGTATGAAAAAGCATGTCTAGCAAAACTGTAATCGGTGCCTCTGAGGAGAGAAGTGCTGTCAGAATGCTGCAGTTGCACCTACAGCCTCCGGGACCATCAGCCTGCCAGCTTCAGAGCTAAGCAAAGCACACACTGCCTCCTGCTTCTTCAAAGAGGTGAGACGGCCACAGGGCATAGGGAACACTGAGGTGGATGTGGTGGGGCTAGAAGACAGAAGGAGAACTGGAAATACTGCTAGAGACACAGGAATTACTCAGCTATTTTGAGGCAGGAGTAGGTAGGAACTTATGGGACCTGGGGCACACTGTGATAAAGGACAACAACTAATAGGGAAAAATGAACCACAGCCATCAGTTACTGCTCACAGAATAACCTGTTTTATTTCACTGATGATGAACTACTCTTCCTCCCTTACAGTAGCACAGCAGATGTTACTGCCCCGTAGTAGCACCAAGACAGGTTTGCACTAGTATCTCTTTCCTGGCAATAGTTTCTTACACCTGTATCACATCTTATTTGGAGAAGTTTTAGTAATTTTAATTACTGGCTTTTCAAAATGTGCATCTCCACTTTATTTTGGAAAGACAATAACATCAGCAATAATATTCTGAAGAAAGGACTAATTTCCAAGTAACCTACACAGGTATTTTTCATTAACTCCCCATTTTATATCCTTGTATCATGTTGCTCCCTATGCTATGAACCAGCTTCAGCAAAGCAGCAGATTTTGAAGCATTAAGGGTTCATTTCAATAACCAGATCTGACCTCTGGAGTGAAGCTGTTTTCTATCACTATCACAGCTTTGCAAAGCTGAAACTGAAGAGACAGCAGATAACTATAGTACAGGGACAGATAATTAATAAAAACTGGGAAGATAAAAATCAAGGACTTCATAGATTAAACTGGGGCACTCAAGTATTAAGATTAGAACGAGGACAAGGCCTGCAACAAAAAACCCTCGACAAAGACATAGAAAAGGCCTTACTTCTGTGAGTTACATCAAAAACATCCGTGGCAGTTTTCTTTCCCAGTGGGTTTTCCACAGTCACTGTAATATTACAGATCCTCTGCTGGTCTATATCCCAAGAACATGAACACTGCTCAGAACAACTTACTGTGCATGGAACTGGTTTTTGGGAAAACCTATCAAAGAGGAGGGGCGAGAAGTGGAAAAAAAAGAAAAAGACATTTTTCCATAACGTACAACCAACATAGATGTTGAAATTTTTGTTGCTCAACTAGAATATGTCATAAAAAATAAGGCTGAGGGGGACAGTGAAGAAGCCACCCAGTTCTCTCTCTTACCATGAAGTAGGATGAATACAGATATTCTTACAACTAGGATAAAATTTTCTCCAAAGTCTAAGTTTACTTTATCCTTTTAAGATACAGCAAAGTTTACTTTATGCTTTTAATATACAGCTAAGTTTACTCTATACTTTTAAGATACAGCTAAATTGCTTTTAGCGATTTCCTCATGGAAATTCTAAACTAGGGGCTTATTTGCCAAGAATTAATCTATTAACATGTCTACCATTATGCTTTTAAATAAAGCAGAAATTTCAAGTGCATCTTCTAACCTTCCATGGCATCCTTTTAAATCACAATCACAGTGTCTTAATGAAAGTGAATGATGCAGTGACCATGAATGTATATGCAATGATGACCTGCCTTCTGCTGAGATATTTTGATTGAAGTTTGCTGTGATGATGACATATCTGTCCTGTTTTATGAGTTCCCCTTTCTCTGCAGACCTTACTGTAAAGCCCCTCTCCTCTCCATTTAAATGCCTCTCTAGCAAGGAACCAAGGGTCAGGTCTGATATGACACAGCTGTGTAACCTTGACTTGAACTGCTAAGAGCTGCGAGAAAGTCCGCAGAGAGATTTTACAAAATAAGTAAATAAATAAATAAATCTGAAATTATAGACAGAAGTAGGAGTTTTGAGATCAGACTGTCAGTAGGTCAAGCGCTCTAGAAGGAAAACACCAGCATGTAAAGTTATAAAATCCTACAGAAAAAAAAGAACTTGGGACGCTAATCACGCTAACTGGCGCTTAGCTGGGAATCATCAGTTTGACTCAGCATCTGCACCAACGGATTGTGAACACACTAATACTCAGCCTACCGGCTGATTAAATCCTAGCTATTTGTTGTGTGTGCTACCCAATAACTACTTTATACTTTTAAGGTACTATATATCCTGATTGCAGGCTGTCTTCAGACCTGCTGAAAGATATCCAAACAAATTAACCCAAAGGAATGATTGGAACAAGCTTTATGGAGCAGAACCTGGTGTGATGTACCTGCAACTTTGTTACACGTAGTCTAATTCAGAGCAGTTCTGCACTGCTCAAACCTCCTTAAATAAGAAAACCAGTGAGCTGGAAAGAGGCAGACAGCTAATTCCAACAAGGATAAAAAGCATTTCCACAAATTTTAAAGGAAAGAATGTGACTGTTTAGTACAGCACAGGCCTGACTTATGTCACTATAAGGAGACTTACTCTTCAGACAAGGTGTATTTTGGTGAATGACGTCCGTAAAGATTGGTGTCTCTTCCTTGGCTCCAAGTACATGTTACTATTCTCATGTCTTGGGTTTGGCAGGAAAAATCACTAGGTGTATCAGGTGGTTCTTCTCAGAGAGAATGGACAAAAAAACATCAACAGCATGGTAGTCAAGGTCATCATTATTTTTACTATATTAACAAACTAAAAATAATGGATATGTACAAAGTCTGGTTCACTACAGATGTTACTATTTCAACTATAATAATTCAATTACCACTCTGCAAAGAAAATTAGGGTAACACCATCAGTTAACTGCAATCCAAACACTTCCATATATTATTATTTTTTGTTATATTCATACATTAATTTAATCTGAATTGTTTTATACCTGTAAAAATTGTGACTAGCCTTTGAAACGCATACTGTCCTGAGTTTTTACCAGATGCACACAGCCAATGAAGCTGAACTCCTAAATGGAGAGGTATATTTAAAAAGCAGTCACCTGTCCTAGGATCAATTAATGAGATTAATCTGAACACATTTAATGCTATTCATTAATGCTTTCTATATGCAAGTGTACAGATCTGAAGTCAGACACTAAACAGAGTTCAGCTGGAAATGACAGGACAATGACAACTTACAGCAAGCTTTTTTCCTCCCCCTATTCTCCCAGCCATTCTTGACTTTAAAACAACAGGAAAATAGAACTGTAATAAAGCATTAACTTACTACCAACAATGAAAACGGCCTCATCATAGCAATGATCATCATTGCAAGACTCTTTACAATAGACAGAGATGTGAGGCACTTTTTGATGTGCCACATTTTTCACAGTGAGAAGTCCAACTTGACCATTTGTGCGGTTGAAACCATGAACAGCTGGGTCTAGAAAGAATTCCTTAATGACTTGACCTTTCCTTCCAATGCAACAAAGAGTGATGTCAGAGCCTTCCTCTACAATTTTTTCATTTGGAAAGATTTGTGGTCTACTGTTATTTGAAGTGTCCAGGCCTGCAAATTAATACATAATAAACCATTTCAAAATTCGCTCATGGCAGCAGCCTTCAACCAGAACACACAACTGTAGCATTTATACAAGAATCTTCTAATGTTATATTATCCATTCATGGACTTTTATTTAATGTTTTTCCCCATACAAAGATAAAATTCACATGTAATCATAACTATATTTCTCTTAAATCCATAAACATATAACGTAGTCCAACAAACTACCCAAGAGACTAAATCCATCTCACTGCTTTTCACTTAGGGGAAGTAGTGTGCACTCAAGAACTGCCTTTAAAGATGAACACTACTTCCTGCCTCTTACAGCCACAATGCCTGCTCTTGAAGATTATGAACAGGGGCCTAGAAAAACGTTGTCCTTGTTTCAGCTGGGACAGAGGTAATCTTCTTCCTAGTAGCTGGTACAATGCTGTGTTTTGGGTTTACTCTGCTGTGCCTGGGGGCATCCTGATAGCAGCACTGGCGACGTGCCTGGGCTGGCAGACGGCCAGGGCACCGCTGCTGTTTCTGTGCTGCTGCACTGGACAGGCTGGAGCCCCACTGTGAACTCAAGACTGTGACCTGTGGATGAGTCCACATGGGAGCAGGACACCCCTAAGTGCCTGTGGCCATGGATAAGTGCACACCGGAGCAGGCACATCTCTAAGCATCTGTGGCTGTGGTTATGTCCGTGCTGCAGCAGGCATACCTCTGAAGGGAGTGTGGCCCCGGGATAAGTCCGCACTGGAGAAAGTACACCTTAAAGTATCTGTGGCTGTGGCTAAGTCCACGCTGCAGTAAGCCCACCCTGAAGCATCAGGGACTGTGCCTGAGGTCATGCTGGAGCACCTCAAAGCGCGTGGTCATGGATAAGAGCCCAAGACACAGCAGGTACCTCCCTGGAGGGACTGCAGCCTTGGGTAAGGCCATGCTGGAGCAGGTTTACTTCTGAAGGGAGCAGGGCTGTGGGTGAGGCCACGCTGGAGCAGGCGTATCTGGAGGCATCGTGGCCCAAGGAGAAGGCCAGGCTGGAACAGGGGTACCTCAGTGTGATAGTGGCTAACTCTGTGCCACAGCAGGTATGCCCCTGGAGATCCTGGGGCTCATGAATAAGGCTCCACTTGGGTACACACCTAAGGGACTGCAGCGTGGGGATAAGTCTAAGCCAGAGCAGGGGCAAAGGGAGGAGTTCACTGCAATGTTAAACCCCCACCATGGGCTGGTCCAAAGGGACCCAGGGCAGAGATGGTAATGGAAATACCTTTAAACTGTTGCAATCTGGGATTTGAGTTGTGTGTTATGGGAATTACTATAGGAGAAACCTCTCGTTGCTAGCCAGGCTAGGAACAAGGGGAGAAGTTCACCGCAATTTTAACCCTATAACCTGGCCCAAAGGGACCAGGGGTGGAAACTGTAATGGAAAAACCTTTAAATTGTTGTTCCGCATTATTTGGGTTGTATGTTATGGGAATTACTATAGCAGGAACCACCTGAATCAGTGGAGAACAAACCTTATAAAAAGCAGTGCAAGCGCAGCAGTGACTCGACCTGAGCTGGCTTTAGTGCCCCATAACTTCACACAACCCACCACCTCTCCTGTCCTGAGTGACCACCATAACAGATGGAGCCCAAAGTCACGGACTAAATGAGCTCAATGGACATTTGGTAGATATTTGTGGACATTTTACACGCATTTCACAGGGGTGATCCACAAACTAAGGGAATAATAGCTGTGTATTTTATCAAAGGATGGGAAGGCAGCTGGTGGGTAGTGAGAATGTATTGGATAGTGTGGGACATGAGCATGACACAAATTGTATGGAATACAGGGTGGCAAACATTTTTATTTTGGCTGGGGTAGAGTTAATTTTTTTCATAGTAGCTAGCATGGGGCTATGGCTTGGATTTCTGCTGAAAACATTCTGGATGACACAGGGATGGTTTAGTTGCTGCTGAGCAGTGCCTACACAGAGCCAAAGCCTTTTCTGCCTCTCACACCACCCCAGCAGTGAGTAGGCTGGGGGTGCACAAGAATTTGGAAGGGGCCACAGCTGGGACAGCTGACCCCAGCTGACCAAAGGGATACTCCATACCATGTGACATCGTGCTCAGCATAAAAAGTTGGGGGAATAATAAGAAGGAGGGGAACATTCGGAGTGATGGCATTTGTCTTCCTAAGTAATTGTTATGCATGATTGAGCCTGGCTGTCCTGGAGGTGGCTGAGCACCTGCCTGCTGATGGGAAGTAGTGAATCAATTCCTTGGTTTTCTTTGCTTGGATTGCTTGCTTTTGCTTTGCCTATTAAACTGTCTTTATCCCAACCCACGAGTTTTCTCAATGTTACTCTTCGGATTCTCTTCCCCATCCCACCAGGGGAGAATGAGCAAGCGGCTGCATGGTGCTTAGTTGCTGTCTGGGGTTAAACCACGACAACTGCCGTGTTCCGAAGCTCATGCAGAAGTCAGCTAAGAGGATTAAAGTCTGAATGAATCAAATCAGTAAGGGGATACTCAAGTTGGAATGACAGTCCTATGGCTTTCAATGTTGCACTGGATGCAAAAATTAGTGGGACTTAAGTCACTCACAGGCTTTTGCATAGGTTGCAGATAAAATTTACTCCCAAGAATCTGATCCAAATATCTGAGGAAGTCTCGAGTCACTATCTTTCAGACAGCTCTAAATCAGGTCTGTAATTCAGGATCAGTGTGTGAAAAAGAAATAGTATTTTTGATCCTTATTCAATTTCAATTGAAAAAATAAAATCTCTAAGATGAGGTTAGTGAAAAATAAAAGGAGCCTTGCATTGTACTTTTCATTACGTAAGGTGAGGGAGATAGGCAATTTATGTGCCACAATCCAGGTATATAGACCTGTGATGCTTCTACTAACTTTGATGTCTCCCATAACTAAAAGCCCTTGCTCTTCCAAACTAGGATAGTGTTTCTTTAAAAAAATCATTGTAGACATTTTTAATAAAGCAGTTACATATTTTGTTTAAACCAAATTCTCTGGAAAACAAACTGTTATAGTAAGAAATTGTAATCCCCCTCCCCCCCCCCCCCCAAAAAAAAAAGTAATGGTTTTTGTGATATCATTAATTACATGATTGGTTCACTCCCTGATTACGCTCATATAATTCACAGCAGTTCATTCCAAGTGACAGAAGGAGCTGACTTGGTCTTCTCTCTCTGCTTCTTCAATACTAAGCAAAGCTATGAACCCCAGGCAAAAGCACCACATGTATCAGATGGTGTAGCTATAGCTATGGGTTTCCTCTCCCCTCCCCAGGTCTGGGCTGAGGCTGTGTCTGACCTGGTGACAGGCTACACCAGGGCCTAGCCAAAATCCTACGCCACTCTGCGCTGCATTATTTTAACGCGTGAGCAATAAAAGCTCTAAAACTTTTGCTCTACTAGCTTAGGAGGATAGTCTGCAAATTAAAAGAATGGCTAAAGCACTGCTATTATTGTCAGAAAAAAAAAGAGTTAGTTAGTGCCTGGAGATGAAAGAATTAAAAATAGATTCTTGATTTGATGCCATCTCTCCTGAACTGGACTTCACTGTTACAGTCACTGGTGAACTACAATCTAGCTTTGTAGTGGAAAAAATAAAACCAATCTTGCAGTCTTTTTTTGCTTACCCAGAACAGTCTCCCACAGACTCCATCGACTCCAGATTTTTGATGCTTCTGCTTTGCTTCTGATCCTCACTGAATGTGCCATACACTCCAAAGGTAAGTCTGAATCCCATATCCAATGAAGAGGCTTTCCTGATTTATCAAGTGTAACATTATGAAACTCCTACAAACAAAGGTCAGTAAGGCAAAGTATTGAAAACAGTGATGTGTAGACACTTTGGAAGTACAATCAAAAGCAGTGAGAGAAAAAGCTCAGAGGAGGAAAATGCTTTTGAAAAGTGAATCTCTGAAATCCCTACTTGCTACACATGATCTCACACTAGTAAGCTAAGTAACTGCTTACAAATCTGTACTAGCAGCCGTGGAGTGACTGATGTGCTGGCAAGACTACTTGATTCTGACAGCATAGTTGTGAGTCAGGCCCTGCTTCTCATTAAATGGATGTCCTCTCAGAGACTTTCAGTGTGTTATTTGTGCCTGCTAATTCATGAATAACAGCACACACAGATGCTGCTGCCTGCAAGTACACCTTGTCTAATTCTCTGGGTTACATATCCCTGGCTCTGAATTGTAGCAGGAATCTGCACTGGCCAGTAACAATTTATGTAGATGACTCATTGTAGTTCTGAGAACAGTACTACCATCAGTGACAGGCAGAATAGGAAAATATCTGCTGATTTCCCCCAAAAGTTTGATTGCTGTAATATATACATGCTAGAAACATGAAAAAATACAACAAAAACTGTTAGAGCTTCATGAAGGTGACAGGACAGCCTAAAATATAAAAAGGACTTAAAAAAATCATGAGAGTCAAATGCTCTGCAATTTGGCAAACATTTTTATATTGAATTATGAAGACAAATAGGAAATAATAGAAAATGTTCTGCTGCTCTGTAAGACAAGATATCCTACAAATATCTCTCAGCATGCACCTACTAAGGCCCACCTGGGCACTAAATAAGCTGCACCACTATACAGGCCAGCAACTCAAACTAACCAGGGCACCATGTAGTCACACAGACAGACAAAAAAGTAGCCCAAGTGTGAATCCCTCCTGGCATGAAAGCCCATAAGAAGCAGGAAAAAAAGGGCTCAGAAATTCTATCAATCACCTGTAATCATGAATACATTTTAGAACAGAACATATATTTCAGCACTTCTTAAAGCAACTGTACCAGATGGTCAGCATATGGATCTGCTCTGCTAGGATGAGCTGTACCAGAGCCCTGGCTCACACTGACAACTAGAAAACTGCTCTCCATTACTGCTTTCCATCAGCAGCACCACCACTCTGAGAAAAACTCTGCTATCAGTTTACAATTTAATTTCCTAGATATAGCACTGAGGAATATAGTCACTACTTTGAAAGTTATATAGACTGACTGTACTTTGATATAAGCAGACTCACAGAGTTTCTTTACTGGTACACATTATTCAGAAAAACACGGAGGCAAATGCATTCCTGCGTGGTAATGACATCCAAAATACCCTGTTTATTTTCCTTGTCATGTTTATTATGAGTAACAGGACAGACTACATCCTTGGATTCGAAAAACTCTTTCTTCCAGCAAGTTAGTAAGAGTTTGTTGGAAGGACACTGCAAGAAAACACTTAATTGTTTGTAGCTACATGGCCCCAGTTCTTTATTTCAAGGTTAGATCTATTCATGGGGTGTTAAAAACCCTATTCCACCTATCAAAGTGGTCAAAATCTTCTGAACTGCCTAGATATCATCTGCAGTGAAGGTGTGGTTCTTCAAACTCAGAGAAAAAATACTACCAGCTTGGCTTATCAGAGTAAGTTATGATTCTCAACAGTGCCCATCTTATTTTATTGACTTCTGCTTTCAGAAAAGTAAGTCCTTCTCTGCTTTATGTGCTTTCTCACAAATAGTTTTAAATGAGCTAGAGCAGTTTTCCAGTTTTACTAAGTATTAACATGTGAATTTCATATTCTTCCATAGTTCAACTGGCAGATTGACTCAGATCAGTCTCATAATATCCCTAACACATGCATTTAGTTCCCAAAAGAGTCTGCCAAATGCAAGGGAGAGGAAATTTTCTTTAGACAAAAGTTCTCATTCTGAAGTCACAAACTGGGGAAAACACTGGGACCATGCCTAAACCTATAACTCGGGTGATCTCAACCTCTTCACAAAATTTGACTGGCTTAGGTGTTAAGGAAAACTAGCAGGATAGGGACTCTGAAAGAGAGAGCACTCCTTCTTCCTTAACTGGAAAAGATGGATGTAAAGTAACTGCCAACAGGGCCAAGCATGGGGCTTAAAACACTTCCCTCACACTGAGACTATCATTTAGTTCATAAGGTGAAAGGAATTGCAGCAACATGACTCATGCTCAGCTAGTCCCCAGTGAAGGGTAGTTATCCTGCTACAAAAAAGACTGCCTTTAGGAGCAATGGTAGGGATGTTTCTGGGAGGCTGCTTAGGGAACCTGCACACTGAAAGGGAAACAGAAGCCTTCAAAATCAGATCTTCTAAGTCTGCCCACCACAATTCCTCAGTAAGGGTATGGAAGGCATATCTACATTCTGCGCAGGTGGAAAATGACTTCTTTATCTGAGCCAATATTTTTCTTGCACAAAGCCAGCATAAGATTAGATCAAGTCTGGCACCTAGTGAAATACGGAGGTATTTCTAGTACAGTTTTGTAAATACTACATTGAAAATCATAAACTTATATAGCAAAACTATTTGCATATGATCTGAACATTTGGTTTTCCTTTAGCTTCCTTTATATTGTAAATAATTAATATACCTTTTCAAAATACACTTACCGTCCACACAGAAGTAGTTTCATCTGTTCGACGGACTTGTATTTCAAAAGACATTGCCAGCTCAGCATCATGTGCTGATCTGCCAACATCCCATTCCACCAGCAGCCGCTGAAGAGCCAAATCCTTGGAAATGTTAAGGTATGTTACTGGAAACACGATGGACTCTAGGAGCAGAAAAAGGACACAAAAATATTAATATTTAGCTAAGTTACAAAGAAGATCCAAAACTACAGTGGTTAGAGGTAAGACAGGTTCCATACCAGACAGTTCTGAAGGAAAAAAAAAAAAAAAAAAAGCAATCAAGACCCATGCTGTTAATACCAAAAGCAAAGATAATCTTTCATTTTAAGGCATTATCACACTAGAATAAGGTTCCTGAATCTACTCAATAGTCCCTCATCATGACATTGGGTATGCTACTTAACTTCTTTATGCCCTCAATTTTCTAGCTACTGTATGGGAATATTGATCCATCCCTTTATAGTCTTATAAAGAAGAACAACATAATGTATTAACAGGGACTGAATTCCAAGAAATCCCAACCCCCACTGAGTCATCATTAAAGCAGAAAATCTAGGTTCAATTTTGCTCTCTGACCTAATCAAAATTAAATTAGTTAATGTAAATCAAGTATTTGAACCGCTTAGGTTTAGCGTTTCCCTCCGCTAGCTAGCTCAGACGATAGTCTAGTATTAGGCACATTCCTGGTTGCTCTACACAGAGCTTAGGTACTTCAGTTAGGGCTGCAGATTCTTCTACTGGAATTAGACACCTAGTTAATATGGCATTTCCATCCTTTTGTGGGTCTGGAGTTAATTCCCCAAATAAAACAAAGTTTAAAAGTCAGACTGAAGTCTCTTCTGCTGTCAGGAAAGGAAAGGCCCCTTAAGATGACTAGCCTGCTGAAAACTACAGACCACCTTATAAGTGGTCCCTCTTTTTCAATGTTTGCTCTGTCACCACTCCCAAAAATCCTAACTCTTGGAAGAGACAAAATATGGCGCTCACTGATCCGTATCTTCCCACCTTCCTGAAGAATAAACAAACCAAAACCAAAAAACTTGATCTGGTTGTTAATGAAGCCATGGAATTGAAATGGCCAAGTAACCAGGCTTTTTTTTTCCACAGTTGCTTTCCAAGATGCTTCTGCCTGTTACAAACAACAGGGTCAGAATGCTTATACTGACCAGGACACAGAAAAGACATCACAGAAATAACTATGTGTTTTAATACAACAGAACTCATTCTGGGCATTCCTGTCCACTAACAGCCACAGTCCTCAGGGACATGCTGGATTGTGAGACGTTAGCAGCTCCTTCTCACAGAACTGCCACCACCAGTCATGTCTCTCTGATGTGCTTCACCCACTGACCCCAATGATTATATGAGAATTCTACACAAAATTACTGGAAGAAATGCAAGCATTTAGGAAATTTAGTTTGAGAACCTACATTTTGATAGAGGTATCTGGCAGTAATCAGATATTCAAACTGTTTTGCAATTTATCCTGTAGTACCTGTTCTGCACTAACTTCTCTGCAGCAGTTTCCTTACATACAGAACTTTACATTAACTACAGGAAATTAAAGGCTCAAGAGAAGCAGCAGCTGTAACAATCCCTACTCAAAGGAAACAATACTTTATAAGCATATTTATTAATTATTAGAATACATACACTGACACAGCTTAGTTGTTTATACAAGTCCAGCCTATAATTAAGGAATAAATGAAGGAAAGTATATATTGTACCATTAGTAACAACTTATGAAAAACTCCTGAGAGGATTGTTTCTCTTTTAGCAAATCCTTTACAAATTGTTGGTACATTTTTAATCCATTCCGTTTTGAAAGGCACTGCAAGTCAAAGCAAAATGAAAACCATATGCTTTCAATCTAGAGAAAACTACTGGCATAGACTTCTTCAGATATGCTTGGAGGGAGAAATCAAGGTTTCATTGTTCAAACACAGTCTCAGAACCAGGATTGTGGTATCCTAAAAAAGGTTTTAAGGAAGAAGTATACATACACACACACTCATGCACATGTACCTTCTATCAATTCTCACTGCACCCTTAACATATAATTACTGGAAAAGGATGACAGAATCTGACAGTATTAGTGTCTTCTGTAAGGTAGATGCAAAAATTTTTCAAGTGAAGTAAAATTTCATTTTTGGCTATGGCTACGCCATGGTCCTTAAAAAAACATACCTGCTGCTTGATGGTTGTTTTTGGAAAAAATAATGGCCATCAGTTCTATACTACCATAAGGAATCCGAGCCCCTATGACAACTAGTAGATGTCTGTAACTGAATAAACAAGGTAGAAGGCCTGGGGATAAATATCACTTATTTTATGGGAAAACAAAAATATTGTTAGCTTCACTGTCAAGGACTGACCAAGTAAGGAGCCAGAACAACCAAAGCAACAAAGTGAGCCATAAAAATAACTGTGGAAGGAAGCAGAGTATCTCACATTATTTTGGGAAGGTAAGACAAGACACACTTCCTTTCCCCACATTCTACAGACTTTCACCATCAAAACAAGATAAAGGCTGTTAAAATCCCACTTATGGTAAGGAATTGACTGTAATGTTGTTCCTCTCCAGTATGGAATCTCAGCTGCTCATTTTTAGGTCAAGCTTAACTGTATGTTCATCATTCTTTTACCTGAAGCACCACGTACCAAGCCTCTGAGAGGACCTCAGTTCACATATGTAAATAGGTGGCTGATCTAAAGCTCTGGCCCTTGACATTCTTGTGTTTTCCTTTTGCAGTACTGAAACAACTGGGGGAGACAGACAGGCCCAGCACAAATAAACAAACCTAAAGGAAGGGAGCAAGCTACACTCTCAAGGAAATTCACAGGCACAAAGTAAGACTCCCAGGGAAAGGAAAAAAAAAAAAGTCTGAAAGAAAAGCCAGGCAGTTGGCAGAAACCCCTTTCTTTTTCAGGGTGCACCAGTAAAAAAAACCCTTGAATATCTTCTTTCTTCTGCTCCTTCTCTAGCCAATTCTAATTGCAAGTGTCACTACTATGTCTATGGCATTTACTATGAGCTTACCTCTCTTCTCTACATATGTCTCCTTTGTCCAAGCTAAAATCTCATCCCTTCTCTCACCATGGAGAATATTTTCACCTGCCACATTTAATCAATATGAGGAAAAAACAAAGGTCTCATTACTTTCTGGTTTTTCTCCATCTGTATCTCCTTTTAGTTAGATGATGTATCACTTCAGACCTCACACAATTTTATTTTCCTCAGAGCCTGGCATAAGATGGTCTAGATCACCAGTCAGGGCTTATACACAGTACCAACAAACAGAAGAAACAATGTAGCTAATAATATACCCAAGATCTTGAAGACCATTGAGTTACAATGTGGGACTTAAAAGACTTTTTAGTATAATTTACACATGTAGAAATATTTGTAGTATTCACAGTTATAAACTTCCCCTCCTACCAAAGTTAAATAATCAAGGCATCTTAAGACTTCTTTTAACTTGAAAGCTAACTCCAGACTTTATGATTAACAACAGAGACTAATTTTATTCCTGAACAACTGCATGTGAAAACAAGTATCCAAGTTACTGTAACGCAGTAATTGTTTGGACTTGCCTACATTACAAAGTTTTGCCACTCCAGTCTCAAAAATGAGGAACTGGCACCTTGGGGGAATGGAGCGTGAACACATGAATTTCAAGATTGAAGAGAGGCAAAGAAGTCTGAAACAGATATATTACCCCCTTCAGTATAACAACAGCTACATTTATACAAAAAAAAACACCCCTCTCCCTCCTTCACCAACTGAATTAAGGCAATACAATTTCTATAATGCAGACTAGAATCTGGTAAATTCTGCCTCCTTAATGGTGGTCACAGAAAAGTCAGTTAAAAAAATATTAATTCCTTTTTTTTCTTTTAATGGACTCATGCCCAATGCTACTGCCAGCAGCAAGTGTGCAAGCTGCACTTTTACCTTAAAACACACAGCCTTGTGGAAAGTTACCTTTATATTAAACTTTGTTCCCTCTGAATATGAGTATTTGCTTTTTCTTTCTATTGGATATATATGTGAAGTGTAAGCAATAAAGATCTGGTCCTGGAATCTTGTGGCATAATCAAAAAAGAGCCAACAGAAGTGCTAAAGTTTTCATAGACGAGACAAACATAAAACAGAATGTGAAAGGAAGAGGTAGAAATGCATAGAAGTTATCAAAGAGGAAATAAATAATTTGAAGATGACAGAGTACATATCAAAAACATATGAGAGAGAGGGGGGAGCAGATAAACAAATTCACTCTGGTTTCACATCATTGCAAGTTATTAATTCAACAGGCAATTTTGGATGATGAGGTTACAAAAAGTAATTATACAAGGTGCTTTATCACCTTACCAAGGAGAAGCACTTGAAAAAGCATATAACATGTTGCTTACTAACAGGAGACTTACAAATGAGCAAGTCCAAAGCTTCCGTTGTTGTAGATTTCATCCAAATAAAAAAGCAGATGTTCAGGCATTTACCTTGCTGTGAGTGCGTAGTATAGCAAATCCTCAGGGGAAGCAGTACTGCCAGAACCATGAAGTAATTCATCATTCATCCACCTGTTCCTGCACAAAACTTAGCAGGGAAGAAGACATTTCTGTTTATGTTTCCTTTACAAGAAACACATACCAGACAACAGTCCAGATAATATTACTGTATTTAATAATGAATAAATAAAAACCTAACCACACAGACTCCAGGCAGTTTAGGATAAATGCATGAAGAATGTACAAAGGAAGATAAGGAATGCAAGAACCACTCCTCTTGTTTTTTTGATCTAACTGCAGCACATGGGAAAATATACCACACTCAGAAAGTTCAAATTAATCTAAACAAATAAAATGCACAACATCTTTAAAGTTTTCCCTCTACTTATTTCTATGGAATATTAAAACAAATGTTTGTCCTGATATATTTTGACTTTCCTCCTGCATAAGTAGCAAGATATCCACGCTAATAAGGAACAAAAAAGCAAACATCAAAGGTGCAAAAAGCCTTGTGGTTTCTACTCCTCCTAGAGCCCGACTGATGAATCCAGCAGACATTGGCAAGCATGGTCTTGCCCTTTGCCAGCACCAGGGTACTATACAGAGGGCTTTAGTTCAACTGGAGTTAAAATACACATATCGAAGTGTTAGAAAGTTCCATTCCTAGAAGGACTGTCATCTCAAGCACCACATAGCACTACCTAGGACTCCTTCTACAGCTTTTACACTCGCCTTGTGACAAGATGAAACTTTGTCTGACTGGAACAGCCCAGTCCTGAGGGACTGATCATATGTCACATCTCAGAAGACATGAATTATCTGCAAATTCCCCCATGTAGAAGGCAGAGGTAAACATTCAGCAGCAGTATGGTTAAAAGTACTCAGGCACAGAGGGTAGAGGAGCTCGAGCAGGAACAGGACTATGGATACCACTATCTTTAACTTTTAATTTCCACTTTTTACATTTCTGAAGCTGTGCAGAGTACTGATAAAGAGAGTCTTCTACCACTACTTCCACAACAGGAGTTGAAACTGCTTAGCATGACAGATAACCATGATGACCTTCTGTCCCCACTAAAGCCAAGGACAGAACATTTACTGATTCTAGAAGAGCCAGGAACTCACTGCAGAATTTCCTCCTAACAGAAAACCTCCTATTTAATAACTCTGTGCTACAGTCACTTAAGTTTAATGACACTGCCTTAGACTAATTGGTTTTGAGAAGCTCTGAATTTCTCCAAAGGATCAAAAGAAAATGTTTCAACTTTTTTTCTTTTCATGTTTCTAAGCATCACATGGAAAATGTAGAAGAGTCCTGCATGCAGCACTGCAAGCCAGGGCTCCACACTCACAACAAGCACCATTGCTGCAGTGTGTCCCAACTTTTTCCTTGTGAACACAAATATTTCACTTGGAGATCCCCATATTTAAAAGGTGAGCATTGTCTTGCCTGTTGTAAAAGCATCTGCAGTCTTTTTTGCCATTATACCAATATCCTCAAAAGTATTTGGACAACATAAAAATCAACATGAATAAAACATCTAAATATTTTTGAGAACCTAGACCTAATTCATATGCAACTAACAGACTGTTCTGAGAACTGACTTAAGCAAAACTGCTTCTCTACAGATTTACGTTTAGACTTTTTTTTTTTTTTTAATCACCTGATCAAATTTAATATCTAAAAGGGAAAATAATTTGACATGTTTTGTCTGGAATAAACACGACAGAATGGCTCTGTTACAGTGCAGTGAGTGGTAAGTGAAACGAAAATAAGCCTTTTCAAGGCAGATTATGTTAAAACTGCTGGTAACTCTTCAGTAGATTGTTATTCTTTTGAATTACACAAAATTAATATGGAGAGACAAAGCCAAATCTTGCATGCCCTTTTTCAGAAAAAAAAGTGAAAATAAAACTGCCTTTAAAGTCAAGGGAGTTGACTCTGCTTTAAGATCAATTCAATACAAGGATAGTCAGTCGGGTTCAGTGTCATAACTTCTGCCTTAATTACATCAGCATGATGAAAACCTGGCCCCACAGGACTCCTGATTTTGTTAACACCTTTGGGGTTGGACACAAAGCTATTTGCCCTATTTGTCATGTATCACTTAAATCCAATACTAAATACAGTGGAAAAGTACTGTGGAAGTCATGACATATTAAACTATTTGTTTAAATTACTTCCTTTAGAAAGTAATTTAAATTAAATAAAATTTTGGAAAACAAATCCAAATTCTCTTCTGCTCGTAAGAGCCATTCTCAACTATTGTATTGAAATAAATGACTAATGTAACTATCTCTCTCCACTCAGTTCCACTGTCAGTTCACTCATTAGAGAGCCTAGATCACTTTTATTAATGCAGAGTACAAACACCCTATACTACTACAGGGCAGTGTAATATAACAAATGACCATCAAATATAAATATATTTTGGAAAGATACAATGTTTTCCACTATTCAGTAAGTTAATAATCTAGTTTAATACTGTATAATAAATTGTGATAATATGTATCACAACTGTATCAAACCAGTTTTCATAGGAAAGTTTTGAAATTCTCTAACAAAATAGAATATGAATTTAAATAAATTAACTACTATTTGAGAAAAAAATAAATACAGTCCTTAATATATGAGTAATATTTTTACTTAAATCATCTTTATATGGAAAATTCTGTCTAGGACTAATAAATTAATCACATACAGTAATTACTACCAATTAATGTTAAGCACTTATTCTGCATTATCAATAATTAAGTACTTCTACAAAATCATACTTTAAAAATCTGTGTCTTGGTTACAAAGATTAAAAGAGAATCAAAGCATTTGTACAAAATACATTATCAATTTCATTTAAAAAAACCCATTATGATAATAGATTAACTACAACCTTGCCAAAAGTGAAAATAATTGGACAACAAAGGGAAGCCAGGGAAGGTTTTTAAGTATCTAAATAGTTCATCACTCTGAAAGAGGCAAAGTGTTACCTCTGAAAAATAGTGAGCAACTATCAAACGCAACAAGAAAAGTGACAATTAAGCTGTTCCAGTGAACAGCTTAATTCAGATTTGCCAGTCTGAAAAGATATGAAAACCACACTAGTATGCCACCATTCTTCATATGAGAGTGAATCACTTCTGACTTTTTTCTTTAAGCTTAAGAGAAGTCATACTTTGTCACCATGCTCTAACCTGGCATGCCTGTGTACTTTGTTTCCATGAAATACAGAGAAGAAAAAGAGGCTCTCATGCCAGTGATGTTGAATATGGGCTGCAGAAACATAATTTGAACACCTTTTCCTTTCTAGTTACTTTTGTCATTAAGATAATTTTGCAAATGGCATTTTTCCAGCCTATCACAGAATCATAGAGCAGTTTGTTCAACTGAGTTTTGAAGAACTGCAAGGACGGAGATTCTACAACTTCTCTGGGCAACTTGTTCCAGTGCTTAACCACCTTCACAGTGAAGATTTTTTTCTCCTTATATTTATATATTAATTTTTCTCCTTATATTCATACAAGGAGAATACCTTCTTTTATCCTCCTTATATTAATCTACTTATTTTTCTCCTTATATTTTTATTACTACAGTTTGCAGTCATTTCCTCTTGCCCTTTTTCTGTACACCTCTCAGTAACTTTCCATTAGTTAGGTGAAGACTGCAGGTAGAGCTGCCCTTACCTTTCTCAAGTCTAAGCAAACTGAGCTCCTTCAGTAACTTCTACATATGCTTCAGTATCCAAAGCCTCCTGTGTCCCTCTGCTGGACTCAGTCCAGTCTGTCAGTCTTCTTTGTTCTGGACACAGTAATTTAGATATTGCCCCCTAAGTGCCAAACAGAAGGAAATAATCACTTCTGTAAGCTTTAATTCTTTGCCATCATTTACAACAGTAGTTACAGTTCTAATTTCTGTGATGAATCTGGTTATTGGGACATGCTGGGAAATGATCTACAAAATGGGGGATAATAAGCCATAAGCTGAGGATGTTTGGGCACAAAATTATCTGTCAGAGCTATAGAGGTTAGCCGAGCAAGAAATTTTTCATTTTACCCTGTATTCTTCCCTCTTTTAAAAATTCAACATCTGTGAGGGAAATATAGCAGACTTGTTTAGTCTTGGCAGTCTGCAGCCTGAACCACTGATAGATTTATTTAACTCATTAATATATAGCCTACCTGTAAATCTTCTCATGGAAAAAATATAACCTGCGGTGTGACAAAATGGATACAGATGGATTCAGGACTCCCCAGCCTAACTTGAAATTAATCAGTACTGATGAATACATCAACAGAACAGAACCATTCTGGAGACCCGGCAGCAATTCCAATAATTGCTGACAGCAACAGAACTTGTTTACAGACCTGACAATTAAAGAGTAATTGCTCAAGGAATGGAGATAGCACATAAGAGAATTACCTTGGGAAGAGATGATATCTCCTTCAGTAGGTAGTTCGTGAATAGTCTAAATAAACTGCTTCTCCTTCAAAGCAAAAGTTTGGCTTAGATGATCCCTGAAGTCCCATCCAGCCAATGATTTTTTGATGGTAGGGATGAGAGGAAAAAGAAATTCCCATTATTCATCTGGTAAACATACCTAAGATAAACTTTTCATCAAACTTCTCTTCAGAGGTATTAAAGCACCAAAACTCAACTGAAACCTTTTCCAAGTTCAGGCTTATAGTATTCAGGAGTCATTGGCTGGGAGCTAGAACTATATGGTACAAACATTGCTGCAGTACCTGAAATATTCATGTATGTAAGAAAAGGAAGCCCCTGCTATAAACATCTAGTCATGGTCAACCGCAGAGTCAATCTGTTTTGTATCCATCTTCCTAAAGCCACATATTTCTAATCATACTTCATACAACTTTCCTTTCCCAGTGCCATTTGATTTGCTTATTTAAAACAGCTGCCAGTCACAACCCACATCCTCAAATGAACCAGGGCATGGGAAAAGAAATATTTTCAGCTGCTAGGATCCAGAAAACTTTATCCATTTAAAGGAGAATATTAGATAGGGACACCAAATCATAGACACTATCGATCAAACAGATTTTCCCAAACCAGACATGGGAGAGGACTATCATCAAGGCAAATGCAGTAATACTACTACTTTGGATTTATATCACATCTTTCATCCTATGTTCTAATTCCCTCTACTTCATAGACAGACAGACCGAGGATACGAATCATAATTCAAGTTCATACCATGTAGTACAAGGTCACTAAGATAACTGATATGTTTAGCACCAAAACTTAAAAAACTCCTTCCATAGACACCAAAGAGAAAGAGACACTGATAGGAAATAAGCCAGACCATAGGTAGACTAAGTCATCCTCCAGAGGTGTTTTTTCTCCCGCTTAAGTTAGCAGATAACTAGGTAAGTGCCAAAATGAGCTACAATGCCCTAAGTCAATGATTTGTACAAACACTCTGCACCAAAGTGTGCCTATGCTCTCCTGATCCCTGCAATTCCCAGTATACCCCTTGCAAAATCAACAGTGTAGAACTGACATCCAACTGAGGCAGCTTTAGTTGAAACAGGGAGCAGTTTCAAGTCATCAGAAACCTATTGAGTGTTGGTAAAGTAGCATCTGCCAAAGCACCCTACAGCTAAATAGATCCCATTTCAAAATAAACATTACAATGTTTACAGAAAATTTAATCTGCAACAATTCTAAATTCTGAAAAATTCTGAATACCAAAGTGGATGAACTGTTTCTTCAGTGCTTGTAGTCAGGCTTTCTTCTGCCAAGCAATTTGAAATATAATTTAAATTGCACTTAGCACACAAAATACATCTGTGCATAAGACCCTGAAAGCTCCTAATAAGCCTCTGTGATCTAATGGGTGAGCAACAAGTTTAAGAAGCCACATGCGGAAGAAAGACATTTCTATAATTAAGGTCCGATAGGCATGTCTCATTTAATCACTTTGGGATAGCTTTATCACCTATTTTTTGATAAACAGAAAGCTCTTTGAGGCATGCTGTTGATTTTCTAAAGAGCTCTGCCAAAACAGGAAAACATTATGTACTTCATGGTCCCATGAAGGCTGGAATTCAAACAAAAAAGCAATTAAATGATGAAAAAAAATGGGGTCTAAAAACATAAAGCACTGAACAAACCGTGTAAGACTACTCCTGTCACATCAGAAAGCAAATGCTAACAATTGTAGGGAAGGAATCACATAATGTTGTGGCATGACTCATACTAACAGGAAAAATAATTTTACCAAGTTTTTGAGGCATGACCTATTTGTAACACTGCTAGGATCTCGTTTACTCTGCTGGAGTAGGAACTGGTTTAGACATGCAATATTTAGATAAAAAGAGAGCTAAAAAGGTTATGCCAAAAAAACAGTCAAACTCCAAAGAATGCAAAAACCACACTGGAATTTATGATGTTTTCTCATTTACCCTGACGGATTTGAGATGAAACAACAGATTTCAGCTGCTTAAAAGAAAGCAGGAACAACACATTTTTTTCTCTACAATGATGGATTTAAAGCTTTGGGCTTGCATTTCTAAGCAAGTCAACACCTTCTCTAAATAGTAGGGACAGCAGATGTTAAAACCAAACCTAATCACCTAGCACGAACAGTATCCTCATCCCGCCACGCACCTCACCTCAGTAATTTTTGCTCAGGTCAAATCCGCAACTTCCCCGCTGCAGTTAAGCAGTGACATCTTGAAAACAAAGAAGGTTGGAAGGGTCATAAAACAGCTTAAATCCAACGGTACAGCGATGGTGCTGCCAGGGCAATCTGTCTCTGGAGGACGAAGGAGCAGTTCGCGGGCGGCGGTGCCGAGGCGCCGGCTCCCCTCCCTCCCGCAGCCCTCCCGCACCCGCCGTGCCGAGGGACGCCCGGGAAAACGGGGCGTAAAGAGCCGGCAAAGGGTGAAGAGGGATCAGAAAGACTAAACTCCAAAGGAAAGACTCCGCAAAGCGCTTCAAACAAGGCGCCGGAGTGGAGACGGTGGATTTTGCTCAGCGGAGCAGGCTGGGCTCCTCTCAGCGAGGGCGGCCGGGGTCCCCCGGCGGGAGGAGAGGGGAAGGGGGCATTACTGAGGGAACAAGGGGCTTCCCGCGGCTGGCAGAGGCCGGCACAACTCACCTGCAGCCGCCGAACAGCTCCCGCCGTGACGGGGCGGGAGGCACGTTCCCGCCCGGCGACCTGCGGGACGCGCCGGCCGGCCTCGGTCAGTGCCGGGAAAAGCTACGGCGCGGCCGCGCTCGGCCGTCCCTCCCCCGGGCAGGGCGGCGCCTCCTCCCACCCCGCGGAGGACGAGTGAGCCGTGCCTCGGGAATTTCCCCCCCCCCACCGCTCCGGGAAGGAGCGTTCCCTTGGCTGCCCTCCCGACGGCAGGGCGCGGGCCGCCCTGCCCCCTCTCCCCTCCCTCCCCCCGCGGCGCCCGCCGCCATCTGCCCCCTCGTCGAGGGAGTAGGCGGTGGAAGTGGGGCCGCTCCGGTGCTCCCCCAACCGAGGAGGGTCTGCAGGGCCTGGGGTCGGCCGGGGCCAGGGGCCGACCCTTGAGTGGCCAAGCAGGGAGAGGAGGACAGGCAGCGTTAGCGTGAGAGGGGCGTGAGGAGCAGAGAACGGGCACTTCTCTCAAACGGACACTTCCCACTCCCTCCCAGTGGCGAGCTGGTCAGAAACCGCACCCGGGAGCGATGTCTCCAAGCCGCCTGTGCCCCTGGCGCCATGGCCCCAGGGCGCCTGTGCCTCCTTGGTCAGGTCACTCGCCACCAGGACGGGCGGGGTGAGGAGGTGGCCTGGTGCTCGCAGCAGGGCTGGGGGGGCTGAGGCCATAGCCGGCCTGGTGCTGCACCACCGCCTCCTGTCCGATGAAATTCCACTCAGAAGCCATACTGGGGAAGGCTATGGCTCACAGAGTCAAACTCTCCACTCCCAAAACCGTCGGACCACAAGGCAGGAAGGGAGATCAGGAGTTCAGCGGGTCTGTTGCCCTGGCCCTAGGCCGTGGGTCCGTTCTGACAGGCCTGGGTAAGGGGGGTAAGGCATTCAGAGACCTGCAGCGTGCCCCAAGCTGCTTGGGTCTCTGCTTCCATCAGATGTACCCATGAGAAAGTTTTGTTTAAACCTGTTACCAACCGTTTTCAGGGTGTTCATGGTTGAATGTTTTTCCAGTTTGTAGCGCTTTTATGTAAAAAAGGTCTTCTGTCTCTTCTTTTTCCTAAGCTACAGTTGTAGGTTAAAGGCAACGTACCTGTTAAGACGCTGTTCTTGCTCTCCTTTGGATGGTCTCAGATTCTCAAAGGTTGGTTGCTTTTCCTTGGATGGGTGTGGACTTGGAAGTGTTTTGCCTTTCAGGCTATATTGCTTTTTATACCTCCTGATGTATAGTTTGTCTTTTTTTGTAACAGCATAGTGTTGCTGACTTACACTTTTCTTGTGATCCACTTTAGCACCTTGTTCATTTTCTTCTGAACTGTTGTCTAGCCAGTTGTTCCCTGTCTCTGTATTGCCATGATAGCTTGTGCTTCCCTCTGTTCAGTAACACCCTGCTTCTTTAGTCACCTTTTCCATTTTCTCATCATACTTTTGCAAATTATTTCTAGTCAAAGGATAGTTTATAATTCAGAACCTCATTCAAGAGAATTACATCTATTTCCTTCACAGAGTTCCTGTGCATGTTGTGTGAGTCACATAAACTGGACTGTTCAGAGGGTCGCTATTTACTCATTTTTCTCTGCCCACTGGAGCCACTAGAACCAGACATTTACTGTTGTGTCAGAACTCAGAGGAGTACATACAAGAGAGGCCATCTAACTGCTTAGTTTTACTGAAAATTCAATTCACAGGTGTCTAAAATTGGATGTCAAAATTTTGGCTTTTTTTTTTTAATTTATGCTTATTAACAACTCTCTGTAATACACTAGTAAGTTTTTTTCTCTAATGTTTTTAGACAGTATACTTAGAAAAGCCACTAATTTATCAATTCTATATTTGAAAGTAGGATTTGAATAATATGCAAGAAATAAAACAGGGGGGTTGTACATTAAGGGATCTGATAGGAAAAATGGCATATCATCATGCAATGAAAACTAAAGGTAATAAATTAAGAGAGTTTAGTTCTAGCAGTTTTTAAATTTTGAGTGGGTGTTATTGCACTCCTTTTTGTCTTTTAGTGTAGGGGTGGAAAATTTTTGCACATACTATTTTAAAGATAATATATTAAGTAATTTTTCTGCTTTGAGCCCCCTCATCTGTGTTCAAAAATGTTTCTTCTTTTAGGCCTTTACTGGAGATACTTGTTGAAATCAGTTGATCTATTTAACATTTTCTGAGTAATTTCAACTCTGCTGTGGATTATAGGTGTTTGGCCCTCTCTTGCATCTCCATTTGGGTAGCAGCAATAATTTCTGGTGCTGTTTTTGCATACTGATCCACATAATTCAGGAGTTCCAGAATGAACAATGTAATGGATCATCCTTTGAATGCTCTGGCCTTACAAACATATGAATTCACTGCTATCTAGAAATAATGTTCAAGGTACTAATTAGTACTCAAAATCCTAACAAGTTATTGAATAATGTACATAAGTAATTTTCATGCCGGATCAGAAAGCATTTCAAAAACCAAGTTATCAGATTTCTTATATTTGAGGCTAGAAAACGGAAACAGGAAGAAGAGAACAAAGGTAAATCCACAGAAGAATTGACACTGCAATGTGTTGAGTGTCTTAGTGTCCACAGAATTTAAAGTCCCAAGCTAGGTGCCAAAGCTCCTTACATACTAAACCATAGCAATGTAGTTTGGAAAGGCCTGGAAGACAACATTCAGTCCAACCTGAGACCTTCTTTCTCTGTAACTACAGCTCTGAATTTTGCCCCACCTCTCCTAGGTGCTTAGTTGCATGTATATATATCCAAAGCCCAGCTCTGATATAGATCATATCCTTGATCCAGACCACTATGAGAGAGCTGTGAGAACATCTGTAGAAAGATAAGAAAGTTGAAAGTACGGACAGAATTAGGGCTGTTGTCATGAGATCATTGCTAGTTCAAGGATTTCAGAGGGAAAGTACTATCATGAAGAAGTGTAAAATACTAAGGGGAAAAATCACCTGGGGAGGCCTCATCAATCTAACCAGTCTAGTTGGGGACTAGCTGGTGATCATTGTGTCATGTTATCAGTATTGATGGAGCTGGTGAAAGATGGCAACTTGGAGATGCCAGGAATCCTTTCCAGAAAGCCATAGGAAATGACCCTTCTCCTTTTGACTTATGCCTGCCTGCCCAGCAGAGACTTCGTGGGTAGCTTAACATGAGTGGCAAGTATACAAATGCTTAGTCAAGTAGCTCATTAAACCATAGCTAGCTCTTCTGTGTGTTAGCCAATAGCAGTTAGCTATTTTGAATTACGTATATTCTTCTTGCAGAGTCTCTGTGCCTGGCTAAAAGTACCTGAACAAACTGACCGAGTGTAATGGATGCACTCAATTCCTTAACCAAACTAGTGGTAGTTGGGTACAGGAGGAGGTAAAGACCTAAGTTGTAACCGGGCCAAGAACTTTTCTAGTTCCAACCTGTTCTGTGAGAACTCACAAAGGAGCAGAATGACACAGCGAGCATTGATGCATATGAGTTTGGAACACTGATCAAGCATTTAACACATGAATTATAGGTGGCTTTTCCAAGACTCGTTTATCGAGGAACAAAGAAAGTTGTGGGTACAAGTAGTCTCATGTATACCTTTCCCATCACATGCAGTTTGACAAACAGCCAACCACTTAATTCCATAAATACGGTAGCCTAAGTGAGCTTTTGTTGAGCTCTGCCTGCTAAGCAGCTCACTGCATGGTGATCTCTTGAGCTGGGACACCTCTCAGGGTTGCTCCTCAAGGCAGAGAGTCCCATCAACAGCAGATCTTTGGTAAGTGACCGATACTGCGCATAACCCGGTAACATAGTGCACTAAGATTTTTGTACTGGTAACTTTGATTCTGTCTTGGTAACTTTGAATCATTGTTATATCCTTTGTGCAGTAAGTAACCAAGTGAACTTTGTGCCATCAAATTTTTTTAAGTCATACTTTTACAACATTGTATTTCAATAAAACCACTTTTGCTGATACTTCTGGCAGTGGTTCTTTAAGCAGTCTAAATTTTTAGTCTAAAGTCTAAAGTCCATCCTTGACACAAAGAGGGGCCATAGCAGATCTCCCATTCAAAGGAGGATGTCACCTGCCTGGTAAATCTCGAAAGCCTCCAAGAAAGGCAATTTCAGAACCTTACTAGGTGACCTGCTGTAATGTTGCACTTCCTAGGGGCAAAATTTTCCTAACATCCAACCTGAACATGCCAAACCACAATTTGTGACTGTTGCCTCATGTTATCTTGTGCCATCTGCCACCACTAAAAAGAGTTGCCTGTTGTAACTGTCTTTCAGGTTATTATAGATTGCCTTTAGGCAGTCCCTTACCCTCCTCTTTGGGAAAATAACCAGGCTTCTAGTTCATGTTCTCTAGGCCACATGCAGTCTTGGTACCCCTCTACGGTATCTTCTCCCATTTCTCAACTCTCTTGAACTGGAGTGCCCCAAACTGGACACAGTATTACAGTCTCTTTGCCGCTAATTAAAGACAGTGTCATAGTCCTGCATCAGCACACAGAACCCTCCAGTGACTCCTGTTTATAGCAGCATAGCATCACTTCAGGCGGGCACCCAGGTGTGGTAATGCCCCCACAAAGTATGAGAGCTTCCTCCATAATGCTGTCCTTTCAGCTTCCTTATTTGTGTGCGTAAGCTTGGGGTGGGCACCCTTTGATTGCCAACCCAGTCCACCTTCCCTCACTTCATTGTCAGTCATCATCTCCCTCCTCATCATTCCTAGTTTAAAGCTCTTTGCCAACCTGTTGGAAAAGGTTATTTTGCCCCACTTGAGTTGCTCTTGTCTGCCCCTAGCAGTCCTTAATGCTCGGAAAGTGTCCTTTGGTCATAAAAGCTGTTTGATTCCCTACTGTTGACTGTTGACACCAGCTGTGCGAACATGTATTGACCCATAGAATTCTTCATTCGCTGAGGGCACATTTCCCCATCATTGGCAGGATCGAGGAGATACCATCCGAGTTCCCTTGACCTTGGATCTAATCTCCAGAGCCAGGTGGTCATACTTGATACACTCAGGGTCTCCCCTCACAGTATCATTGGTGCCCACATGGAAGATCAGCACAGGATACTAGTCTCAGTGCCAAGCAAGCCTAAGCAGTCTCCCCATGATGTCCTGCA